TATGGTCACGGCCGCCGATTATGGGCCATGCTGCGTTCGGCGCTATTGTAATCCACCGGCTATTTATACGACTTCAATATAACTCGTTCATAAACCAAAACAATATAGGCCTTGACATGAATTTTTCACTAATTTTCGAGGCTGAGAAATGAAAAAAACCTCGCCGGTGGTTGTGGTCGTTATATACCAAATAATAACAAATCGTCATCGCTATCAATGTCTATAAACACTTCATACGTAATAATCAATGCGCTTTATTTTAGATTCCGAACGTTGCTATTGATCTTGTTCCGAACATCAACATCATGGTTGATTCCTGGTAGCAAATGTTACCTGTAAGTACTACATTGATTATGTGACTTTTTGATATTCCTTGTAATTTTCTGAATAATTATGGGGATAAACCGGGAATACTTATGCAATAAATATTTCTGTTTTTTTTTTTTTTTAAATTTCGATTCAAAATTGGTATGGTTTCGTTTTGTACGCTGTTAAACGTGTAAATATTATTATTTAATTATTAAATTTCCTACTTAAAGCATAATAAAAAGTCTCAAAAATTAATTAGCCGTCTCTCTCGTTTAATTCGAGTAAGTACCTATAGTCAAATATAATTTAAAAGAATTAATGAAATTAATTTATTTTACATGGATACAAATTTTCTATTTAAGACTTAATATATTATGAATTATTTATAATGGCTATATGTATATTAATTGAAAAAAAAATATCGGTCGTTTATTGCAATGATGATAAAAGTAAAAGTCTAAAATCTCATTAAAAATAAATTATTGATAAAATACAAAAAAAAAAAAATACAAAGGATGTGATATAATAATATACAATGATTTATTGTTATGTTAGATATATAGTTTTTTTTATAACAGTATCAGTATCAGATTTATTATAATATTTCGCTTGTCATTCACCATTTGGTATTACAGTGTTTTATCATTCCACCGAACGGAAAAAATCTTAACATCTGAAAACATTTCATAATATTTCAGATGAATATCGTTGGCTCAAATTTCTATTGCATACATAAACAACCAATGTAACCTATAAGCAAATATTCTAATGAAATACCGAAGACATTATTATACTACTATAATATTTTCCAATAAAATCGGTCGAAAAAATATGTTTACACCTACATAATATGTACATTATAAAAATTTCAAGAAACTATTTCAGTTAAACATGCATAAAATGCGCGTACAAAATTAAAAACACCGCAGTTTTATTATTATTCGATAAAAATACCCGTGTATGACTTTATAACCGGAACAATATTTGTTATATAATCCTTTCTGCGGATGAAAATGGAAATCTGATTTGGTTCTTATCAATATCGTCCTTATGTTTATAGTACGTTATTATCATTATTTTTTTTTTCTAGAACGAATCAATGTGATATTACGCTGAATCTGCGGAAGTACGCTATTATAATATTATTTGATCGGGGCGCGCAAAAATTATTTCCCAGAACCATGATGCATATCAATCAATATACGCGCAATCGGCTCCCGTAAAATATCTTATAATCAATACATTTTCGGCATACCGAATTCAAATATGCGTCTGTCGGGCGACTATTTATATAAGTAGTCGATTTTAAAATTTACTGGCAGCCAGAGCCGTGACTATATTGGCTATAGAGCTTGGCGAGATTGGCTCGGGTCAAGAGTACGTGTCAGAAAAGAGAGCAAAAAAAAAAAAAAAATCACAGCCGATATTTAACAGAAACGTAACATTTTTTAACGATACTCAATTTAGATAGGCTACGTGAAAAGTATAGGCTACGAGACCGGGAAATTTCGCGTGGCCAAATGTGTCGAAAAGCTCCATAACGGTTAGAAAAGGTTACACGGTGTTGCGGCTGTGTTTGTAGCATATTATATCAAATAGAAAAACACGTCCAATTATACTGCAGACACAAGTTATAATTATTATCACAATAACAGCTATAGGTATATAATGACGATTGCAATTGTTAACGTAACGTGCCTATACGCGTTTACAAATATTATAATATGCGTAATTCAGACAGTCGCGGAATACGCATTATACACGCGTATATTTTGACATTTTAAAACGGTTAGTACAAAATTGTACGACGGATTATTATAACAATATAATACATATTCTCGATGACTCGGATCGCATTTTTAGCCGCTTTAACCCCTGACTCAATTGGTGCGCTACCTAAATATGCGGTCCGTACCGACGCGTTTCCGATTTAGTAAGTGGTGTATTATATAGGTCTACACACATTTATAAAAATACCGTGCTTGAAACTCCGGTACAAAAATACCTGTTTGAACGCCAAAGTATGTTTTTGTTATAAAATTATCGTGATAATCACGATAATTTTTTAAAAGTGATTTAAAGTTTGAATCGGGGGGTGGTTACGCGTAAAACGACCACTCGCGTGCTCTGCTATAGTCTAGTCAGCTCGGTGTTACCGAATAGACGGATCCAAATCCGATACTGCGGATCTAAAGAAGTTAGTACCGTAAGTTTCAACCTTGAATCCTAAGACGCTGCCAACGCGTGAGCGAGTTTGCCACGTTCGCTCGCAAATATATGAGTGCGAAATAAATCAAATAATCAATCATCATCGTTATTGATAATTTTGTAATATTTATTAGAGAATTTCGCGGTACGTAGATATTTTCGCAACGCAAGGTCGAGGTATTGACCGCATATAGCGAAGTAGTGTCGATATATCCGTTAAACAAGTATTTTAAAAATATTTACGATTAATAACCGTATAAACATTAACTGTACTGCAGTAAAGCCATTAACTCGTTCAGAAATCATTATAATTTTTAAATGGTATAGGATTTGGTGTAGACAAAATTCATTAATTACGCAATGTTTCTGGTTTTGTTGCAGACCGATACGGATACGTCATGAAGGAAGAAGACCAAACGGGCGTTGATGACGGTTACGAGACATGCTCTATCGGCTCTGCACCGGCGTCGGCCGTGGAGGAGGAGGAAGAACGCGACGTCCGGATGTTGGCTCATCTGCTCGGTGGGATTGAAGTGGATATGCCCAGGGATTTTGACGCGATTTTCGAGAACATGCCAGAATGGATCGACCCGGTGAAACTGAAGAGAGGCCAGCGGTTCGCCCTGGACTATTATTTCGGGGTATCGTTCTCGGAGGTGGTGTCTCTATACGTACTGTTCGCGTTGAGCAAAAACGGCCTGGAAACGTTGATCCGGACCAACCGGTCGAATACGCCATACCGGGCGTACAGGCGATACTACGAGACATCGGAAATCGTCAGGACGTGGCTAGAGACTGACATCCTGGAACCGGGTACCGAAGGCTATGAAAACCTGCGCAAGGTATTCCGGATGCACCGGCAGATCCGGGACGATAAATTTCGGAATCCCTCGAAATACGAGACGGCACAGAGATCACCAGGAACCACCGACGGGCGGTGCTCATACTTGTTGCCAGACCTACGAAAGGATTTCGTGCGCGTTCCGCCCGGGTGCGTCGAAATGTTTGCCCACACAGAACAGCACGATTTAAACTCGTTTAGCCAGTGCTACTTGGCCATCACGCAGTTCGGGTTCTTTGGGCTTGCGCTGGTGTACCCGGAATGGTTCGGCATACACAACTGTTCCAGGCGGGACATGGAAGACTTTGTGCACCTGTGGCGGACCATCGGCTATTTCATGGGCCTCAGTGATGAGTATAACTTCGGCCGAGGCACCCTCGACGAAGTGATCGACCGGTCTCGGTGGCTGGTGCGGGCCATGGTTAAACCGAAGTTCAGGGACCTGACCACAAAGTGGGAACACATGTCTCGATGCGTGGCCGATGGTTTGCGGATGTACATGCCGTCCAGCATGCCGTTCGACACGTCATTTTGTTATTTGTGTGACGTGTTCGATTTGGACGTGACCAATTTTAAGAAAACCATCGGATTCTGGCAGCAGGTTTCCGTGTGGTGGACACGGTTCTTTATGAAATATCTGATGAGGTTCGATTGCGTCAGGCGCACGATGAACATGTACGTTTTCGGTTGCCTGAAGAGGGCCACCGTAGAGTTTAACGACGAGACCGTTCAGGCGCGGTTAAAGGATAAGGTCTTCGACTACTGTTCGTAAGTGGATGCACTAAACCGTAAGTTCGCGGGACATAATCAACTGTTACGGGCAGCAAATTACGAGTCGATTTTAAAAGTTACCATTGATTAAACAATATTATGTGTACGTTTGATATTTTTTACATCCTATATACTCGGGAACTCAACTTTATATTAATATATTTATAATATTGGTTTTGTTTTGTTTTGTTTTTTTTTTTTTTATTTGACAATAACTAAAAATATTATATACGACTTCTGATACAGCGACGGGTTCGTCAGCTATTATATAAATATTACAGTTATCAAATATTATATTATATTGTATTACCTATATAATGTCACGGATATTTATATCAGCTTTTATAATTTTAATCGGTACGCTATAATTGGCTTACAATATCGTCTATATAATTGTTGAGTATCTATCTCATAGGATATTATTCCGCTTTGGATGGGCGGATAATATGGGAATTTAACCATTATATACAGTTAAGGATTATATTATGTTTACGAACAAATTCAATCTTGAATTCAATAAATTATTGCTACGTTTAATATAGATTTTTTTTTCTGTTTTTCTAGAAACTTTACACCGATTCGCGGTCGGTGTTTTTAATAGACTACGGGTTCTAAACGACACTCGTCATATAATATTATTACAAGTATTATTATTAGAACTCTTCCACAAACGGGTGATGCACCTAGAGTCTCTGAAAGTTCGCATTGCTTCCGGATTTCCGCCTATAAATCTAAGTTGCAGGACCGAAAGGTCCACGTTCAACCGTTTTTTTACTATACATGTACCTGCTCCGTCTTGCGTGATCCCTTCTTTCGGTTTATCCTAGTAGTACTGAAATTCACAAACGAAATTATTTAATCGTTATATATAAGATAATAAAACACAAGCATGTACCTATAACCTGACCTACTCCGCAGCCGTTCGTTGATATTTAAATTTGTACATCATTGCATTTTTTTTTTTTTTATACATTAATTATTGATAAATAGAAACTATTTACCATCATGAATTACCATAAACGCAAAATAATTGAACTACAATATGCGCCATTGGCCCATTTCCATATAAATAAGTGCCTAATAATGGCATAATGCAACGTATTAATAATGTATGCCAAGTTTTAAATTATTAAACAATAAAATAACCTATAAAAGGCATTGTTAAACGTGCCTCGTTGTATTAATAAATCGATAATACCTTGCATAATTTGAACGTAATGAGTGATAATATTACCTATTAAATAAAAATTAAATTAGTTTTATTTATAAATAATATTGTGTTTTGTTTTTCAGGATACGTTATTTTATACATATTTGAGATGAAATTTGTCTCAAATCAATAGCAAGTTAGTTTATAATAATGATAGTAATAATAAAATTGCTATATTATAGTTAATAATGTGTTTAAAGTGGGTATCAATAATGAACGCCTTAAGTATAATTCATTAACAAACATTGTGCTAAAAATGATAAGAAATTTTTTCTAATCGAATTTAGAAAATGTTTATATACTATAATCATGGACGGATCTAGTGGGGCGGGGTGTAACTCTTCCTTAATTCTTGATTTCAATGGCAAGCCAGCATTTTGTCCAAAGACGACAAAATAACTTGATACTGTTAAAAGGCACTGTATATTACAATAGATATTATCATGAATATTAAAACGTACGTTTTTCTCCAAATTTGTCGGAAAATTTAAAAACACAACTCCGGTGATTGTAATCAAAAACAAATTTTTTTCATACAGCCCTTCCCCCCTTATACAGAGTTTATCCGTTATAGTTTTATTCGTGGTAGGAACTCAAATGCTAACTCATCAGCTCGATTTTATATCATTGCAGTATTCCAGTAAGTAGCAAGTATAATTGAATATTTGAATACAATGACACAAAAAATATTTTATCTCTATAATAATAATACGTAACAAATTCTTTTTAATATCTCTCTAATTCGCTCTTTTATTGCAACTCATCATAGAAAGCAAGGAGCAAATCAGTAGCATTGACAAAATTTATGAGACGTTTACGAGCTCTGCGGCAGCCGAAAAGGAGAACTTCTTGATGTTGGTTTATCTGCTTGGTAGGATCAAGGATAATATATACCCAGCAATTTCGACGTGCTGCTCCGGAATATGCTCGACTGGATGAATCCAGTGTGGCTCTAGAGGGGTAAGCAGTTCGCGTTGGACAACTTTTTCGGGGCATCGTTTTCCGAGTTGTTGTCACTGTACGTGCTGGCTAAGAGCAACTTGGACATGTTGAACCAGACCGTACAAGGTATACAAACGGTACTACACGACATCGGAAATCGTCAGGTCGTGTATGGAGATGGACATCCTGAAACCGGAACATCGGGGGTTATGAAAAACAGCAAAATATATACTGGATACACCGGAAGTTTCAGAACGAAATAATTTGGAGAATTCTTGCAGAAATCAAGGGACAGCGCGGGAACGCCCGAAACCGCTGACGGGCAGTGTCCATCATAATATGCCGGGTGATTCATTTAATTGGGTACTCTCATTATCTCGGAAAGTATTAACTTTTTTCGGAATTTGTTTTCTAAAACATACTAGAAACAAACAGCTCTACAATTTTATATTTATGTTATTTTTTGTAACCCTTATTTTTGGGGGTAAAATCACTACTTATTTTTGATTTTCAAATGGTAACCTATATTAAAAATTCCATAAATAGGTGCAGTATTATTTAAAATATATTTCAACACTAAAATTGATTTTAAACGTTAATACTTTCCGAAATAATGAGTGTACCCACTTAAATGAATCACCTGGTACGCCTTGTTAGACCTTTAAAAATATTTCGCGAACATTCCGCCCGGGTGCATCGAAATTTTCAATCCACTTAAAACGGCCCATTTCAACCCGTTTAACGAGTGCTATTTATCCAGTGTGATAATGAAGATAAAACATCATGGAAGATTTTGCGCATCAGTGGCGGACCATCGACTATTTTAAGGCGGTCACCTTTGCCAACTTCAGTCGAGGTACTTTCGACAAGTCAATCGACTAGTCCCGATGGCTGATCCGGATCATGGTTTAGGTAAAGTTCTGGGACCTGACCAGAAAATGATATGACATATGACGGTGAACAATCGGTGCATGGTCGATGGGGTACCAATGTATATGCCGTTCCGTAGACATGATTGATTTCAAGAAAACCATCGGGTTCTGACCGCGTGTCTTCATGTGATGGATGCGGTTTTTCACAAAATATCTGATGAAGTGGGTATGGTTACGTCAAACACGCCATTACCTGGTTCATTTTCGGTTGTCCGAAAAGGGCCGTCGAGGAGTTTAACGGCAAACCCGTTCACACACGATTGAAGGAAAACGTTCTTGATTACTGTTCGTAGGTGCCAGTTTTATACGGTAATAACTATTTTATTATATTATACGACAACGCCACAAAACTTATAATTTCGTTGTAGGTAAAGCTAACGGGAATTACAATATTAAATTAGATTAGAAGTTGTTTTTGTTTTGTTTTTTCAATTAATGAAATTTTCAACTTTTTTTTAAATTCTAATAAATTTCCGTCAGTTTTTAGCCACGACAGAATAATAAGTTTTAACTGACACTTGAGACTTGACAGTAATATTTACGATTTGAAATTAATCATAAATTTCGTATATTTTTCCGTTTTTCCTACATTTTTTTCCATTTATTATAAAAACTCGTGGGAAATTAAAAAAATCTTAAAGTATCACCCCAATCTAATTTGTTTTCAGAAAAGGTGTTATATTTGATAATCTGAGCAACAAAATTTTTTATTTACAGAAGAAAAAAAAATAAACATCACTATAATACCAATGCATTCCTGGCTCGGTTCAAAATCTAAAACTCAAGTGTGGAATTAAATTGAGTATATTTTGAACATGGAAAATTTCTTATTTATCTATATGCAAAGCATTTTATTTATTTATTATTAATTTATAGGTGGGTATGCCTACAAGTTTTTTTCACCCATATAAATATATTTATTATCTGTTGACCCTGGGGGAAATAATTTTTGTTCATTAATCATTATCATCATCATTTCTGTGATTATTATTAGATTTTGTTTCATCTCCAATGTTGTATCTAGAGGAATTCATCATGCGAGAAAGCAACTTTTTTTTTTTGAAGATAAAATATTGGCATTAACCTATAGTTATTCACTAATCCAAATGAATACATTTCTTATACTTTTACATATTAAATCACGGTTTTTGTAATACGGAAATAATCCATAATTTAATTATGCTATTAATATTACAATTATTTATTATTATTATTAATTCTTTAAGATAAAAATATAAATAAAAAAACCATTGCTATAGAAATACGATTCTAAAGGAACTTCGGTTACACATTTACATGTTTTAAAATGCTTGAAACGTTTTGAACAGACGCAATACTATAAAAATGTTGAATACCTTCAAAATTATACCTTGGTGTTTTTCAACCTAAAATAAAATTGAAAAATATGGACACAACGTCGTATACAATAATACTGATACACACAATAATAACGAACTAGAGATTGTAATAGTTACCGAAAAATAACATTGATAGTGTGTTATTAAAATAACTATTACCCACAATTAGTCACCACGAGTTATTTGATGATAAATAATATGCATTTCTAATTGGTGATTCAAATTTCATATTATGTTAAGATGTAGTGGAATTTAATGAGCTTGTTCAATTGTATGCTCTAGAAAATCTAGGAGATAATTTTTTATCTATTTTGATTACGTAATCATTTACAACGGTATAAAAAAAATCGATCTAACGTCGAATTCGTTAGTTTTTTTTAATTTTACTGTACAATTTTCAGCTACCATGCAAACTGAAAGAAATATTACATTACGCGTTCGTAATAAACGTCATGTTTAAATACGTTGAAATACTTATCTATTTGTCGGAACCGTATTGTTTTGTTTGGCTAGACAGCATTTCCGCGCTATACACAGTCATACCAGTGTCTGTTAATTCAGATTTCACCATATAATATATTTGTAAAATAAATAAAATTTCAAAGTTTAAAACCATTTTTGGAATAATTCATATAAATAAAATAATATATACAATTTAGACATTAATAACTGTGCAATAATAACTTTATAACGTTTTATACGTATGTATCATTCCTTAATAATTCTCATAACTATTTCATGTGACATGTGACCTTTATTATTTTCATTTTACTTATAATCATTATTATTATTATTATTATCAACTAACGATTTATTTTTAATAGATACTTACTTTTGTTTTATCACAACATTAAGCAGTTTTAATTCAATATGTTGATTGGTGTATTTACATATTATCATGTGTGGTTCATTATTGCAGAACTGTCGGCTGTCATGGGTGTGTATCCACGAATTAGAACCATAATACTGCAGTATTATAGTTACTGCGTTCAAAACGAAAATAATAATTCATTCGATTTTTTTTAATGTTCGATCGACATTATCAGGTATGTCAAAATAATATTTATATTATATTATTTTATACAATTAACAAATTTACGTTTTTATAAGATAAGACCACGAGAATAATAGTAAAAACAAATGTTCATCTAACACAAAATGCCAAAAATACCGTTTTTGAAAATTTGAAAAAAAAATGGCGAACTGTTCATAATATATGTACAAAGGAATTTCAATAAACCTAAATTAGCATAAAACAGCTGATATCGAGCCTATGTAGGTAAAAAAGCGTAAAAGCGACATTTGAACGATAAGTGAATTATAATAACGCATTTGTGTTCGGTAACATAAAAATTTAATATTTGATGTAAACAATTTTTCGAAACGAAATCTTGCTCCGATATATAGAGTATAGTACCTTATCTGAAAAAAATTTTTGTCTGATTGATGCATTAGAGAGATTATTTTTAATTTTCCAAGCTAGTTTTAAAATAATTGGAAAAACTATAGGTAAAATGGCAAATATTTACGCCAAGCCGGCGTTACAATTTTCATAGTTTTTAATTTTTGTTCATGAATTTTCCACCAGAATTATTACTCCAATTGAAAAATGACATAAGATCGATTTTGTTCCATTTAACATGATATAGCCAATTTTTAATCTAGTAGGTGACCAAGAAAGTCGATTTTTGATTTTATTTTCTTCTATTCAATAGTTAATTAGAGCCCACATTGAAGTTGATAGGTGCATACAAATTTTCTTCTTGACCTTGGTCTAACTAACAACTATAGATACAAGATACTATTACTATAGATTATCTAGCCTAGATACGTTGTTAATACAATAATATTGATAATCTAAGGCATTTATTAATAAATGTCCTCTCCCCTTTCACTAAAAAAAAAAAAATCTCCGCAAGCAGATAAACAAGTTCCATGAGAATAGATAGATCAATCAAACCTTCCCCTTGACTTTTAGACTTTCCTCAGTTACCCCACTTTTCAATTACCAGTGAGATTATTTCCTAATTATAGAACAGGGACCAAAAGAACATATTCTTGAAGAAAATTTTAAAACCGTTTCTTAGTTCAAGGAATCGGAATCTTGTAAATAAAATAGGTACAAAGTTGTATGGGTTCCATGGAATTACAAAGAAAATTAATGAAAAATAAATAAATTAATGAAAAAAATAAACTGTAATTAGTAAGAAATCGAAATATACATTATTTTCTTAGAAATAAGACAGAAATACTTTATCGTGTTTCATACTTCCAAAAATTAACAGAAATAAGTAATAAAAATAAAAAATAATTAATATGACGTCTGGAATTGGTATTAATCGAAACCGATATTACCAAGAACTGGAACTGGAACTCATATTCTAAGAATCGGAATTAACCGAAATTTAATAGAACCTAGCCAGAACTGGTACCAGAACCGAAATTCTATTTTTTTTAAGAACCAAACCGGATCCAGAACCTATAAAAAACTATAGGGTTCCAGTTCCTGAATAGTGTATTTCTATATAAAATAATTTATTTTCATTTTTGTTACACAATTTACACTAATTCAATTATATTTACCAATTATTTTCTAGTGCATATTCACAGAAATAATTTTACTCTACTGGATGTCCAATAGATTTTGCTATGTATCTATTCGGACGTAGAAAACCTTCTAAACATTTGTCCGACTGTGTAGGTGTACAAATTGTTACTTATGTATTTTTAAATTTATAAAGCTTTTTTTCACTAAAGACCGTAGAAACTTGACATTTTGTGATATGTCTGGAATTTCAGACTTGTACATTCCAGGTTTTCAAGGGCTCTCTTATTTAAAGTTTATTATTTATTATCTACGAGAATAACTTAATACCTTACAAATATAAAAATATATATTTATAAAATTTATTTTAGGTATTTACTCATTTGCTTTAAAATAATATGTATAGGCATAAATAGCATTAATTTAATATATGTAAAGTATAAATTATACCGGAAAATTGTTAATACAAGATATTATAATATGAAGGTACAGTGTTGTACTTATGCCACCCGTGTTGCAATCATTGTAAAAGTATTGTGTCATCCAACGAAGATTATAAAATACACGCTGCAGTACTCGTCGACCTAAACTCTTTATGACTATTGTTGAGCAACAGAAGTCTGTGCTTTTACGCCACACAAACATGTCGCTTATAACTTTACGCTGCTAGAAAATTTAATATCTGTCGTTTACGAAAATTGAATTCATAGAGAAAAAACCGTTAGTTTTTAATGAAGTAGCTACTATTTACCCAGCAGACAGTAGTGGCTTACACTTTTCATCGTTAATAAAGCTGACTTGTCTACATTTTTTTGATATGAAAAGGTAATTTTGTCCAACAGTGTCGGTAATGCCCTTCCTATATTAAGTATATTAAGGTTCAATATAATATTATCTAAATCAGCGTTTCTCAACCATAGGGTCGCTACCCAATTTTGGGTCATGGATAATTTTAAATAGGTCGCCAAATGATTTAAACGTTAATATAATAATTTCATTTTAGACTACCTGTATAAAATAGTTTTAAAAATAATTAATGAAATATCTTTCGTAAATTATTTTTCTTGACAAACAAGTATAAATTTATAATTTTGGACTATAGTCTTTCAATACTGTAAATACACCCTATCAGATCACATTCACAGAAACGATTAAATTTGGTGAGTTGTTGACTTGAAGTATTTGTTTTGGTATCAATTGTTATTATTGTGAACTTCACAAGGTACCCGTTACTCGTTTTAGTCGTGTATATCAATTTTAAAATAAATGGAATTAATAGTTTCTTTTAGTTATGGTAATTGAACAATTAAATGGGTTGGGTAGGATGGGTAGTCTTTCGTTAGGAATTATTTTCAAAAAGGTCACATGAATTGTGTAAATATCTTGGGTCACCAACACAAAAATGTTGAGAACTGCTGATCTATATTACATATATGTTATATTATGATATACAATACATCGTATTACAAAATAGTTTCCAAAGTAGTGTTTAATGTTTATGTACTTATAATAATATAGAGTCATTAATTTTCATAATTTGCAATATATTTAGGTAGGTTGATCGATATATTGTAACATGAACGATCAAGCATACGGTGACGATAATAATCATGAACCCGGATATTCAACAATAGACGAAAACATTAGTTCATCAGCGACCGCTTTTCACGAACCGCAAGACGTCCACAGGTTGGTCCAAATGTTTCAAGGTGTTGTGGATGACATGCCCAGCGATTTCGATTCGTTAATGCAAAATAAACCCGATTGGATTGATCCGGAAAAACTAAAAAGAGGACAACAGTTTGCTTTGGAACATTATTTTGGAGTGTCGTTCTCTAAAATATTATCATTATACATATTGTTCGCGTTAAGTCATAATGGTCTGGACACATTGATATACACCCGGATGTCGGACACTCCTTACAAAGCGTACAGACGATACTACGCAACGTCGGATATCATAAAATCGTGGATGGAAACCGACATATTGACTCCGGAAACAAAGGGCAATAAAAATATGCGCAGGGTATTTCAGATGCATCAAAAAGTACATGAAGATTTATTGCAGAACCCCATTATTGATGGCCAAATGGAACCGCGGTGTACTATTTTAGGAAAACCCTGGTATACGGCCACACTGGCGAACCTGAAAAAGGATTTCAAATGTATTTCCCCCGCACCCACCGAAATAAATAGCCTCCTGGAACGACAAAAAACCGTGTTCAACCAGTGCTACCTTACAACCACGCAATTTGGATTTTTTGGTTTGGCCATAGTCTATCCGGAATGGTTCGGTATCCACGACTATTCTAGACAAGATATGGAGGACTTTGTACATTTATGGAGGACCATAGGTTATTTAATGGGTATTAAAGACGAATACAATTTTGGTCGTGGTACCCTTGACGAGGTGAAGGAAAGATCAAAATGGCTAATTCGGGTGTTAGTGATACCTAAATTCCGCGAAATAACCGAAAAATGGGAACACATGTCTAGGTGTGCGGCAGAAGGAGTGCGGATGTACATGAAAAAAAGTCTGTCTTTCGAATCGTCATTTTGTTATTTATGTGACATACTCGGTTTGAAATCGACTAATGTTAAGAAAACCATCGGTTTTCGTAAATACATTTACTTATGGTGGTTACGGTTTTTCATGAAATATTTATTAAAGTGGAATTTGTTTAACTTAAGAAAAAGGTTGAATAGATATATTTTTAAAAGTATGAAAACCGCCGCCGAAGAATTAAACAACGAAAATATCCAAATAAAATTGCTAAATAAATTTATTAAATACGAACAAACGGCGGCCGTGTAATAATATTTCAGAATATTGAAAATTAGGCATATAAATACAATAATAATTATAATTTGTTTTTTTTAAAATTTAAATAGGTGTCACACGAAAAAATATGATCATTGCGATATTTTGAAAAGTATTAGTTTTTTATTTTTTTGATAAATTAAGAAACAAGGATCTCTAAAATATTGCATTACCTACCATTATTTTTTGTCAGCCTTATTTTTGGTGTTGAACCGACTGATTGTCGGATATTGGTACGGTCGCAGTCGTCCATAAAATGTATCACAAGAGAAATTAAAAACACGGAATACTGGTACTTTTCAAAATTTAATTTTCGGAGGGCTAAAATATTTTAATATTCATATAGTTTTCAATAAATCGTTATTGGTCAAATAGTTAAATTTAAATATGTTAAAAACAAATAAATAGGTAAAAATTAATAATAGGAATCAAAATAAATACAAAGTATAAATAGGTATATAAAACGAAGCACTTTAGCAGATAGGTACCTTCAACTAACAATATATATTATGTTTAATCCATGAACACAATAATAACCAATGTTCTATACTTCAAGCATTTACTTACTTTTTGACTAAACACGTTGATAGACAGTAGGCCAACATTACTACTATAGCAGTAATAATACAAATTAATGTTGGGGATCATTTTTAAATATCACTACTATAGCAATATTATGAAAATCGTCCTCAAAATGCCATTACTGCTATAGCAGTGATATTTTAAACGCAATCATATGAAAGAGGAAGTTCTACTGACCTATAGATTCCAAAAGACCCGTGAGCACTAGAAAATATTGATAAATATAATACCTTTTTTCTATTTATAGTTCGCACATATCTATAGTTCATGGTTTGACGAAAATTAATGACAAATTAAGGTCGGGTTTTGGTGAAATATTAGTTTTTGTAGTGTCCATCAACGCTTCAACATAAAATCTAGCATAATGCTATAGAAACTCGTACCATGTTATTACAATAATTTCAAAAATGAAATTTGAAAGTGCTTTTTTTTATAGCTTACTTTGATTGTTTTTGAACAAATTGCTTTTTTCTGGTTTTTCTGACTATTTTTGGTATTTTGCATATCTCTGCTTAATTATGACACGTGTACTACAGCCGAACTAAAAATTATTTAAAAATTATTTGAAATACAAAGTTTAAGAAAATATTTGATTAGGTATTTAATTCAATAGAAAGAGCAATTAACATTTTAAAATACATTGTTTTTTTAATAAAATTAATAAATTTTTTTTTTGGTTAAAAAATGTGTAATTCATTTTTCAAAAAAAATCTATATATGAAGTGTAATAAAAAAGGAATACACTAATAAAAAAAAATTATGAAAGAAGTTGGTACTTTTCAAGATATTTTAACGATCATATTATCTTCTAGTGACATGTTATATAAATTAAATAATTGCAATTTTTGTTTGTATGTATTTATTGATGAATATTCCTGAGATGTTACAAAATTAATAGGTGGATAGAAACAATATTGAAATGTTTATAATCATTAGACCTGCAATAATAACCAATTATGTATAGTTTTTAATATAAGAAAATACAAATTTTATACATAATATTCTTGTATACAAACTAATACATTACCATTGAATTTATAATATTATAAAATCTATGGCACTAAATTTAATTTTGAAAATATATACACCTATACAATTTAGACCAAAAATAAAGGGGAAAAAAAATTTAATTCGACAATATTATAAACACAAAGTACCGAAAATCGATAAAAGCTCTTTTCCCATGGTACCAAAGGTACAACATACAATTTATTATAAGTTAAAATCCTAATTTTAATTTTTAGATAATAAAATACAAATATTAACTACAAATATAAACTATTATAAAACAAATGATACTACCTTTAATTGTATCAATGACTAATGATTGTATAATAATTTTATTATTGGTTGCATTATTTCAATATTATCATATTTTTTTAAATTAAATATATTACAAATCGTATATTTACTTACTAATTTAGATGACGTAATATTTTAATTTGTAACAAAATATTTATTTGTTATGTCATAAACTCTTAATATAAGTGCTTTGCTAAATATGAAAATCATGTAGTAGACGGTAATGTATATCATAATTAATTTGGGCATTTTAGATTTTGAATGTAGCATAGAATGTATTAATTTTACTAAGAGTGAATTTGATTTTTCAGTCAGTAAACAACTTTTTTACCATTAATCTTGTTTTGATCATCAACTTCAAAGGTGGTTATTGTTAATACTGTTTTTGTCTAGTTGATATGCTGAGCAGGTCATTTTTTTTTATTTTCATTGTGATTTTCTTAGTAATTAAGAAAAACCTGGAAAAACTTTAGAAAAATCACACATTCTATGTAAAGATTTCTGTTATTATTTTTTTTTGTTTAATTATTCAAATTCAAATTCAAATCAAGGTTTGGTATTACAAGCTATTCGAAAAATTAATAAACACAACTATTTTCATGAACTCTTTTATTTACGTATAAAGCATATACTATTGAAACTTAAATATAAAAAAAAGTAAAGATACAAAATGAACGACTTAAATTTTAATAAATACTTCTTTAGATTATGCAAAATTCATACTAATGATAGTCTAATAGAAATATATAAACAGTTATAATAATAGTAATAGTACAAATTTTTAAAAAACATGAAATGCTATTCAATCCTCTGATGAATCAGAATTTCTCTGTTCTGATACTAAAATGAAAAAAAAGACAATAATTAATATGTAGTTTTTGTTAAAAATAATAACAATGATTTACTCACAGTCATTTATAACTCGTCGGGTGTTGTTTGATTTTGTGTTTCTTTGCTTAGGTATAGCACCACCAGATGGATTTAAATATACATTTGAATTATCAATTGGCAGCTCTGAATGATTTAATCTTGAACTAATGTTAACAGTTTTAGTAAATAATTCAAAATTAATATTTAATAAAAATCAACAATATATTAACTTATAACCTAACAGGGACAGTCATTGACGTCAATGACGATCACCTCTTAATTTATCCTAAAAGGAGAAATTAAGAAAGCCTCTGTCTATCAAAAGGACAATAAAACATGTGTTTTCATTCTTACAATAGTACTCAGGATATAATAGACCTAAAACAAAAATTATTTGACCAAATTAAAGACAACAAAATATACTATGTTTTAAACATTTTATGATTTCTCAGATAAGTCTTCAAATTTTAAGAACAGAAAATTCTTCTTAATATTGAATTAAGAATATATATCAAATAAAATACACTGGAAAACACAATAAATGTTTTTATCTTGAATTTGGTTTAGTTTTTCTTTTGAGTTCTATTAGATCCAGAGTACTATTGAAAGTATGAAAATATATCCTTGCTATATTATCATTTAAACACAGAGACAGCAAATGTTACTGTGTAACAATGTACTGTATTAATTATATTTTATGAATACCTGTATGACTACCATAAGAAGGAAAAGCCATACAACTACATCTTTAAAGGCAGTTAACTTGTTTGGTAACAATAGAAAATATTCTATAACCTTATCGCAAAAAAAAAAAAAAAAAAAAAAAAAACAGAAAAGTAAAAATGGTTCAACACTAAAAATAAATCAGATGAAAAAAAAAGTAACTATTAATGTTTTTAAAGTTACACTTTACTAGGTCATTTCTTATTGATATATTATAGGTTATCTGTACATAATTTTCATTTATTATTTTTAAAATGTAATTTATAAAATAATAATAAATAATATAAAATATTAATGAAAATACAAACATTCAACACCTAATATTTATTTTACTATTAATAAACATATGATTATTAATTTATTAACCATCAATTATCAACAAATAATTGTGTTGTTGATAGTTTTTTAATTGTTTTATGTAAGTTTTTAAATTTAAATGCATTTATTGGTTAGAGACTTTTAAAGAAAATGTATAAGTTTGAATGACAACTTTTAATTAGATAGTTAGACATTTATAATTTATACTTAAATATTTCAACTTTAACTTTATTATGGAAATATAATAAACTAGGTAGATGGTTATTAATAATCAAATTAAATAAATATATAATAAAAAAAAAAAAAACTTAGTGTAAATTGTGTCTATTTTCATTTATCAGATATAATTGATTAAACATTTGTGTTTTAATTTAATTTAAAATATTTAAAAATAGTTTTTATGTTTAATGTTTAATATTAAGAACTTACTTTGATAAAAATTGTTCATAGTTGTTCCTGGCAGGATTATTCACAGCATTCATGTTTACTCTATTCTTATTATACAATTTTACTCTCGGCAGCTTTTGTATTGTTTGTGGTTGTGGTTCATTGACTGTGAATGTTGGTAAACAATGATCAAAATTATTTAATGTGAACGAATTACAGGGCAATTTTTGGTTAGTAGAACTACAATATTATTATATTAAATTTAAAATCAAAATTAATAATAAGCCAAGCAAAATATATGTACATTGTACGTTTAATTAAACATGTAAAATTAAACTTTTATGAACATAAAATATTACCAAATCTTGGTGGTTTAAATAAATTGCGTTTAGTTTCATGAATGATGTTTGAAGAAGGAACATTATGCATGGTGTGCTCGTCGTCTGCACAATCGGCTTTATCTAAATTATTTTGTATTGGTACATCATTCGAAATCAATTTTTTTTCACATTTAATCTAGAAAAATCAATGAAACAATATAAACTACAAATTATTATAATTTGGTAAAAAAAAAATAAAGCAATATATTGGTGTAAATAATGTATATCAAACCGTTAACAACTATATTTATTATAAAGATATACTAAAATATGTATATGTAATCACTATACGATTTAATTACTTGATGACTCATTAATTTCTTAAAAGATATTAATTTTTCGCAGAATTCACATGGCAATTTTTCAACATTGATTTTTTTATTATCATCATCATCATCATCATCATCATCATCGTCATCATCATCATCATCATCTGAACTTAAACTTAACGTATTCAAGTTTAATTCACTATCACTACTGCTGGCATCCAAGTCCAGAGGAGGTACAGGAAACCTATTATTCTGTTTGTTGTGATATCTGCGTGTTGTACGAAAAATATTTTGAAATGTAGTAAACTCAGGACGGCATCCAGTCTATAAAATAAATAAGTTAAAATATAATTTACAATGAATATGTTAGTAATTGATATTATATTAATACTTCATGCAAAATAAGATTTTCAGAATCAATCATTTTTTGACAGAATTCACATGGTAGTTGAACTCCTTGCAATATGTCAGAATAATTGTTTAAATGATCATTGCTATTTGTTGAATGAGCTCCTTGTGTAGATAATTCATCATCATCTAGTGGAATAAAATAGTAAAATACTTCAAATGCATATAATTAAGGTGACCGGTCCAAAGTGTACATAGTAAATTGTTTCTCTTATTTTAAATTCATATCAAACAGCAATAAAATCAAAATAAAAACAATCTATAGTAATAGTAAACTTATATATATAAAAAAAAAAAAATCAAATCTTAAAATCAAGAATATTAAATTAATCAATGAATAAAAAAAAGACATACTTCAAACAATGGGTGGAATTTAATTTATATCTGTACATAATGATTAACCATTGTTAAAAAAAAATAATTCATAGTGAAGTTTCTTTTATACACGTACATAAATATTCCAATGTTTTTCCCCAATTATTATGAAAACCTCTTGGAAAATCAAAAAAATGACTAGTTTGATTAAACTAAATTAAATTTCCTTTCTGGAAAGGTGCTACACTTGATACATCGGGGCAAGATTTCTGGTAGAAAAGTTGCTCACAGAATAATAATAATAAAAAAAATAAACATCATTGTCATCAAAACCAGTATACTCCGAATTTAAAAATCAATAATATGCATCAACAAATAAAAGAAACTGATTTACAAAAGAAAAAATATGTTTAAGAAATGTGCATATTGAAATTCTTATAAAAAAAAATGTATTTTTATTTATTACCACTCGGTGTGTCTACTATTGGCATGTTCTTTTTTGGATCTTTATTGGTGTTATCATTGTTGTTGAGTTTGTTAATTTGTGGTTGATCATTGTTACGTTTTACTGGCGGTGATACTCTGTGGTTAGTAATAACTGGATCATGTATTCTCAAAGTAGGCATACTAGTAGTTCTTACAGCACCTCTCACAGTTCCTCCTACTGCAACATTTGGCACTTTTTTCGTTAACAATGGATATGCAGCCAAACTTTCTGGACTATCATCCAATAATGATTGTGCAACTACAATTTAAAACATAATTTAATCAAATTAAAATGTCAAAAACAGACATATAATGTTTACCGTATTCTTACCATTAGGAATTCTTTTGAGAGCATGGCTTTCCCTATGAACAGCAAAGTATTTGAGCATGATAAATTGTCCACAATCATGACAACGTTCTGTACGACTACTGCACACGTCTACATGAGCCATCAATGAAGATGCTACAACATCAATATCACAATAATTGCATATTTTCATGCGATGTGGACAATTGTTAAGCTAAGGAATAAATTAACAAAAATTAATATAAAACCGAAAGAAAATAAATACATTTTAGGTATATACTTTGTGTGATTCTAAATTCATTGCTTCAAGTATTGTAGAACAATCATCACATGAAATTTTCGCATGCATGGTTTTCTGGTGTTCTTCAAATTCGGGGTTTGTGAACGGTACATCACATTTCATGCAAAGTTTCAAGTTACGATGACAATATGCGGTGTGCATTTCATAATTGTGTAGTGGAATATTTCTTCGACTAAAGTAATAATATGTAATAGTTAAATATTGGATTAAAATTTCATATTTTAATGACATATTAGTGAGTATCATATAATATTGTTTTGTATCAATTCCAAACATGGTAAAGTAACAAAATAATTGAAAGTATGTAAATTGTATATAGATGTATCTACTTACAAAAAATACTTTTTTTTTACATTACCAACCTGTCAGAATGTTTTATGATTTTTATTTCCCTAACAATACGTTACTACAACACGATTTTCATTAATATACAGTGATATAATTTTGACAGAAACAATTAAGGAATACTTTCATGCAATACAGTGATAGTAACAATGTAGGTAGTAATTACGCTAATATAATACAATTATTAAAAAAAATGATAATTTTCTTATTTCTATTATTTCTATCACTATTATATGATTGACAAAACATAGTTAAATTTACAAGAAAATTGTGTTAAATTCTACTTTACAAAATCACAGAAACATAACCAATGGCTGATACCATTACCAAGGAGAAACTAAATGTCAAGAGTTTGTGATCTTTTGAAATACCAATAATATTGATCAGAATCAATAGTGTACATTAAAAAAAAACTTAACAATATTCACCTAAAGATAAATTAAAAATAATGAACTAGATAGACTACATACAACATTTACATTTTATAAATGCATAATAATTTTACTTGACATAAATACTTAAATACAAATAACATTTTTTTAAATTTTTTTGATGACATCAATAAAAACATTAAAATAAAAATTTAATTTATAAACTAAATACCAGGTATATTTATTTCACCAATAATATTTTACATGTCATTTTATATTTTTAAAACTGAAGTCATCTACCAGTTCTATATTTTGGCATGCCAATAAATTATTACTTTATCTCTTTAATATATTTTAGTGAAAATCATGACAGTTAGTACTTATAATCTGAAAAGTAACTAAACCTCATTCAGCTATTTACTATGGAAATATCCTTTACAGTAATAACAAGTGGCAGAGCACCTCATTAAAGATTGACAGATTATTAATTTTAATAATACGGGGAATGTCATTGAAACTGAAAAAATATTCACAGTACTAGTAGGTACATTAGGTACCTAATGACAGAAAATCCTGCGATATGTATGTTCTACATAATATAATATATATTTTATAAGCATGTGTTTTAATATTTGATAAGTGCTGTGTAGAAAAAAAAACCAAGGCCATATCAGATGAATAATTAAAAACTCAATTATAGAGTTAACATTTTTTAATTATAATTCTTAATATTCAATAGGTTAATTGTTGGAATAATTGAGAGCTCTACCCGATACACTTCAAAATCTATATCTTTAATTTCACTTATGATTATTTCTACAGCTCTGTACTTTTATATTTATTTTAAGTATTTAAAATTTGGATTAAAGGGAATTTGCATAGTAATCGTACTATACAGTAATTTCTAATTATTATACTTAATATTTTGAATTAAAATTTATTATACTTGGCTAGGGGTCACATATGTCCCAGAAAAACAGGACTGTCACCAGTTTTTGACTTGGTGTACCGGTGTCCCAAAAATAAATTTCAATACACTAATATGTCCCGGTTTGGAGACAAATTTATATTATTTAATTTCAAAATTTTTTTTAATAATAGGTAGGTAATTGTTCCTGAAAGATAACAATACAATTTTTAACGAATGCGGGATAAAACAACAATGAGAAAATCTTATATAGTATTCAAATACTTACCTATTAGTTATTACTTGTATGTTTTATAACAATCATTTTGATGATTAAAAAAAAAATGTATAAAATGTTCTTTTTACAATAAATTTCTAACCTATAAAATTGTACACAATTTTTTTTTTGTTGTTTTAGTTTACAAAAAAATAAGTCTTTTTTAATAGGTATATAAATATACCAAGGTATCCAATATGATTCAATCATATTTTTAGTCTAATTTTATGTTATTTTTTTATTCGTCTTGGATTTGCTTTATAAAATTATGGCAACCCTATACTTAGCGCATACCCGTTACAAAAAAATTGTTTGCCTATTACATAATATATGATGGCTATAATAAATATTGATTATTAATATTGTAAAATAAATTAGAGTAAAATAACAGAAATTAAGTATAAAATAAACATAAATAGAGAACAAAAACAATATTTTACTAGGTAGGTAGTCTAAGGTTATAATATTAAAATGAAACATGTTTGTGTACCAGAGTTTACAGAACAATAAGTTTATCAGTAAACTCGTCGAGTATTTACTAATTTGTCAATCTTTTTTTCTACTCGACTTTGACTTATACGCACAATAGTCAATAATTAAAAAACATTATCGTTACCGAACTCACCAGTTAAAACAGTATTTGAGGTCTTCATCATTTTCATTGGGATTCATTTTGGACACTGAGCGTGCGCTATTTTTATTGAACTGTCCACAATATTTAAACGCTAATTGAACGTATTAAAAATTGAAAAGGTTAGAACACATTATTGCAGTGCGCAATACTATCATAAAATCGATTTTTTCCACTATAAGTACATATTCGGTAATTTGATTGCAGATAAAATGTGTGTGTAGTGTATTTCGTCTTTGATAAAGCAACTAAATAGATGCACGAGATAAGATAAAAAGTCGAGAATCACAATATCATGGCTATATTTTTAACCATGCACAATATATTATATTCAATATTGAGGTTAGGATTTAACGAAAATGCCGTTCACACTGTACCTATGGTGTGACCGGCGTGTCATTCGCCAATTACCCTGACTAGCATGACTTTACCATGATGACTTCATTACAAATTACGTTTACGAACATAGACCTATCAACTAGTTTATAGGTCTATGTTTACAAATGTCCAACGACGACGTAAAAACTTCCCCCGTACGACGAACTCATCTGATCATTCTGATCACCGTTGTTAATATTGTATTCGTGAAAAAAAAATAAATGAGATAATAACATTATTGAATGACTTATGCGACCTTTATTGGTGTTTTACTCGCTCGTTATTTAGATAAAATATATTATAATTGATACAGCGTGTATAATATTATTATTATTATCATTAAAAGGTATGACGATTTGATGTGCCCAATCGTGTAACGGACGTGCATTGTGCGAAATGTGCGTCAGTGTGACAATAACGTTAAAATAAATAAGTAATTTCGAAAAAAAAAACGGATTTATTTACATTTTGCTTTTTTCTCGATCTAGTTATTGATTGCAAGGCAATGCTTTTACCGCGGAATACCGTAAAAACGCTCACGGGTATTCTACGCAATAATAACATGTTACGAAGCGGGAAAAATCGGGTTATTCCGTTGGTCGCATAGAAAAGAGATTACCTACTCATTCAGTTTTCGGTTAGGCAAGGTCGTCTTTGAAGTCTGCAAAGTTATCAGACGGGGCAACTGTGTCAATATTAGGTAATTTACGAATACCTAGGTATTACCTACCTAATAATAAGGGCGCTCGGGAATTGGGCCACGTTTTACCTACCTGCTTCGTACATACAATTTTTGTATATTTTATTACCCGAAAATTGGACCACAAATGTATAACGCAAACATTTAAATGTATTCAAATATATATCTAATATAAAATACAATATAAAATTAGTCAAATAATTATTATTATTTTTTTTAAATTATGTGATACAGATTGCTTTGCACAGTATTCAAAAGTGTCGTCAACATAAATCAATTATAACCAACATAAGAAATTTAAATTTTTAATCGTGGAAAAAATTATTATATGGTTAAAAATAGTTTAAAATAATGGTTTTCTTTTTGTCAAATCTAAAATGTATTAAAATATAGTGGCCCAATTACCGGATTCGATAATACAAATCGTTTAAAATAGTGGCCTAATCACCGGGTCTACCTGCAATAAATGTAAAATTTTAGTGGTCCAATCACCATACACCTTCTTAAGAAAGGTTTACTGTTGCCCAATTACCGGACGCCCAATAATAATTATCGATCCATTAAATTGGAAGGTTAGGTTAGGTTTGGTTACGTATTTCGTAAACTATAACCATTGATTTAAGAATATACTAAAATATTCTAAATATATTAAATTAATATATTCTAAAATTAATGCTATTGACTACTATTTTTCCTAATTAATTAATTTTAGTGGTCTAATGGGCTACACTAAGTTTTCGTTAATTAGTATAATGATGGATTGATAGTAGACTGTAGACTGTACACTTCACATAAAAACTCGGGCCGTTGACATCGTATAATCTATCTGTTTCTTTATTATTATCTTTTATATATATTATTAATATTAGTTAATTTTGTATAGTTTTTAATTATTCATATGAATACCACACGCCGACGTCGCTAAAGCGGAAATGTTTTGAGTCGTTACGGATACGTTAATAGATGATGTTTTAAAGTTTGTAGATGAATCATTAATAGCTAAGAATAAATAATTTAGGTTTAGGAGTGAACAAAAAGAAATTAGGAAGAAGTGTACCAGGAGAATCAGAAAACCTTCTACTGAAATAGCTGTAGAGGATCCAGAAGAGTACAGAATGTGTATAAGAATGAAATCAGAAATATTAAAATAAACGCCAAATGCATAGAATAACAAAAAGTAGGTAAATACGAGGGCGACCGCAGGGGAATATCGGTGGGGGCTATATCCCCCGCTATTTTAGTTAATATTAAATATTAATATTGTTTTATTACTTGCATAATTATGGCTTAAATATTTAAGCCATAATTGTAAGTTGTAAAAAAGTTTTATACTTAGCCCCCATTTTATATTTCTGCGGGCACCCTTGTACAGTTGTACGAGTATGATAGCACCATAGATAATCTTATATATTCTTATATATAGGTATTTAGAAGTCGCTAAAAAATTGTAATATTAATTTAAGGGATCGTGACAGTATAAACGTTGAGAAACACTGTTCTACGCTATCCCATAATAAGTTTACCTTTACACAATAAAAATAGTAGAGTATGAGTAGGATACACTGCACTATACTATACTGAATACTACTCTTTAGTACTTTACTCTGAGTGTTTACATTCGTCTAGTAACAGTAAAGTGCTACTTTACCAAATACTTGTCAAATGTAAACGCGTGCCGAGTGATTTACAGAGCTTCCAGCCCGATATTGTCGGTGAGATTTACTAGAGTAGTAGCCAGTAGGTACCTGACTGCAGTGACGTAACCAGGAATTTTAGTTGTGATGCTATGATGACAGTGTATCACGTTTCCATTCAGTACGCGCATCTCTTCGGCACTCGGGTTATGCGCGGTCGTATTCTCCACTATAATATATTATCGACAGTGCGAATGTTACCCCAATAAGAAATGGAGAATACTGAATAATCAGGTAAAATGAAAAAATATATTTTGTATTTCTCAAATATAGGTATTGTACACACCCATCTATAATGCCGCGTTTTAAATGTGGCTGTGAAAAATGAATGCGAGCACTATGAAGCCGCGATAACAACTATTATTGGGTTTCTAATATTATCATAAAATATCTAATTGGTTTTTTTTTAAAAGATTGGGGAGTAGGTAACTCCTTGTCTCTCCCTGGTAATATCGTAACTACGACACTGCTATGTAGTACGGACTACTGTCCATACTATTTTTAACGCGTTTCGAACATTCCGGGGTTTTTTTTTTTATTAAGGTAACTGATGTTTACGCAGGTTCTGGTGCAAAACGCAAAACCGCTTATTAACCATAGAACTTGTACCATAGATGTCAGTATAGGTAAGGTCAGTAAGGTCTATGTCATCAACTGCAAAATTTCAGCGATATTCCAGTAACGACGGGTGTCGTGTCCACAGATATTATGTATATTACGGTAACACCATAAAATCGACCGCGCGTTGTATCCTTAGATAATAAAGATATGAGCAGCATAGACATATAAATATTTATATGTCTATGATGGGCAGGCTATCCATAACTAATCAGCGTTTCAAGAGTACAATACATACAAAACATACAGTTTTATAAAGAGAGGCGTCTTAACTATATAGTGATGAATGATAACCATGGACGTAAATACTAAAAAGGGGAGGAGCTTAAGGGGGTTTAGCCCTCCCTGAGCCATCCTAAGCCCTTCTCAAGATATTTTAACGCATAGGTAATCTTTAATGATAATATATGATTTGATTGATGATGATTTAATGGCATGAGTTATAAATATAATAATAGTAATAATACATAGGTAGGTAAACATTCATTGAATGTTCGTTTTAACGTTCCGATTAGCGATGTGCAGAACTGCGGAACCGACTAGTTTTGATTTTGATTGTCAATCGATAGTTTAAAAAACCAACGGAGAGATTTATCGATTGAATTGATATTTGTATTAATTACCTATAGGGGTAGCCTATCGATTTCTTTATTATCTATGGTTTTCACCTGAACGAGAGAAAAGGTCACGATACAGGTATATTTTTCAGACCGTTTTCGGTCTGTCGTTTGAACGACTAATAAACATGATTATAAATAATTATATACCTGTATATCTATGGATACAGATAAAGAATATTATTGTTACTTTGTGTGGAACTTACGTTGGTAAAAATGAATAGGTATACTAAAAAGTACCCGTGTATTATTACTGAAAAACACGTAATTTATTATAATAATATATATATAGAGGTAACCGTGACGGTCTGTGATTACAGTTCGCGTGCCACTATTAATATACACGCAGCTGCACTACTCATATCGTTTTAAATTTACGTTTACCGCCAGCGATAGTATATTTTTATTTCCTCACCTTCCCCTATTTTTCGATTAAAACATTGCGAAGAAAATGAAAAAAATTTTTTTATATATATCATTATGTAACGCATAAACAGTTATAATAATTATTATTATAATATTATATTATATAGCCATGTATAGGTTAATTAATTAATTGTCTATTAATTTGTACTGGGAAAATAAAAAAAAATAATTAAATGTGATGGAAAATAATAGGTAGAAACGGAAAATAAGGAATGTAAGTGAGTAATAATTTCAGTTATTATTTTAGGTAGAAAATAAAATTATTATTATTTTATAATACAAAATATTACGTAGATATAACATTATATAGAATACAATAGGCCCCACTAGGCAAGCTAGCAAATTAGTTTAAATAAGTCTCGTAATTCTGTTATAACGGTTAACCAAGATATAGGTATTTTCTCAATAAAAAAAAAAAAAACCAAGTCAAGTATTTTCCCGGTTTTTCTGACGTAGCTGCACGTAGGTATGATTTAGTTATACTTATGCTAGGAAAAATTACTTGTACTAGGGGCAACTACATTAAACATTTCGAACAACTATTATCACTGTGAAATATAGTGTGTATTATAATTTCCCAAAATGCGCCGAAATTGAGAACGCTTTCCTATACATCATATCAGTGGCGTGCTCAGCTTTTTTCTATGGGAGGGAGGTGAACTGTATTTTGTTTTGTTGATAGTCATATATACACATTTACCAAATGTATACTTATTGATATTTTAGGAGTAAGGAGTTAGGTACAAATTACAATGTTAATATACCTACATATATATTATATACAAACCTATATTTTAGATTCTGAGTGGAGCGAATATGGAGCTTATGGTTTTACAAATATGTTAATTTTTTTTTTATTTTTATGTTTTTCTGTGGACGAATTTACTACCAGAGGTCTTGCTCCGATTTTTAAGTGTCACACATTTTCTGAAAGGGAATCGATGTATGAAGATTCTTTAAAAATGTTATTTTTTGATTTTTCCAAGAGTTCTCCCAGCAAATGTTAAAAACTAGGAAAAAACATGGTAAAACCAAGAAAATCGGTACATTAAACAAATATAATTAAAGATATATAATTAAAATATATAATGCATATTTAATTATTTTACAATAATATGACATATATGTTGTTGACAAAGCATCACTATCAATTGAACTCCGCTCAGAATCGTTTTTTCGTTAGGAATGGTTTATCATTGCTTACAGATACACATTAAATTAGGTACCTATAACAGTGGCTGCATCCGACTCCATTATCCTAGAAAAGCTTTTTTTATACTAATATTTTAAACCTCTTTTTTCATTTTTTTTGTTTAAAGGTAACTTAAATGTTGGCAATGGTATTCATACATTTTTAAGTGCCCAAATAGTAAAAAACAAAAGTTATGTGCGCTAGGTAGTAAGAACTGATTTTTTTTATCTGAAATAAAGTCTAAACTTCTTTACTTACAGTAAATTTATCAGCATCTGATAATCAATAGTTTACAAATAAGCTTATATCGTTTACATGCATACTTTCAGTCTTAAAAATATGAAATTATTTAAGATATTTAACCAATTAGGCATGTGTATTAATATAAAAGTTTTATTATAGCATAGCTAAAAACTAAAATTATCAAGGAACTTCAAACAAATGCGTAAAAAAAAAGTTTATGGGGGGATATGACACCTTCATCCACTTTTCTGTTTACGCAACTGAATATATAATACGATTGATACGAATGTTGAAATTTTGGTTTTGATCCAATATGACATATTTTATACATATGTATTAAAATAAATTGATCAAATGTATGGAATTTATTTGTGGAAACTGAAATATTATATAATTACTTCAAAATAGATTTATCTTTGGTCCCAGCGAAAAAGTGTTTAAGTCAATGTTTTACATTTGTGTTATATAATTTTGGATACATCTGAAATGATTCTTATATTTAAAAATCGACATCCAAATTGGTTCGGGTTGTTACGAAGTATACATAATATAATTGGTTCCCAGATTATTTTAAAAGTAATTTCAATTTTCTTTTACATTTTATATAGACTTAAAACTTTTTTGTTTCAATGATTGTGTTTTAATGTTTCAATGACAAAATGGTAATATTTTAGTACTTTACATTAATAGGTGTTTCTGATATTTCCAAATATTGATTTTTACTAAATTTGATCGTTCGAAAAAAGCGAAACGTAACGTTATATTATTCAGTATATAATGAAATTTATCTAATAATATTAAATGATATTATGATTTAATGACAATAAATAAAAAGATGACGAGTTCTTTGATTAAATATTAGACAATTATATTCAAGAAGGCGGTACATTTCCGTTAGAAATGGTTCATTTTTATTACTTTTAAAATAGGAACCTATTTTAGAAATCAATACGGATAGATAGACTTACTCTTCGTAACGACCTGTGAATCACTTAGGGTACACCTACAATTTTGTTCAACGCAATTTTATTCCTTTTATTTTTTAGTCTTAAATGCAAAAAATAATGTATGTATTGCGAGTGTGTATTGTATTATTGCATGTAGACGTGCATGTATGTGTTTCTTACAGTTTGGCATGTATGTTTTTTTTTATTTAAAATTCTGAATATCCAACGCATTTCTCTTTGCACTCTTCTACAGTTCTACATTGTTGACCGGCTATTTTATTACCTACTAAAGTTTGGAATACCGAATACCTACAATATGTAAATTAAGTGTATGTATTTAATGTGCGTTATTCAAATTTGTTTACGTTTCTAATCACTTTGAAGATAATATCCATCCCACATTCCTGCAACATCGTATAATACAATAACAGGTTCTCATCGCGTTGACCGTTCATGTTTTTAATCTTTTTTTCACTCCACACGAGTTTTTTCCGTATATGATCTTGGAAGTATTTCATAGTACCTACTATAGATTATAGATACCTATATTTCAAAATGTATCGAAATTGTATTATACTTACACTCGTATTCACCTACTACGAATATTACACATTAATACAGAAATTCATTTCAGATAATTATTAAGTATTATTACCTATTGTATGGTAATAAAAAGCGTAAATTTAAAACCTATAAGTTTAATAGGAATCTAACAAGTGTACACTGTATTCAATATTTATTAATAGTTTATCATTTGTGTTTGCAGTTGAGCACACAATATCTCGTAAACAATATATATACTTATAGTTAAATATTTTGTTTGAATTTTCTATTAAAAATTTAGAGGTATGCTAAAAATATAGGTACTTATACCTTCTAAATTGTATTCATTTAGATTTTTTTCGAATGTGAAAATTTATTTTGTCAATCAAAATTGTGTTTTCACTAGTTTTTCGTTTGTGACTATTTAGGAACTTTTTCGGTATTTAGGTATAAAATCATCCAAAACTTTCTATTACACTGTATAATATGATCTAAATGTTTATACTCGGTTTTATCCTTTTATTAAATGATTATCTTCCACAGACTCACAAACTTCACGCTGTAGATAAATTAATTACATTTAGATACAGTTATCTCGGATATACAAGTACTCGGATATACCTACATACCTTAAAAGACACAGAATTTTTGACAAGTAGTACTAACTTTATTTGAAACGATTTTCATTCTAGATTTCCATCAATTTTATACTAAATAATTTGAAATGTTGAACATAGATGGAAAATAAATAGACAGATGGGACGTTATAGCATCTTGAAGTCGATTTTTTTATTTTAATATCTATAGATCTTATACTCTAACTTTGGATTTTTTCGTTACGCAAGAAAAACCTCATTTAATCAGTTTTCGAAATGGAAAATCTTACGAACCGAAACGTTTAAAAAACTAATATGCCATATGATGGCTATATTAATATAGAGAACACCTTTTTTATTTTCTATTTATAATCTAATTTTAGTGACACAAAGAAGGTAGGTATCTATTTTTCAATAAACTGAATATAAGATTTTCAAGCTTTTCCAAACAAAATTATCAGATACCGAGGGTCGATGGTTGTATAGATTTAATAAAATTACGACTAAATTTTCGAGATAACGTTTAAAAATAAAACAGATGAAACAAAATAAAACGGTCGTTTTTGGAGAATACAATAATTGCAAGTACTGCCGATATTGCTTTATTTTTATAGATTCGTCAAATGAAAATTTGATTTTTTATACAAATTATTTCCAATCATTTTAATCCTTTTGATTGTATAAATCTGCATTTAATTATATAAACTAAGAGTAGAAATATAACCTACAGTTCAATAAGTTCTACTCAGAATTGTTTTTTGTTCTCACTGGGGCATCCTTCTTCAATTTTTTTTTCAATGATATTGACCATTTTGTCAAACTGTCGATATGTCATACGTATAATGACGCCAGCCGCCATGTGCGTGGTGGTCAATATTTACATTTTTCAATCGCGGTGTTACTATTCATTATCATTTCATCACACATATTTTTTCTTTGTAGAACATATATTACATTGTATAATATGATCTAAATGTTTATACTCGGTTTTATCCTTTTATTAAATGATTATGTTCTAAGATAGTGTTGTGGTGTATTTTAATTATTATCATTTTATACGTTTATTACATAAAACAATACTTATAATGTCTTCCAGTTCGTTTTTCTTCCACAGACTCACAAACTTCACGCTGTAGATAAATTAATTACATTTAGATACAGTTAATTAAATCGATCAGGAAACTATAAATAAGTATTCTACTTAACTGTAGGTACTAATCATCAATGAGTGAGGCCAAATAAACATCAAACACAACAACTACAGTATAACATCAAAATATTATCAAGCTGTATTGACAAACAAATTATGTAAACATTCACCGGCCACCACACAAATTATGATGACTGGTATCAAATGAAAACAGCAGTTATAGCTGTAGTTATTCTACATCTATGGATTAAATTTAAAATACTATCCCATATAATTTTTTACCATAAAATGCAGGGCTTAGTGCAGGGGTGTCTAACCTTTTGTGAAGACTGGGCTACATCATGTAAGTAAAAGTTGTTGTGGGCCACATACATTTTATTTATAATTTTTATCATAGTGAAAAATTAGTAGAAATATTTTGAGGAGCTATTAAATTTTATTTATAATTACAAGAAAAAATACATTTATTTATGATTAAAAGGAAAAAATTTTAAAATAATTGTATTGTTATTTTAGTTACATTAGTTTCTTTATCACTATCGAATCCCAATAAAGTTAAAACTTTCATATAATAGTATACGGGTATACTATTAAGTAACATTTAACATTTTTTAAAATATTTTTTAGTTTTATATTCTTAAAATAAATTTATTCTCATAATATTGTATATATTTAGTAGATGATTCAAAATTGAAGCGAGGGCCATATTAAAACCTATCGTTGGCCATAAACGGCCCGCGGTTGGGCACCCCTGGCATAATAGCTGTGTGATATACGAATACATATGATGCGAAATATATGTCCCTTACAGATTTTATTACATTAACTTGTTAAATTTTGATAGAATATTTTTAGTTTTGAAAAATATTCGGGCACCCCTGGACATCCCAGTTAGGGGCTTAGAGCTTGACGACTAAGTATTATTACTTACGAGTACCTATATATTATTATTAAGTAGGTACCGTGATCTATACCAACATGTATGTGCAATATATTCGAATAGAAAATAATATATTAATTGAAATTAAATTAATTTCTCTTTTAGCAGTTGTGTAGGCATTTATTATTTTATTATATTATGTTTAATTGTTTAATATATATTATTATATTAAACAATAAAACATAATATAATATATTAATATAATTTGGTGAACCATACACTTGTGTGATGTGCGTACGCGAGACTGCTGTTCTCAGAATATCGACATTATAATTTTAATTGAGAATAATATATTATATAAATCGCTAATGTGAGCTCTGCTCAGAAATTTTTTCCGAATGTAAATGTTTTTTTTATATTTTTTTTTTTTTTTATACATATATAAATATATTAGTATAATACAATGTAAATACAACAGGAAACCTCTTTTGCTATTAGGTGTTAGACCTTCTAGCTACGACTTGTATTTTTGTATAAACATATCGATAGAATTAACATTATAAATATTATAATACAGATCTTTAACTTTGATGCTTGTGCAAAGATTTATTGCCTTATGATATTTCTTATGTAATTGAAACATTTTTTTCAACATAAATTTTGTTTTAGGTTTATTTTCTTGAAAAAACACTATTTAGATTAGTAAAATAGGTATCGATGGTTCTCCAAATTGTTCATGTGGTAACTTGGTAGATGCAGATTTTTCTGAGTTTATCGCTCAGTGGAACTTAATTTGATAAAAAAGATCTGACGACTGATACTACCGACAAGTATGCCATTGTTATAAGTGAGTAGGTGGGAAGGTAAGATATATAGGTATTTAATTTTTATCTGTACGTGACGATTAATCATTAGGTACCGATGAAACACGATTCTGAGTGATTTTGGTTAAACATGTTTTGAAATGTGCCTTGGTTTTAAAATAAGCACAGTGAAAATGTGTTTTATCGGGAATGTGGAATGTCATCGTAAAAAAGAAAACAATGATTCTGACATCGTATAATGCACGAATGGTTACAATATTTTATAAACAAGAAAAACGTGATTGTGGTAACATCAAGCTATTGTACATATAAATGATAAAGCTAGATCAACTTGGGAAAAACCGTTTTAAACTATTGATGACATAAAGGGGAGGAGTGACTCGGAAATTTTTTTCCGGCAAATATACATGTCCAAGTCACTTCAATTTTTACCATTTCGTGATTGATAGTTGTATATCTAATTACAATTTTATTTAGAGAATTATAAACACATTTTCGGACCACACATTTGTAAAAACTTTTATCACTGAATTAACATCATTAATATCCTTTCCATAGTATCTACTATACAGATTTTTATCAAGGAAAAATATTTCAGCCAAACACTATAATATTATATTGCTGTACAATGTCAATGGTCAGTGGCGTATCCATATTTTTTCAATGAAGGGGGACCTGGCTAAAATAAAAAATGTTTTGCAAATTATCTTATTTGTATTTTTATTATAATGGATTGAATAAGTAGGACAAATGTTTAATCATTTATTATTTGATTAGTAACTATAAAGTGGAATAATTCAGTATTTTCAGCGTTCATCTTTATTCTTATCATAGAAAATATTAAATGCCCGGTAATTTATCTTTTAAAAAGGGTTCTTGTTTTATTTATACATTTAATTGTTTAGGTAGGTATTATACCCTTATTAAGTTTTTGACTGAATGAATTAGCACTATAATATTGAAAATGTAAAACTTGCATTTTTTTTTTGAGTTACGAATGACCATAATAAATTCTGAAAATCAAATAATGACTTTTCGAAGTCGTAATGTAATATTTCTAATCGTTCTGTACTTTTGTTTGGGACTCTAGAAAAAGACTGGGAGGGGATAAAAACAGCGCGTATATCGTTGTCGTAAAACCAATAAAACAGTATAGCTTCGCTTAAAATTTAGGACTAATGATGGGTCTTTAAGACGCATTATACCTGTATAATCCATTTCAAAATTGTCAAACTGGGACGTTTAGTTTTACTATGATATATTATATATATATGGAACGCGATCAAAAGGTCCCTGTGTCATAATAATAATATAATATTTTGTACTAATATACTTCGTCGTATAACTATGGGAATGACGCACGTATGGTATGTCGTCACTTGTCGATAATCGACTCGATTCTGTTAAGATCGTATTCATATTACGACGTCATTATGGCATTCGTAGAATTCGTGTTTGGCGCCATTATATTATATACATAGGTAATGGACGCGAACAACTTTTACGTTCTCGCACGGTCGCATTATTATATTATTATTTATTCGAATAGTTTTTCACTTTGTTTCCCGAAGATGCAGTCGCATATAAGTCCGAAACACGTCGTAATAATATATAGTGTGGTTATATAGAGGTTTTGATAAAATATTAAGGAGGAAGAGGGTGGCGATTTTAAATTTTTTGGGTCCCATACCATAACGACATATATCAAATAAAGGATATAATGTGTTTATAGTCCTATCAAAAATTATACATAACATTCATTTTAGATTCTGAGTGGAGCGAAGAAGCTTATGGTTTTACAACTGTTTTATCTGTGAACAACTTTTCTACCAAAGATCTTGCTCCGGTGTATACGATGTAGTAACTTTTCTGAAAGGAAATTTTTTTGGGGAGGTACTTTGATGATGTCATCTTTCGATTTTCTCCCGAGTTTTCTCAAAAAGTATAAAAAACGGGAAAATGTACGAAATATATTAGAAAAATATTAAGATTTTTTTTTCTGTGAACAACTTTTCTACCAGCAATTTTGCTTCGATTTACAATTTTAATACTTTTTCTGAAAAGAAATCTGACTGGGCAGGTACTTTAGGGTCATTTTTCGATTTTCCTAAGAGTTTTCTCAGAAAATGTGAAAAACCGGAAAAAAAGGTACAATATTAAACAAATATTGTTAAAGAAAATATTTAATGCTTATTTAATTATTTTACCATAATATGACATAATATATATTTTTGACAAAGCATCACTGTCAACTTAAATCCTCTCAGAATCGTTTTTTTGTTAGCAATGGTTTATCGTTGCTTACGTATTCAGAACATACAAAAAAAGGTATAGGGGGGGAAGGCGATGGGGGCAATCGCCCCTCCTGAAAATCGTCACTGCCTATTAGTATAGGAATACAAACCTGGCACCTTCCTGCGGTTTATATTTTACTAACTATCTATAATTATTTTAGGTTATTATTTAATCTAAATTTCGAGAAAAAAGAAAATTGGTATCCAATAAATATTTGATGTCTTAAACTAATATTTGATGAGGAGTCAGAATAGTCGGAATCGTCGTAGATTTTATAGAAATACACGCCTCACATAAAATAGTTAAAATTTAATGTTTTTTTTTTTATTATTATTATTTGAAAGTGTTTTTGTAGGTCGCATAACTCCAATTTTCAAAATTCAGATTTCTAGACACTGTATTAATAGCATCTAAAAAATTACTATTTTTGATATGTTTTGACATTTTTCATACACTATAATAAAAAATCAGATTTTAATATAGTTAGCCTAAAAAAAGTGTTGCTTTTTTTAAATCAAAACAAAAATTATTGAAATTTAGGAGCGTTTTAAGAGGTGTGACAGTTTTCCCGCGAAATAATTTTCATTAGTAACAACGACTGTATGCCTTTCTTCTGGGTAGTAGATAGTGAAAGTTTTATCTTTAAGGTGACCGTTTAAAATATGTTAAAACTAATTTTCAAATTTTAAAAAACTAGAGAAAATTCGGAAATGCCTCTATTGCACTTTTACAAAATTTGTTTATATCGCCTTTCCCCACGGAGAACTAGCGTTTGATACTAACTACTGTATACAGATATTATACCTAGAGATGGTCATTTTCACTACGTATACCTATCTTTATTTAAACCGAATTTCTTTGCTCCAATGTGCACTACAGATCCACACACGTTAAACATAAGTAAGTATATATTATATTGAACGCAGAAATCATAATAGTACCTAACTGCAGAATATATTTTAAACTATACGACGCCGTACAGAGACTATAATTATAATATCATATTGTGCACACACACACACACACAGTAGTTGTACTATAATATTAGGCGAGTAATTAAAACTCAATCGCATTCGATAATATTACGACCGAACGTTGACCACTGTCGTTGTCGTCATAAAACGCAACACGAAACGCAATGACTATATTTTAACGGCGATGTCATTACAACCTTAACCTTAGGGTCTCAAACAGGTACCTATATAGTATTATAATATTATGTGTTATGCGTTATGTGTGTTCGTGACGTTTGTGTGTATGTATTTTGGGCGTGCGTTTATAACTGCAGTAGCTGACATGATAGACTGTGTTCGATGATGGCGTATGTGAATATTATCTCGGAAGGAATACGGCATACACCGTAAAAGTAAGAAAAAAAACATCACCGGAGCGCGCGCGCATTTAGATTTGATGATTTATCGTTTCCTCCATGGTTTATTTAATCGTTTCTTTGCCCGTCCCGTCTACCACTGACGACGTCGTATGTTTATTATCTCTCGAGCATATTGACTCTCGTTATTATTCAGCCGTGGAACCGAGCTGAAATGTCGTTATCTATTTTCCGAGTAGTGAACTTTTCAGTTTCACCCTCGTCGTTCGAACGTTAGTTGATGTTAATATTCCGATTTTGCCCGTTTGCGGACGATTCCGCACTCGCGTGCCATTGTTCGTTACGTATTACCCATCACGATAATCATAATAAATAATAATAACAATATAGGTACCTACTACACAATAACAATAACAACGAGAATATCTTTGCTCCGTAGTTCAAAACGACGACGTTTGTAGTGTTGTTTGTCTCGAACACGACCATGTAATTAGGTACGCGATTTTCTACGTCATATGTTTGCATTTGTAAATAGCTATGTTCAAAATAATTATGCATAAAATTAGTTGGTTAAATTATAAAAAAAGGAACATGGTGATAATAATAATTAAGTTTTAACTCGTTCGTTTTTATCACCTTTAGCAATGGCGTTTTGATTTTTGTTATCAGTTTTGTTCATTGCAAAATTGAAAATTGTATTTCCAAACGACGTGGTGAATTGCTGTTTTGCACAATATGTTCCACTCGGTATGCACGAACCAGAAAGTCGGTTGACGTACATCTAGCCTGTAAGTCATTTTGACAATATGGGAGCTAAAGATTCAAAACCGAGCTGTATAACTTACGAGGATGCAGTAAAAAGAAGTATGATGTTTTAATGCACTATAGTATTTACACTGCTAAACGATTTGTTCACTAAGTGGATACTGATTGTTATAACTTTTTTAACAATATTTGTGTATTTTAGTCAGTGATTCGGAACTTAAAAGATTGAGAGAAGCCTTTAAAAGATTGTCTCCTATAAATGGAGCAATTTCCAAGTATTCATTTATTAAAGAAGTTCTCGGTGATGGGGTCCCTTCATCAATAGCTGATGTTCGTTTTTAAATATTTTAACTATTGATATTTTTCCTAAGATATAACTATCAATATTTTTTAGTATATATATTCAGCTTGCGGTGGTACATTTAAAGGAATTACTTTCAAAGATCTAGTTTGTGGATTAGTACTCTTGACTCTTGGTAAAAATGAAGAAAAATACAAGTGTAAGTACTTAATTAATAAATTGAAATATTTCTATTTGATAGTTTAAACATTGAGCATGGTTTTTTTTTCAGTTTTATTTAATTTATATGCCAATGAAAGTGAAAACGTTATCTTACGAGAAGAATTTCAAAGACTTATACAGGTGTCTGAATGTATTTTTGTACCAGAACATGTTCAATTTTTATTTTCTGAAGTAAGTTTTATTTTTTCTCAATTATTGAAGTATAATTCTACTTTATTAAGAATGTTATATATTTTTAGCAAGACCGTGTCAATTATGATGAATTTAGATCCTGGTTAACCCTACATCCAGATGCTACATCCCTAAGTCGATGGTTACTATCTAATCCATGTTCAGTTTCTTTGAGTAATGAACTAGAAATGCCCACTTTTTATCAAACCCTTGCTGGAGTAACTCACTGTAAGTAAATACTTAGCTAAACAGTAAATACTAACGTTAGTTGTTTAACTCATTACATAGGTACATTTTTATTCATATATATTTCTAATTTATATAAATATTTGATGTTAAATTTGCTTACCAAACAAAATTCAATTAGGTCTTAAGAATAAAATTCGTTAAAATAATATTTATTATCATTAAAATTAAAAGTTCCTATTGTCATATATGCGGTATTCCATAAAAACCACTAATCCAAAATTTAATATTTATAAGTTTAATTCTATACAAATTTTAATATTCTAGAGTATATCAGATTCAAGTTCTCTGGTAAGTTTTAAAGTAATCATAAATAATTTGTTTTAAATTACATGATTTTGAGACTTGCATAATTCCAATTTGTAATATAAACTTAATTGTTCAAAAACAGTTGTTCTTCAGTAGCACATATTATTATACTAATGTACACAATACACTTATCTTAAAAAAATATATGAGAGAAGGTAAATACAAGAAACTAATCTATTCATTTTTAATCCTTATATTACTCTTATTTCAACAAGCCATTTTTATACAGAGTGTACAATAAATAATTAGGCACTATTTTAAAATAGTGAAAAGAACCAATATATTAAAATTACTATACTTAATACATTACAGACACTTTGTATACATAATTTACATAATTTTTTTATGAAATACAAATATATTTGAATTGTATTAGGAAATAAATATATTTTCCTAATTTAGCTATTTGCCATTCTGAAATGTTTTTATCTAGTAAAATTTTTTTTTTTACAAAGATATTAGTTAGTATTTATTTTTAAACATTAAATCTGTTGAATTTTTCTAATATCTTTATGGTTGTATAGTTTAATAGTGCTTACTTAAAGACTCATTTTTAATATCACATATGTAGACTATTTTTTAAAAACAATAAAATTGTTCAGTTGTTGACTGTTAATTATGATAGTTATGTTAATCTAAAATAGCTGATGTGATTTACTAATTTCAAAAAAAAATAACAGTTATCAATATTAATAAATATTATTGTGATAGATGCTTAAGATCCTCATATTCTATGGAACACAAAAATTACTAAATTTAAATTGCATAATTCTTGATGAAACTTGATGTTAACACACTTCTAAGTACTTTTGCTGATGACATGGCTATTCTTACCATAGAGACTGATCCTATTCAAGCATTTCTGAAAATGTGATTTATATGAATATAATGGTTCCTCAAATTTTATACATCAAATTGACTATCTTCATCTATTACATCCCAATTCCAACCTCTTCTCAAACAAAATACCATGGCTTAATATTTAACAAATATCTTACCCAAGCGCAAAGCTTCCAGCCATCATCTTTGCTTACTCAGACCTTAACATTGTTTCAAATTCTCACTGAAATTCAAAATATATTTTCTTAATCACACTTCATGATCCATGTGACACTACAGTATCCAACTATTAGGCAAAGTGTACTTTTCCTGGGCATCATAAACAGCACAATTTAATTATACATTTCTTATTTTATGTGAATTATTATATTATTTAATAAGAAAACATATTAAAATTATTAAGTACATTAATAACTTACTAAGAAAAATGTTCGATAGATATTGCACATGCAAGGTGCAGAATATAATGATTTATAAATGATAATTGTGTCATTAAAAACTCGTAAAATTAACTGGAAAATTCACAATCAATCTAATAGATGGTTTTATCAACAACTTTATCAATTAAATATGAAAAAATATTAATATAACAATACAAAAGTGAATAATAAATAATACAAACAAATTTAAATTAAATTTATTTTTCCATTTAAATAATATAATAATTCATACTGTAATAAAAAAAATCTATTACTAACTATTAAACATATTATACATTTAAACATTTCATGTTAAAATTAATTTTAAATTCTGAGTGAAATGAAGAATGTATTAGTTTTACAATATTTTTTTTTTTTACTGTACACAAATTCTATCAGAAATCTTGCTCCGATTTTATAAGTGCAACATTTTTTCTGAAATTTTTTTCGGGATGGTATAAAGGTCATTTTTTAATTTTCCCAACAGCTTTCATAATAATTTTAAGAAAACTGAAAATATACGAAAATAATGCTTTTATTATTTTCAATTTTGTGTTTTTGTTTTTTGTTGAAATTCAGTTAAAAATATTAGTAGAGACATGACATTTTGATTATGAAACTTAGGTTTGCTTTTTCTAGACTTGGTCAAATTTTCAAAACATTTGAGCTATTTATAGATATTTTAATTTTGCGAGTTATTAACAATTCATCATTATTACTAACACCAAAATTTTGTTTCAAAATATTTTTTATAAAATGGATATCCTTGAATTTTGTAAAAAATAATGTTTTTAAAAAATTCTAATTTTTATTATTAGTTTTTCAAAAATATAAATAGAGGGATCATAGTGTAAGGCTTTAGTATTTACAAGAAAAATAAAGCTTGCAAATATTAAACAAAACAAAAGTTATTTCAGGTGTTAGATGTTCTAGTTTCGGCCTGAGTTTTTATATAATCATACCAATACCAATAGAATTAGTATTATAAATACTAATGTACTCTTGTGCAATGATTTAAAATTTTGTTTTACTAAAGTACAACTTTTTTTTTAGCAAATTAATATTACTATTTTATCTCAAGCAGTTGGTGAAATTGTTTAAAAATAAAAATCTTTGTAAAACGAATATATTATTCCTCTTTTTGAAATTTAAAATAGTTAATTGCATAACCGATGAAAAATTGTATTATAATAATAATTGTCAATCATACTTACCTTTTATATCATAAATTTAAATGACTAAATTAAATTTATAAGCCAATTACAAAATTTATTAAACATTGACAATATTTCCTGAATTAAATATTACTAATTTATTTATTTTTTTTTCAAGAAATTATCTACACAGTTAACAATTAAACATTCAAAAATAAATATTTATACTATTCCAATTTCAACTAGTATTAAATAAATTTAATTTTGTATTTTTTTAGTGGAAGAATCTGATATCATTGAATTAGAAAAATGTTATTGGTCATTGAAAGGTGAATCTTTATCGGGAAAGTTGGATTTAAAGACATTGATTCCTTTAATAAGCCCTCCAATGCCATTAAATGTTTGTTCTGGTTTGTTTGCTGCTTTTGATGAGAACATGGATGGTCATATAGATTTCAAAGAAATGGCTTGTGGAATATCAGCTGCTTGTAGAGGACCTTTAACTGAGCGACAAAAATGTAATTCTTTCATTATTTTTTTTATGTGGCAATTTATTTATTATCTATTAAATTTGTTTTATTTTTTTTTTCTTTGAACATTTTTTAAACAAATTATGTTTTTTTCAATTCAAATTTAGTTTGTTTCAAAGTCTTCGATACTGATCAGGATGGTTATTTATCAAAGGATGAAATTTCTAAAATGGTTGATGTTATGCTTTTTATATGTGAAGACAATATTGCTACCCAGAATAAAGAAGCTACTGATGAATCAGGTAATTATTAGTCAATTCAATTTATTCAAGTTATTTTTATTGTAAATATGTGTATTTTTTATGTATTTATTTTTTTTTTAGTTAAAGAAATCATTGTATCTGATTTGATCAAACGATCTACTGATCGAGGCCTTCCAATTGGAGAGTATTTGATGTGGACTGTTCATAATTCACTACCAATGGACTTTTTAAACTTAATTTTTCAAGTAAATAAGTTTATATTATAATTAATATTTAATTTAAATCATTCTTTTGAAATGTATTGGTTGTACAAAAATCTCATAATTATTTTAATATTATAGGTTTGTCATATAGTATTTGGTTTGCGGCCAATATCACATGCAGAGGAGGGAGAAATTGTAAAAGGCTGGTTAAAACGTGAAGACCGTAGAGGTTTAGCTGTTGGTCAGTTATGGTATTTAATTTCAATGGACTGGTGGAAAAATTGGAATGATTTTGTTTCAAATACTGCTAGGGTAAAAATAGAATTTCCTATATTATGTGTTTGTTTCAATATAAAAAATATTGTTTACCATTTATTTTAGAATGGATGTGAAATGTCTACCTATGGTTCTTTCGAAAGTACTAACTCATTCTCAAAAGCTTCTAATTTAAAACTCACTTCAAAAAAATCTCAGACATCTCTTGAAAATAGTGTCGCATTTGATAATTCTTCTGTATGTATTTCCATTTTTAAATAAAGTGAAGACTTACTTTAACTAACTTTTTTCATTAAAATATTAGGTGATTGTTACTGGAATAACTCCTTTAGATCCTAGTACTGGAGGCCATCGTAGAGTTGGTTCATTTACTTCTTATTCATCTTTACAAGAATCGTAAGTTATTAATTTGTATTTAATTTTCAATATTTTAAAACACTTTAAATTTAAACAGTTTTTAACATTATTTGTTTTATAATTCATTTCAGTCCAACACAATCACCAATCATGAGTAGAAAAGTCAGTCTTAGCAAACCAGGTCCAATTAACAATTCAGGACTTATATCTGTGTCAACAACAAAAGTAACTTCATTAACAGGTGAAGGAGGTCAACTTAAACGAAATATGCTATTACATGGTAGAGATTTTCAGCTAGTTCCTAGCTCACTATGGAAAGCGCTTATACAATGGTACAGAGGCTCACCTGCACTTCCTAGACAAGTAATCAGTAACATTAGATAACAAAGATATTAATTTGTGATGACATCATTTTGTTGTTTAAAATAATTAAGTATGATTTATATAATTATCATTTAGTAACTATATTTTGCCTAGGTTATTCAATCAAATCAAGGATCATGTGAAGTTGAGTTAGAACTTTATCCATTAAATCTTAGGTTATTAAAACATCATAATGGTACTTTGAATAATGGGACAGGGTCTAACTCTACTATGACCAGATCAACTACACCCAATGCTGGATCTTGGTCTGGATTAGTTGGAGGATATGGTGCAGCAGCATTAAGTACGATATTAATTTATAGATAAATTTATATTTATAATATTAGTTAAAATAATATTTAATATTATTTACTAAAGGTTCTACTGGTTACAATTATGTATCAAATTTAGTAAATTCTATGCCACGTCGTTACCTTGCATACACTGCATCTTTTAGCAAATTATCAACAGTAAAGCATGTGTATGATTTTTTATGTGCTCGATTGAAACTTAAACCAGAAGATATGAGACTTTGGCATTTTCATGATGAGGTTTGAATTTTGTTTATAACTATTTGGTTTATATTTATGTATTGTTTCTGTACACGTAGAATAATATGGTATTAATTGAAGATGAAGACCAAACATTAGAAGAATTAGGCGTATGCGATGAAGATCAAATAATCATTGAAATAAGAAACAAAGATTTAACATGGCCTGAAGAAATTGGTTCTCTCTCTGTAAATTCTAGTGATAAATGCAAACAATGTAAGTGCTATATATATTTATTGCTTTATATTAGGTCTGCGAAAGTACTAATCTTCATTTTTAACAATTTTTGGTAATTAATTTAAAATTGTAATACTTAATTATATTAATAGTATTTCTATATTTTTATTTTTTTTTCATATAATAAAAAATAGAATGTGTATTTCATTAAAAATTGTATTTTTTATTATTGAGAAAGTTTTGTATAGAATGGTTCAGTCAAATTTGAATACCAATGTAGTAAATAATATTTTTAATTTCATATTATTTTTATCTGGTTGGTCAGTATCAAAAAAAAAAAAAAAAATTAAAAATCAATTTAAAAAATTCAATTAATTATTAATTAATAAACTTGTGTAATTTGTTTTTAAAATTATGAGAATAATATAAAAATGTAAAATATTATTTTGCTTAAAATAATTTTTTAATAATTATCACTATTAAAAATAATGAAATGAGTAATTTTTTTATTTTACTGTGAAGTTATTCACCAAAGACATATTTATCTTAAGTTATTGGTTTGATTAATAAAAACTTGGTTTGTCTGTTGAATTATGATTTCACAATCACATGTGTAACATTCAAATTTGAATAGATACCTAAAACTATTCAAAGGTTTTGATTTTTGATTTTTTTTTTTTTTTTATAGTGCCTGCTGAAAAAGGAGCTACAGGTTTAAATAATTTGGGGAATACATGTTTTATGAATGCTGCATTACAATGTGTTAGCAATACTAGACTTCTTACACAATATTTCATCAATGATATGCATCTCTATGAACTCAATCGGTATGTATTTTTTCCTTAAATTTAATAAGAACTTTACTATTACAGTTAATTTTTTAGGACCAATCCTTTGGGAATGAAGGGGTGCATAGCTAAACGTTATGGTGATCTAATTCATGAAATTTGGAGAGGAACTGCTAAAACTATAGCACCACTTAAATTAAGAGTAAATTATTTATACTTTTATTTGTTAAAGAGGTTTTAATGTTTTTGATTTAAGTGGACAATAGGAAAGTATGCACCAAGGTTTAATGGTTTTCAACAACATGATTCTCAAGAACTACTTGCATTTTTATTAGATGGTTTACATGAAGATCTGAATAGAGTACATGGCAAACCATATTCTGAGCTAACAGATAGTGAAGGTAGACCTGACGTTACTGTTGCAGAAGAGGTTGGTTAAACTCATTTTTTCATTATCTACATATATTATAATAATTTTTGTTATAATGTTAATATTATTTATTTAATAGGCTTGGGAAAACCATATTGTTCGAAATAAATCAATTGTTGTAGATTTATTTCACGGCCAATTAAAATCTAAAGTCACCTGTAAAGAATGTGGTCACGAATCTGTTAGATTTGATCCATTTAACTATTTGTCATTACCTTTACCAATGGAATCATATGTGTTTCTTCAAGTAATAGGTAATATTTTTTGTCTACCTTGAATATTTCGACTTAGATTAATTAGGAAAAATTAATGTATTGGTTGTTTTTTCTTTTTCATAGTAATGTTAATTATTAAAAAGAGCTGATACTGGGGATGGGAGCGGCCACTGTTGTAGGTGAAAATTTGGGAAGGTAGGATACATAAGGTTATTTAATTTATATTTGTAAGCAACGATAAACCATTGCTTGACGAAAAACGATTCCGAGCGCAGATCGATAATACATAATTTTTTTTGCGATTTTCATTTAAATTTGATTTAAAAAAAAAAGAAGAAAAACATTTTGGAAATTTTAGCACGTCTAGTATAAGTATTATAACTGATTTTCAATTCTACATGTATTTATAAACGAATTACAGCAAAAGACCTGAAAAAAATTTAAATTCCTTAACAACTCAAAAGTTTTGGCGATAATACCGTAAGAAAGTAAATCAAAGAGGCAACAAAAAATGTCTTGTGATTTTTTGATTAAATCATTTTTTCTGGTAGAAAATGTCGTCTGTGTTCTTATAAAATAATGAAATCATGAAATTGTACGTTTTCTCCGACTTAAGTGCTTTTGTTTAAAAATTGCTTCAAAAATCAAAAAATGACTAATTTTTAGTACAATCTAGAAAACTTAAACTTTAAAAAAGTTGCTACACGTAAAAATTAGAGCAAGTTTACTTAGAAAAACCGTGTCCAGGCTAGAACAAAGAAAAAAAAAAACCAGCATTGTAAAACCAATAACTCCCTTGCTATGCTCGGAATCTAAAATAAAGAAAATTAGAACAAAAATTATACTTTGGTGATTAGTAATTATTATATTTAAACAGCAGCTTCTTATAATTATGATTCAATAATTGAAAATGTAATGTATAAGATTTGTTTTAAAAAAAAAATTTTCTGAGAATATTCTAATAATTTAAAATTTATATTTTTTGGTTAATTTGTTTTAATTTTAACATAGAAATAGCTATTTTTAGAAATATTAATTTAATAAATTAAATTTTTTATTAAAATTATAATTATAGACTTTATATTAATTTTATTATTTAAACATTAGTGATTAAATTGGATGGCACTGTTCCTGTAAAATATGGCTTGAGAATGAATGCTGATGACAAATATTCTGTTGTTAAATCAAAACTTTCTTCGTTAAGTGGAATCTCTGCCAACAACTTAAAACTAACAGAAATAATTGGTGCACAGATTAAAGTTAGCTTTCTAACAATGTATTTAAATTTAATTGATTTTTTATAAAATTTAAATATAATATTAATCTGCAGAATATTATTGTTGATGAACAAAGAGTAAAACCTGGAAGTCTATTATATGCATATGAGTTACCCCCTCCTACATCAGTTGGACCTGGTTCTGAAGTATCTGGTGATGAAGAACGTCTATCTATTTCTTCAACTAAGTCTGGTACTCCTAGAGAAGCTGCACAAACATTTACTACTATACAACGAACTGTTAGACCAGGAAATATACCTGGTAAGTATTTAATTGACAGTCATTTGCATTTTTTTGTTATTTAAACATGCATAGATAATGAAGTAAACATTTTTTGAAATTCTTAAAAACATTAATTTTATATTATTTTTTATTCTAGTGCAATCAAATGGTAATCGTACAAATAGTTTGAATGAAGACATATCAACAAACGATAACTCTGATGTAATTTTATTTGTTAGATTTATTTTATTATACAATTTGTAATATTTATGTTTATTCGCTTTTAGAATATTGGTGGTTCTCAAATGGATACTGATATAAATTTAGAAGAACCCCTTCAAATGCCATTAGCAGATAGTGGAAATGGTAGTTCTAGTAGTTTTAGTTTAACTGATAGTGGTGATGCAATCCATCAGACTCCAAATTATGTTGTAGCATTACACAGAAAAATGGTAATGATAATTGATATTTTATTTTAAACTTGTTTATTTATATATACAATATAATAGTGAACATGTGCATGAATAACTAATGTACTTATTGCTTACTATTCAAGTAAATTTTTTTTATTTTTTTTTTCATATTAATATTGTATACATTTTTAGATTAGGCAAGATGTGTATTTCATATCCGCTCATAAAAGTAAACCTAGTATTTTTGGTTTACCAATAATATTACCATGTAATGAAACTACTACTCATCAAGATCTTTATCAAGCAGTGTGGCTACAAGTAGCTAGGTTGGTATCGCCATTGCCACCGTCAGAATCAACTGTTCCCAATCATGCTATGGACTGGTAATCAAACATACTTTTTTTTTCTTGCATAAAAATTGTATTATTATAGAAAATAATATTAATATACATTTTATTAATTATTTTAGCGATGATAGTCTAGGCTATGAATTTCCTTTTGTTTTAAAAGCTGTTAATCGAGAAGGAACACTTTGTGCATGGTGTCCGTGGTATAGATTTTGTCGAGGTTGTACAATTTTATGTTGTGATACTGATTTTAATTTTGCTGCAAATCATATTGCAATAGACTGGGATCCAACAGCTTTACATTTACGATATCAAACATCACAGGAGTCTGTAAGTTTTTTAATTTAACTTTTATTTTTACCTAGAAACTATAATATAAACAAGTACATATTTATAGGAACATGAATGTATTGGTGAGTCCCAATGTTCACACACAGAACCAATAAGTCTTGAGTCATGTCTTGCCGCATTCACCAAAGAAGAACACCTTAGTGAAGCTGAAAAATATTATTGTTCATCATGTCAAGACCACCAACTAGCATCTAAAAAATTACAAATTTGGAGGTTGCCTCCAGTATTAGTATGTAAAAATATATATAGGTAGTATCTATGTTTTTATTTGACATTTAACTTTTTTTTTAGATCGTCCATCTTAAACGGTTTCAATACCTCCAAGGAAAATGGGTCAAATCACATAAAGTAGTAAAATTCCCTTTTAAAAATTTTGATCCAACAGATTATTTAGCTTCAGTACCAAAACACACTGTTCTCAGAAACAGGGAATTGCAAGATACAATTGATAATCTAAAGTAAATAAACAAAGCTATTTCATATTATATGAATCTCTTAACAAATAATACATTTTTTTAACAGAGAACAATATCCAACATGCAATAAAGATGATACAATAAAATCTATCTTTACCACTGGTAATTTTACAAATAATAAATTACATAATATAGTAAATAATATTTACTAAAATGTAAAGTAATATTAAACAAGTTAGTCTAATGATATGAATAAATTATTTTATTTTGTTTAGAAAATAATCTATTAAATGTAAATAGTCGTTTAAAAGAATTAGAAGGCTCACAACGAAAAAGATTAGAATCTACATCTCTTTTACGAACACCAATAGATGATACAGCTTTGCAAGATTTTCATCAACATAAGTTGGTTGGTGAATTCAACCCATTAGATTTAAAATATAATTTATATGCTATTGTAGTAAGTAATTTAAAATATTATTGTTCGGTTTTACTATATTAATATTATCTGATTAAATAATTTAATTGGTTTTTTTTGAATGTTTCTAAAGTGTCATTCTGGAATTCTTGGAGGCGGTCATTATGTATCATATGCTTGTAATCCAAACGGAAAATGGTACTGTTATAATGACAGTAGTTGTAAGGTAAAAAATTGCTCAGTATGATTTTTAAAGTGTAAAATATTTTTATTTTGTTTTTATTTTAGGAAGTTACTGGGGAAATAGATACTAGTGGAGCATACATGTTGTTTTATGAACGTGAAGGTCTCTGTCATAACCAGTATATGCCTAATGTGTCCGGACGTATACCTGTTGATGTTAAGGATCTTGATCAAGATTTTGATTCAGACTTGAAAAAAGTTTGTACTATGATGTGATCTTTGAGCTTATATTATATTTTTTAATTTAATGAAAGAGGTTGATTGGTATATTTTTAAACAAGTTTCTTTGTTACTTTTATTATTGTTTAAATTTTATATATATATAAATTGGAGATGCCATAACAATTTAGTAATATTGCAGTGATTGTATTAACTGCGTAACTGCGATAAGGTTACTTATGCCATTAAAAAAAAAAAAAAAGTTACCAATCATAATCACAGTCTGCACATTTTTGTTTTTAATTTATATGTTGCTAATAATGCATTCCATTTTATAATATCTACTGCAAAAGTAGTTTTACTATACTTAAAAAAAAAAATAAATATTAATAAATAAGATCAAAATTGTAGGAACAATTTATATAACGTAATTATTATTTTTTATTGTATTATTGTTTTATTGCTTGTAACTTTGTTTATTTACATTGGTTTCTAGTCTATTAGTGCTCCCATCAAAATGTTATATAAAATATTATATAATATTATTTATTATTTATAAAATTATTATTATTTTGTTATATTATTTAATATTTATGTTATGTTTCTGAAATAATTAAATTCTTTATTTTTATTTGTTTAGATTAAATATTTTGTCGTTATGAATTACAGGTTTTTTATTAATGTAAATCCTTGCAACTTTTTTATTTTTAGGTGTTTTTAATTGTATTTCATCTGTATTAACTCATGTATCACATCAATTCTAAAATATATGTATTCAAATATTATTATTATCTATGATAAAAAGATATTCAATTAATGAAAATATTCTTGATTTTCATTGGTAAGGTATATTATATATTATCATTAGTCATTATTTTGTATTTAAAAACAGTTGGTACAAACAAAAATATATATTTTACATACATTTGTATGTATTGGTTTACTGTGTATACTTCTCTGTAACAAGAATATCTATTTATAATTATGCAATAAAGCATACAATTACAAAAAAAAAGTAATAAATTATTTTGTCGTTGAATAAATCATGACTTCAGAATTTACAGTTCACTTATCACTGGAAATATTGTTTTTTTTCAATCAAAAAATAAAATATGGATCTTATTTTACTGTCTTGAACATAATTTAAGATATGCGACAATCTCACTAGTTGTGTCTTCTTCGGTGTTGCATCCATAATACTACTGGCTGTCTTATTTTACAATTTCCTCTTGATATGTAATATATGTTCTAGATATTTTATATGTATTTTTGTTATACGATACATCCACTTTAACATCTTCATTTAGACTAATTACATTTCATCTGTTCTTTTGTGAAACTGCCCTTAACAACGCGAGTTATTTCCAGAAAAAAAAAACTTAAAAATTGCTCTATTAGTTTTCATTCTATTCATCTCAGATAAATTGTATAAGTATGCACTCACCAAATAAATTGACAATTTTACTGAAAAAAAAATTGAACTCTTTTAGAGACCATTTCACACCACTTTAAGGAACGAATTTTAAAAACCCTTTCTTGGTACTTGCCTATGTTGTGTAAGGAATCTGTGCAAAATTTCAAGTCTAGATCCAGACTCAGCAGTTAAGACTATACATTGATACTTCGGTTTATCCTTTTATATAGATAAGTACCTATATAGATCACTATTTCCCACATGTATCTTTCACAACATTGCCACTTGTCCTGTGTAAGGTACATACTGTATTGTTTTAATAATGGTGACATGTTGTACTCTATACTTAATTTGACATTAACTATAAGTTTCTTTTTTAATCTCTTCACTTATTCTACTTACTCACTTCGTTTTATTGGATTAATTTCAGATCATAGACATTAGTATTATAATTAAGTTTAATATTTATGTTAACATTAGATTTTAGTTCTGGCAGCTTGGTAATGTAATCCTTGCTCTTACTGACCGGACACGGAAATAGCCATGCACACGTGTTACTATCTAGTGTATTAATGTTTTAATAACCTTAATTGGAAGTAATTATTTAAAACAATAAGACACATAAGCATAGACGGAGTGAGACACTATTTTTCAACTTTGCATATAACAAAACACGCGAATTGAAATAAAAGTGTTAAAACATGCGCCTTGATTAGAAAAGAAGTGAAACAAGGTTGTTCATTTTCACATTTGTTTAATATTTTTATTGAAAGTACCATTAAAAAGTTAAAATAAAAAAAGATTACCTATTTTCACGTGGGTGCAGCAACTGTTGTAGGTGGGAAGTTGGGAAGGTATGATACAGCAGGGAATTTAATTTATATCTGTAAACAACAATAAACCATTGCTCATAGGCGTAAATTTGGCTTGTTAAAAGGGAGAGGCTGAAATTATTGTTAGATTCTAATCTATTGGGATGTGCTATTAATTTACGTACATCCATTTTGCCTATACCCGTGGGCTATGTATTGTATATTTTATCTATGATGGTACTGACTAATGAGTTTTCGTAACAGCTTGTTATTTATATTGGATTTTTATATAAATTTAATAAATAGTGATTTTTCAATAATAATAGACGCTAAGGCCAGTATTTCGCACGTCGTGTATAAGCAGTTATCGTTTTTGTCGTTATAAAATATTAGCCTAGCTTAATCTTTTAATTTTATTACAATACAAAATCGGCTGTTCAAAATTATAACACAGTAACTAACGTTTTATACATTTTACAGTACAGCTATTTTAGTAATTTTTCTAACACGATCTTATGTCGTATTATTATTTTATGTATAGATTAATGATGATTAAATTAATAACGTATTATAATTTTTTTTTGGCGCGTAGGGACATTGTTATTATGTAAATATTAATAAATAATACATTTAAATTACAACATCCAAAACATTGATTAAATAATGATCCTTTACGTTTATTGAATTTTGTTGAAACTCTCCTTCACCATTTATATAAATCTCTTGTAGGGTGTCATAATTATTATTGAATAACACTTCTAGATTGATAAACACCAATACGTATAGTACTTATATCACGTACAATTGATAAGCTTAAACATTTATTGTGGTTAAATACTCTGCTTGCTCGGCTGCAACGAATTTAACGCTGTCTACAATAATAATGTTAAATATCCTACACCTGCCGTCAAGACGGGCTACAACCACTGCGTTGTGTTTTCACGAAACTCGTAATGAGACCGGTATACATATTAGTAGATCACTAGTCATGGTTTGTACGCATCTCCATAATATGTTCTATGAATTAAATAAAACGGTCGATATTTAAAATTGTCAGGAGGTATATTTTCGCCTTGTATTTAAGCTATGTAGGCAACCTCTATGATTGTTTGCATTGTGGGATTTTTTATTTTCAAAGCTGGTACTACGTCATGGTGTAGTTCTTATCATTATCGGGATAACAGTACGCCGCGGTTGCCCTTACATAGGCCTGGGACAAACCATTGAACTATAAGATATCATAGCGTTTTCCACCTGACTGCACCATTTTACCTAGAGTGGGCAAGTCACATTGCCCGAAAAACTATCCAGTGCACTCGAATCATATGGAACATAAATTTTATAGTTTAAGTATAAATCTTAAAATATTAAAAAAGAAAAAGTTTATTGGTAAGGCTCGTGCGCCTTATTTTTTATTGATAAAGATGCCAATCTCAATGCTTGAATAATAATAATAATATAATTTTAACTGATAATACATAGGTAAACTAGTAAACCTTTTTTTGTTTTGTTTTTTGGACAAAATTAATATTATAATATTTATATTTGATAACTGTAAAAATTATGTTCTACATGGTTCGACTGTAGTAAACAGTTTTTCGGGCAATATAACGTGCCCGCTCTAGGTGCAACGGTGCAGACAGGTGGAAACGCTATTATAGTTCAATGGGACAAACTCGTAGATAAAGGCCTAGTATCAGCATTTTTTATCTCGTTTGTTCCTAGGTTTGATAACGTGTTTACAAACTTATGTTCGTTGTTTTCTTGTACGTCTCAACTCTCGAGATATCATAATATTATTTCTACATAATTATGATATATATTATATATTTTTTTTATTAAACTAAATTCTTAGAGTCGATTAAAATAAAATAGCAAACCAGTAATTACTCAGTTTAATGGTTGTGTTGCTCGTTTTGAATAACAATAATAATAACTTGTAATCATTGGTTACAAGTAAAATATATCTGATGGAGGTAAGTGTTACATAATGTTTTCATTGTAATTTTATAATAAGTTAATGATCACGTACATTAGGATAAATTGCCATCTAAAGAATTTGATGTGTGGACGTTAAGACATTTTATTGAACGCCACAAAGACTGGGATCAGAGGGATGAAGTCCAATTAATTGAATATTTACAACAATTATCAAATGTAAGTTGAATTGTATTTATTAATATTATTTTATTTTGTAGTGTTCATGTTTCTGTAAATTTAATCACATTAATTATAATTTAATATATTTAAGTAATTCTACTCTTTTCCCAACATATTTTAATCTCGGTACCAATTGTTATTTTGTTTTTGTTAAATGTCTTTTTACTAAATATATAAAGTTATTTATTATTTAGTATTATTAATTTTAAATGTACTTAGGTACTAAATACAATTTAATAATTTTAATAATAATAATAATTTTTTTTTAGAAAATAACCCAAGGAGCTAAAAATACATTAAATGAATTGGATGATTTGGTAGCTAGCATAGATGATACTGCTGTTCAAATATCAAACATTAATAATGAATTCCAGTTATTAGCAGATAAACAGTTTATAGAAAACAAAGTTCAAGAGGAAGACGAAACTGTGCAAATTAAAGTTGAAGTAAATATATAATATTAGAATTTATGTTTCCTCGTTGTAATATTTTTATATTTAATTTAAATGAAATTTAACCACCAAGTCTCACTTTTGGGAATTCCGCTGTTGGTCACTGTAGTGTTTACACTATAATATATATATATTATTATTATTCATAAAGTATGTAATAAACAACTTCAACTGTGACCACTCGTCAATAATTGATATGTATTGTGTCCTATAATTCATATACTTTTCAAACTTATTTAGAAACCAGTTGCACGTGAAACAAATAATGCTGATACATTAGTAAATAATTTAAAAGAAGCCCTTAAAAATAGTTTTAATGCTATTGATTCTCATTTTGAAAAAGTTACTGTTGTAGTTAGTGACTCTGATGATGACGACGATGAATTAAAGTGAGAATCATTTGAAATTCAATATTTTTTTTTTAAATATAACATTTATATGTTTATTATTTGTAGACACGAAACTATCTTAAAGCCGAGGACATTTTACAAAAAATTAAATCTTCCATCATTAAGTGGTAATAGACAATCTGAAATTGATGTCAATAGTGCCATGTCTTCAGATTCAGATTCTGTTGTTGAACATCCTACAAATGCATTTAAAGATGAGGTAAAATAATATATATATAAAATACTTGTATTCAAATTATGTTTGGATATATACTATTTTATAATACTGAGTTCAAATATTATATTAAATAGATTTTATGTTTGAGAGTCCATACAAAATTTTTAGAAATGTAGCCAGTTGGGTTTTGGGATATCATATTTCTTCTCTGACCTATATCATATCAAAAACATATTTTTGCTGTAGTCTCGCTATACATAGTTAAAATGATTGATTTTTTAAACCTATCTTAATCCATTAACATCAACGTTTTTTTGATGATATGATAATATAATACAGGAAATTCCTTTTTAATATAGAATGTCCCAAAAATTTTTATTTACTCATAGCGTTAATGGGTTAAATATACATTTATATATATTTATTTTTTAGGAATCATTATCTAGTAATGATATACCTGAAGAAGATATTAATTCTGTCATTGAATCAAAAATACATGAACCAATTACCCAATCGGTAGAAACTCATAGTAACATGTTTGCAACAGAAACAGTTAAACCTAAAATCGTTTCTATATTTGCTGATAATGACAATGGTAAATTTCAATATATGGTTTTATATTAATTTTATTTATTTGATTAGCAATTGAATTAAAATTTATTTATTAAAACACTGCTAAATTTTGGAACAAAACCAGCCTGTATTGTTTGGTATAAAAATTTAACCAATTTTGTTGAAGATCGATGATGTAATTTAAAATTAAGTCACATAATATTGTACGCACATCAAATTGTTTTCTTTTAGCTACTATTTATTTTTTTAGCTGGTGATTTATTTATACTTAGCTTTTTGTTTGTTTTATTAATAGATGATTTGTTTAATCCTCCTCCTTTACCAAATGACTATGAAGAAGATTTAGAAAATGATTATAATATATTTGGTAATAGTAGTAATATGTATGACGAAAGAACCTTATGGGATGATGATGATGATGATTTTTCAAATGAACCTCCATTACCAATACATTCAGACGAACCTCCCCAGCAAGTTATTAAATCTAATATTCAAACTAATACTGAAGTACCAAGTATACAACAATCACTGAATGCTGAATTACGCAAACGATTCCAAAAAGGTTGTTTATTCAATAATTATATTGACTTAATTGTTGATTTGTTTAATTATTTTAATTTAATACATTGTTTTAGATGATAATATTTCTTCTATGTCAGATAATATAAATGTAGAACCGCCTAAAAAAAAAGTTAGTAGGTTTAATATTTAACTTTAATGATTTCCTATTGGAATTTTTGTTTATAGGCTTTATATTAATAATAATTGTTTGTTTAATAGCTCCCAAAAGGAGCTGTTAATATTCTTGGTGGAACTGATATAAAACCGTACGCTGCCAATCCTGATCAGAACACAAAGTAATTTTTTTTTCAAATATAAATATAAAATAACAATTTAATTTAATTGCATTTATATCATATTATATGGATGTATTAAACATTTGATTATAATACTAATTTATAAGAATACAAATTACAAATATTGGGTGAATTTCAATTGTAAAAATGAGCCCCAACACCAAAACCTATTGGAATGTATCTATGTTAAAGTGTAAGACCACTTTATTAATTTCTGACATCTTGGCATCAATTTTAATTTTTTTTTAAGTAAACTTTGGGGTGTTCATTCTGTGTCAAAACTACACAATAAAATACATAATTACATAAATTCAATATATATTTATGCATTAACAACATTAATAAGGTTTTGTTTTATTCTTTGTTTTAATAGAGAAGCAATAATATCTCAGATAAGTACAAGTGTAACTGAATCTATGAAAAATAAGAATATTGAAAATGTTAATAATTCAAATAAATTGTTAAACAAACTCAGTAAAAGTGCAGTTACTTCTGTATCCAAAGATCTAATAAAAGAAATTCAACAAATAGAAAAAAGATCTCTGTTTCAACAGGATTCAGATGACGAGGATTTATTTGTTGAAAAGAAACCAATTGCTACCCTAGCTTCAAGATCAAAAGAAAATTCAGCCATAAAGATTAAGTCACCAAGAACTATATTTTCAGATTCTGATTCAGATGATGACTTTATAAATTCAAAATCGACCACCAAACCAGTAATTTCTCATGTTAATGATAATCATTCAACTAAACTTTTAGATTCATCATCAGAAGATGATTTATTTAATGATAAGTCTTTAAATAATAAATCAACACTAAAACAAAAAAATACATTATTTTCTTCTTCAGTGCATGATCAAATATTTAATCAGTCAAAACAAGTAAATAATGAAATAAAACAAAAATTAGAATCATCTATACATGAAAAAAATGCTCGACAAATATTAAACAAGAAAATTGTTGACGAGTTGATGGAAAGTAATTCAAAAGAATCAAATATTTTGGCTGAAAATGCAGTTATAAGAAAAGAATCTTTACCAAATCTTAATGCTTTAAATAGAAATATTACAGAACCCCCACCTATGAACAACCCAATAAAGACTTTAAGTTCACAAAATAAAACGAATCTTAGTAAGTTTTTTTCATCTGATGAAGACGATTTGGATGATATGTTTTTAAATGTTAACAAACTTAATGAGAATAGGATTAAAAAGGACCAAACAATTCATGGGTCTGGTAAAATAGTTCGAAACAGTAATAATGAACTAAATGAGTCAAAAGTGAAAATGTTTGATTCTTCTTCTGATGATGACATTTTCATTACTAATAAATCAAATAATAATTTAATATCATCAAAAATAAATAAACTGTCGGATTCAGAAGAAATTAAAACTATAGGATCAAAATTAAATGATAATCATGCCATAATTAATCAATCAAAAATTACAGACAATTTAGATAAGACAAATTCAATAAAAAATAAAAACATGTTAAGCATTTTATCTGATGATGATGAAGATGATAATTATTTGTCTTTCAACAGTAGTTCTGATCTCTCTTTTAACATATCTAATATTCATAATTTAGAAGAGAACTCTAAAGCAATGAGTTTATCATCTGAAGAATTTTTAAGTCCACAAACAGATCTGAAAAATAAAAATATTTTTAGAAATTCCTCATCTGAAAGTTTGCTCAATAGACAGAATCAAAAGTTAATTGATGAAGAAGAAATAGCCATACCTGCAAATGAAATACCACACACTCCTAATGAAGATTCTATTCAGAAGAATATACTGTCTATATTATCAAGTAGTGACGATGAAGACCAGATATCATTTAATTCGTACGCCCACAGCAAAAATATTGAAAAAGAAACTAAAGAGATTCGCCATACATCAAATTCATCTTTTGAGAATGTACTTGATAATCAGAATAATTCTAATATATTAAATGAAAAAAAGACAAGTACAACCAATAATGATAAATTATTTTCTTCTACTGAAAATTTAAATCAAACTAATCAATTGCTTATGCTATCAAATAGTGATGATGAAGATTTAGAAATTAATTACAAAGACACACAAAAAAAGACTAAATTCATTGAATCTAAAACAGATTCAAAAGAGTCTCTTAATGATTATACTGATGGCTCGTCTTTCAGTACACCAAATTCAAGAGACGAACCAACAAAAATATTGCCAGGTATTTATTATTTAGTTATTTATTTAATATTGATATACTAATAATTGTACTTATACATTTTCCTTTAATTGAGATCCTAATATTTTATTGCTTTAATTGATTGTATAAATATATCACACTTTTAGTCCAGACATTCAAAACATTGAACATAATTATAGCAAACATATTTAAAAATAAATTTATATTCTGAGTTTAAAATATTTTTAATTAAACATAATAATTGTATTAAAACTTAAAATATCAGGGCAACTCTTGCAGAATTAAGGTAATATAACAACTGGATCACACTTCACTTTTATATTTGGAGCGTAGCAAGGGATTATTTTTTTTTTACTATGATGTGTTTTTTTTTTTAAATTTTGTATCTAAACAACTTTTTTTACCAGAAATCTTGCTCCAATGTTTCAAGTGTAGTATCATCCCTAAATAGAATCTTTATTTAGTTAATATATTAAGCAGGTAATTTTTTATATTCTAAAGGGTTTTCATAATAACGGTGGAAAATAGGCAAATCTTTATGACGTTGCTGATTTCATTGTTTTGATTTTTGCAAACTATGTTTTCTACTAGATATTGCTTTAATAGTGAAACACCAACAGATATTTTTGTTGCATTTTAGATTTAGTTGCTCACGGAGAAAGTTTTTTTTTGATTTTCCAAGTAGTTTTTATAAAAATTGGGAAAACCGCCAAAAGACATAATATGAAAAACGAACAAATTTATGGCGTATAATTTCATTATTTTAAATTATTACACACAATGTTTTCTTACAGAAATATTGCTCCAATAGAAAAACCACAAGAGAATTTTTTAATTCCATTATTAATCTATAGTTGGTGAGTAAGTAATTTGTTTTTAATTTCCTAAGTAGTTTGTGTAATAATAAAAAACATTAAATAAAAACTGACCAAATTACAAACAAAGTACGACCTTTATGATTTCATTATTTTAAATTTTTATACTTGTATACTATGTTTTCTACCAAAAATATGACTTCAATAGAATATCAACAAAGATACTATTTTCTGAATTTTTAATCTAATTTATGAGGAAGAAAATTGTTTTTGAATTTTCCTTGTAGTTCGTTTAATAATTGAGCAAAACCAAAAAAAAACATAAAGAATGGGAAAATGTACGAAAATAGCGCTTTTATTATTTTTATTTTATATTTTTTTTTTTTTTTTGTAATTCAGTTAAAATATTCATATAGACTTGAAATTTTAATAGAAAACTTATGTTTGCTTTTTCTTGGCGTCAAATTTTCAAAACATTTTATATTTGAGCTATTTATAGAAATTTTAATTGAGCGAGTTTTTTTTATGTAATTTTTATTTGTTATCTGCTCTGTGGATAAAATTGTTAGATTAAATAGAAATGCTTGTAAATTTGACAGAAGGTTCATTATGATTCACACTTAAAAAAATAAATTGAGTGTTACGTAGTATTTTTTTTTTTTTACAAGTTTTAAAATCAAATTTTGATGAAAATTGTAAATATTACTACTTTTTAAAATATTTGTTACTAAACTTCGTTCCAAATTGTTTTTCATTAGCCTTAGGTTATTTTTGTTTACAGATATAAATTAAATAACTAGGTATCCTATCTTTCCAACTTCCCACATACAACAGTGGCACACTTGCCTCTAGTATCAGTTTTATTTTTAAAATTTGTTTTCAGTTTTTTCAGATAAATCAATATAGGTACTAATCAATTGTATCAATAATAATTACAAATATTTTAATTTTCAGGAAAACTAAATAAAAACGCAGGTGCTTTTATAAATATTGCTGGTCTACTCCCAAATTCTAAAAAACCATTGAACATATCAGCTATTCCTAAATCAGCTTCATTAGATGAAAAAAATGATGAATATTTACCAACTATTGGAACAAAGCTTTATAGTGCTGGAAAAGTAAATTATATTTTTATTATTTATTAACTTTTTATGTAATAATTTATTTATTTTAACCTTTAATTTTTTTTTAGGAAAGAGTTAAAATTCAAGTAAAAAGACGTCCACAAAGTCGAAAAGCTAGAATAGCCGCATCTCGAATGTCATCTATAGATATTGGTCATGAATCTAATTTTCAAGAGTCTTCTCGTTTGTTTAGTTCAACATCTGATTTAGTTGATCATCAATCTAGTTCAATTTTAAACGTTACAGATTTTTCAAATGAACTTCAGTACAAAATTCAAGAATCTTTCGATACTAAATTAATAACTAACAATGATAAAATATATGAAGGCAGTGAACAAATATTAACAAACAATAAAGTGAAAAAACAAGCAGTCTTGAATTTATTTGATGATGATTCTAATTTATTTGAATCTAGACAAAAAGAAACAAAAAAAACAAACGAAGATAAAGATAAAAAAGAGCAAATATTTCATGAAGGATTATCAGAATCTAAATTAATACACAAAGAGCACACAGAAAATGAGCTTCCACTTGATAAACAAGTTAAAGCGATTGTAGAAGATCAAACAGTGAAAGAGGTAATAGAAAATGAATCTACATCAAATCAAAATACCAAATTATCTAGGAAATCCAATTATTTATTTGATGACAATGATGATATATTTTCTTCAAAAACTGAAAAAGTTAAAAAAACATCCAGTTTATTTGATAGTGATGATGAATTTGAATTTAGTCAGAAATTTACCAAAAAGACCATGTTGAAAACTAATTCAATATTTGGTGATGATAGTGATGATGATTTATTTAGCTCTACCAACAAATTATCCGCTAGTAATTTACCTTTACAAAAACCAATCGGTGAGAAACACTATTTTATTAAATTGTATTCATGTTTAATAAACAGTTTTAAAAACCATTCTAAATTACAAACGTACAAATGTAATAATATCTTTTTACATGTTTTTTTTTAGATAATTTAAGTCTACAGAATAACCGATCCAGTGCTGATGGTTATGTAAAACTTGCAGCTGAAAGTGTTGCCATTAACCCATTAGAATCTAAGGAAACTTAATAATATACGTTAATATTATTTTTTGTTATCTATTTGCAATATATTTGTGATATTATGTAGGCTGTGCACATGTATGGGAAAACCAATTTGCTCTACTTATTTGTACTTTCTAACAAAACGAAATGAAAATATTTTTGTGTATAAACAAACCAATCAATGAAATTGATTTTAAATTGTTTTTATTTTCAATAATTTTTTCACATGTCTGTTATTTTAGTTTATTTTTATACGCATAATAATTATGTTATTGATCCATAATGATATTTTAATCTAGTTAAGTTGATTTGTCATTTATTCGTTGTTTAGAAAACTAAATAACATATGTTATGTATTATTATTATCTGGTTATAATATTATCATTAATTTACTCAAATAGTTATTTATTGTGATAATAGTTAACAATTTATTATTTTACATTTCACAATACATATTATTGTATTAATACAAGTAGTACTACTATCGATTGATAACCCACAGAACCTACGGAAATCGATTTACTTTATTATTATTTTCAAATAAATTTGTTAAATAAAAATTATATATGGTGTGTATCAATATTAATAAATAATGTGTATATCGCATTGTTCAATATGGTTGAGGGCGGGACACGTCATCCGATTCCCGTGCTGATAATATAGCTTTCAATGAATATTATAAATTCCTTTTGAGCGTTTGGCGGGCCAATTTAAACCATATGTTCGATACACTGTTCCATGACGGACGCGCGGCGGTTCCATGGATCAATGCTTTGTAGTCGGCGATCTCCGCACCGATCCCTCCTCGTCTCACCCGTACTACCACGGATGTTTGCGCATACTCGAATAATATAATACAATTTTTTCATTAGTGTGTTCGTATAAAACATCGTAGGAAAAAAATTTTAGTAGTAATAATAATAATAATAATAATAATTTTTTTTCCGTTTTCGCCCGTGTCGTCTGCGAAATCGTGGTTGCCAATCGCCTTTTATATTTTGTCGTCGGCAATTAGTTTATATTATACACATACACATTTTTGTACAATATACATATATAATATATATGTGTGTGTGTGGGTATATACGTATGTATACTACGCACGGCGGTTAATGTTATTATAGTAATTTTTATTCTTAATTAAATAACGAAAAAAAAAAAAAAATTCTCCGGATTATGCCGTGTCTTCTGCAGCCGCAGTGAGATCGTTTCTCTCTTCCCGGCGCGCGCCCGTAAGTCCGAAAGGCGGCCCCGCTCAGTCCAGTACGCGTACACTCGGACCGAAGATTAATATACGTACCTACACCGAGTGCAGTGAACTTGATCGATTACGTCAGCGTGTGTGTCGTTACAGGGCGTTCGTATAATATTTATTATAAATTTGTTCGCCCCCTTTTTTTTTTTTTATTATTATAATTATTATTATTATTATTATTTGTTTTTTTTTCTCACACGCTCCGTTATAATTATATTGCAATAATATTGTACACGTATATTTTTTAATATTATATAGATTATATTAATTTTTATCACGTATCTTACCGGCCGTGTGTGTCCGTCCGTTCGTTGTCGTCGTTAGCCGCAGCCACCGCCGCCGCTGCCGTCAATAGTAGTCGTTTAACGCATCGACCCGTCGAGTAGAATTCAGATATCGGTTTTTCGTTGTTTGTCAACGCCGCCGTACTTTCAGATCCTGTGTACACACGCACCCGAATCAGCGGTTGGGATCTTGTTTCGAACTCTTCGACCGGTCAACACCAGTAATAGATAGGAAAAAAAAAATACGTCCTAGTAGCGTACTAGTATTGTTTTCTCGTTACTCTTTTCGTCCCGTGTTATAAATTTGTCAAAATTCCGGTCCCGACGAAGAGTAACTGCGCCTTTTCCGGCCGAAACGACGACGGCAGGATGAACGCGAAGAGAAAAAGTCGCGCTAACACCAACAGCACCGGAACCAGGTGAGAATTGTCGATATTATTATGTATTAGTATTAGAATTTTTATCACACGGGGTAGGTAGTATTTTATTTTTTTTTTCCTATCGCCTAATCCCTTTACGATTCACTCGTATTATTCGACAGACATAATGCAGATGGCTAATCTTTCGCCAGTTTTCCCGTCCCCGGAGAAAACTTCATCGTACTTTTCGCGTTTCGTTATTTCCCACCGAATATTATTAATATTGGTGCTAAATAATACCTGATATTATGACAGACAGTTCTGAAACATCAATTATTAATACCTAATGAAGTAACGTGTATGTGAAATATTATTATCACGATAACGATAATCAACGCAGCCGCCATTTTGTTGGGGATTTTACGACTACCTAGGTACTTAATATCATCTAGATTCTAGCTAGTGGTTCATTTACCTATTTTAATTACCTATTATGGGTAAAAAAAAATATTTACGTCTCGATCGCTAACGTGCAAATTCGATAGGTATGTAAGCGATGACGCCTTATTTTTCTTGTGTCCTAAATTTGAATTGCTCATGTATGAGATATTCCGTTTTTGGCGTCTGAATATTATAATATCGCATCTGCTCCAAAGTGCAAAGCATTGCCGTATCAACTTTTTTTTTATGGCCTTCATTTGTCTATAAAATGGCATACATGTACTTGACAGACCTTGATACTTGTAGTAATTTATTCTATGAACCGTTGGCAAATCGCGAAGAAAACGGCATATTCTCACATTTAATATTAAAACTTATAATTCATTATCTATAATTGTTTGATTGTCAATTTTATATGCGAGCATTTTGGCATTTGTTCAAAAATTAGCCATTATGATAAATTATTGCTCATCTATTGTGTGTATTATTTTATTACAAGTTATCCTTTGATAATGTATATGATATTGTAATATAATTTTAATGTTTCGTTTTATAATGATATTTTTAACTATCTACATTTAATGAGCATAATTTATTAATTAGGTTTTATCGAAGGTATTTTTTTTTTTGCAAAACCCAGTTGTTTCCTTTATATTTAACCCAAATCCATAAAGAAAGTATCATTTTAAAACTTAGGTTCCCTGCTCCTAACCAATTTTTAATTCACAACTACTCATTTTATTTTCACAATATTTTTGGGCTGGATTATTCAATGTGATAAGAATGTAACAAAAAGCTGTTGTTAGTAAAGTGTACAACTGTTCTTATACAATGTCCCATTACCGCTATACTTAAAGTTCTATCAGTTAACTCACAGTTAGCGCTAACCAACACTTGACAGGACATTGTAAAAACCAGAATAGGTTCATTTTTATTGATATGATTGCTGTTTGTTTTGAAAATACTAAGTATTTATACTAGCCTTTTTGTTTAGTATACAATAGGTCTACAAAGTATACAAATACATGTATTGCCTTATCCGTGATTGTGTTAAAAATATATCAAGTTTGTTATTTAGTTTTATTTAGTAGACATTTTAACAAGATAATATTATTTATCTGTTTATTATATATTTGATTTATAAATTGTTTTCAAAACTTTCTAATATTGTTATTAGATGGTTATTTAGTTAATTTAGTTAGCTTGATTAAATTGTTACCTATTATTTTATAGAGCTCCTCGAGCCAGAGCTTCGTCTTCAGGTGGAAATGGTGTAAATGCGCAAGTATCCGGTGCTGATGGAATATATTTAAATGAAACATTTATGCACCGTGTTACTAGTTTGATTGGACTCGAAGTAGAAGTAAGAATTTTATATTACTTGGAAGTTAAGCAATATTTTTAATATTATTGTTGTTTTCAGATAGTAACTCATTCTAAAGAAATGTACTCTGGTATATTGCGCACATTTTCTAGTAATTTTGATGTTGTATTAGAATTACCACATAGGACTGATCCTCCCCCATCAAGTCAAACTGTAGGTTTACAGATTGTAGCTGACAAAATGATATTTAAATTTGACAGTATAGTAAAAATTGCTGCATATGAAACAGATTTAGATAGTATGACTCGAAGTAAGTAAAAATTATTGATATACTATTTATTTAATATACCTAAGGTAAAAATTAAATATATATTTATTTTTAAATTCATAGATACATTCCAAACGGATACCACTATTAGTAAATATAATGGTCAGCCATTAGGTGAAAAAGTATTAGAAATGTGGGAGCCACCATCTGTAAATGGTGATATGGATGACTTTGATTTAGGTTCTGGAAATACTAATGCTGTAAGTAAGATTTATTTTTAGGTACAAGTACTGTGTATACATAAATAATAATTTATATGTTTACTAGTTACTACCAAACACTTTCAATATATTATGGATAGAAATATTTCTATCAAAATAATTTGTGAATTTTTAAATATAACTATATATTTTGAATTTTTTTAGGGTTAAAGAATTTTCAATTATATTTTTGACCTTGATTTAAAAGAATTCTATTCTTAGTTTTTATAATGGAAAGTTTTGGTTAAAATTTATATATTTGTGCTCATTATGTAATACAGATCTATGGTTTTAGTATACCATCTATTTTAATTACAATTTTAGAATGGCTGGGACGCAGATGATATGTTCAGACGTAATGAGGAAGAACATGGTGTAACATCTACTTTTGATCAAAATTTAAGTGGATATACAACAGAATTACGGACAGATTTATCAAATTTCAAGTAATTATCTTTTTAGTTATTAAATTTATATCAATTATAGTCAATTATTGATTTTTATTTGAAATTGAGCTACTAGATAGGTTATCGAGGCTTAATAAATAAAACCGATTGAAGAATTTGTTTTATTAATATTGTCAAAAAAAAAAAAAAAAAATCTGTATATTTTTTTAGTGTTCTTTTTCTATTCAATTAAATTTTTTTTCAAAGTTAAAATATTTATTGACATCTATAAAAAAAAAACAAAACAAATTAATTAAAAATAAAGAAAACATAGTAAAAAGAAGAATAAATAGATTAACAAACAATGTTTTATATCTAGCTAGTCGAGTATTTTAGTATACTGAATGTCTTACTTAGTTTGATTCAGTGTCCATTTACATAAGAACGTGTTTTATTATATTTTAAATTGTATTTAATATTTATATATTTGATTTATTTTAATATAAACTTGATATTAATTTTTGTTTAGAAACGAAGAAGCAAAAGCTGCTCGTTTAGCTCGAGAAATTGAAAGTAATCCAAATTCTCAAAATCGAGCTAATTTAGAAAATGGCGACGAAGAAGAACGGTATGTAAACATTTTGTATTAACTATTGGAATTATTATTTTATTTAGATTATAAATAAAAATAAGTAAATTTGTATAATAAATATAATAAAGACCATAAATTCCGCCAAGGAAATTTATCAAAAGTGTGATTATAAAAAAAAAATATAGTTAAGTAACGTAACAATTATAAAGCAACTGATTGTCCCTAGGGTAGACTAGAACCATGGTTTGGTAGGGATGTTAGTAGCAGTTACTCTATGTAGAGGTTTAAGAGTCTAGAAGTTTTTTCTATTCCAGCTCCCAGACTTCAAATTGATTGACAAAGAATTGAGGTTAGATCAAAATAAGGACACAATAGGGGAACTGATGGATACACATCATAGGTAGAGCTGGCTAGGACATCGGCACGTTCATTTCTTGAGATAGTGGAATGTCCCAGAACCTATAGGAGCGATTCAAATGTGAGGTTAGCTTTGAGAGAATTGTGTGGATTTTTAAAATGGCCTGAGAACAATGTGGGTTAAAATTATTACTAGATAGGGCTAGAACTTTCATTTAATTTACCCTACACAGAGATAAGATAAATACTGGGGAATATAGAGTATAACTACAAACTGATGTATAAAAAAAAAAAAAAATATATTTATGTAGTATCTTATAGTAAAAATTTTGGAATTTTGATATTTTACATCTGCAGTAACGCTGTTTGAGATGTAAAGTTTGTTATTTTTCTTGCTTTTTCATATATTATATAGTGAACAATTAAGATATTGAGGTCAGAAATTATGATATTGAAAAATTAAATACCTTAGTTGTTATGGTATAATATAAAATTATGTTTGAAAGTATGTTTAAAAAAAAAGAATATTAAATAACTTATTTTTTCCACCAAGGTTTGCTTCTGTTTCAAGACCATCTAATGAAATGTCCAACAATCATAATGATGGAAAATATATGTCGGGTCGTCGTAAAGCTGGACCACAACAATCAGCCAACAGTGCATATGGTTTGTTTAATAGGAGCCGTAAACATCCAGAGAAATATACTAATAGTGGGTCTAATGAGCGATGGGAATGTGTTTCTGGTCCAGGGACAAAAAATAGTAACCAGAATCGTGGACATGGTCACCAGCAAAATGGTAATAACAATGCTGCAAACAAATCTACATTGCCTCCTTATCACAACAACGCTAATCAAACATATGCAGCCAATAGCCGTGAATCACCAGTGTCTGTCAATGGTCAAAGTGATAAACGTTCATCAGCTCCCAATAATAATCGCAGAGAAACATCTTCTGGACCTAGACATGGTATTTAATTTTGTTTGATTTGTCATATGTGATATATTATATAATGTTTATAAAATTTGTATTCGTATTTTATTTAGTTTCTAGTAGAAATTCTTCTAATTATTCTTCTAATGACAATCAATCATCACCTTCCTCAACTCGTTCTTCTCCTCCGACAGTGCAAGGACATCATAATCAAATAGTAAGCACACCTACTCCTAGATATCAAACAGCAACAACCTATACACAACAGACAAATACAACAAATTCTCGTCCAAGTGTTAGTACATCATATGCGGCAGTTGCTGACAAATCTATACCGAAAACACAGCCACCAACTGCAACTATTAGAGGTAATTGTTGTAGATTTTGTATTTTTCATACAATTTTACATGCCATCTAAATACCTAGTACATACAAATTACAAATGAACAATTTATGTAATTATTTTATTTGATTTATATGATTTTTATTTTTATATATTAACAGTTAGAGATGAAAGTCTTAATTCTGAGCTCAAGCAATTTAGTACAGACTTCCAATTAAGTTTGGCATCTCCACAAAATGACCCTAGAGTTACTTCACCTGCATCAGTTATATCTGAAATACCTATACAACATTCTGCTCAAATACCACATTCCGAGCCAGTATGTCCACCTGTACAAGATGTACCACAAGTACATGAAGAATTGACTGAACCTTCAGCCTCGCCTCCACAAGCAATATATAAGCTTCAAGAAGAGCACACTGAAACTAATGTAGAAAACATAAAAAAAGATCAAATTGAAAAACCCATAGAGGAAATTATACCTCAAATACCAGATAAATCTGTTGTACAGACATCTAAGCTCAATCCTAACGCCAAAGAATTTGTCTTTAATCCAAATTCAAAGCCTTTTATTCCAGTAAGTAAAATTTAAATTAATAGTTTAAATAATTTTCTTAAAATTATAACTAAATTAAATTAAACAATTTTAGCGGTCTCCATCAACTCCTAATTCATCCAGACCAATGACACCACAAACACCAACAACCAATATAGTTGCTACATCTGGTCAGCATCAACAAATGATTCAAGCCCAACATGGACCAGCAATCGCTATTCCAGCTGCTTATCACCACCATCATCATCAGCATGCACCTGGAACTGGACCCATGGTTACACATCAAACACCTCCTCACCCCCACCCTGCATTTGCAATGTTACCTACTGTGTTTGTTACTTCAAATTCTGCATTTAATCACCATCACTCTATGCCTCCACAACCACCAAATCAAGCTGGAAGATTTCGTAAAAGTAATAATTTAATTCCTGCGAATATATAAATAATTATTCAGAAAAGAAAATATTTTATTTTAAATAATTTACTTTTATTCAATTAGTGGCAGTTGGAATGTCTCATAGAAGTGATTTAGCTTCACAAATACAAGTAGCTGCTGCAACTGGACAACCCCTTTTAGCACCAGCACCACTTCAAGCACAATTTACTGTGCCCAGCTATAATCAACCTATGCCTACACCTCAAACTTATCAACAAGTTCAGGTAAATAATTATTTTAAAATTCTATTGACTATAGATAAATATTCATAGGAAATAGTGATGCAGTATATTCTTTATAATACAAAATGAAGTATTAAATGTTGACGTGTACACAATAAATTCAATTTTATTTCAATTAAAATTTGAATAATTCACTTAAATGTAATTTTTATGAATGAATGATAAGAGATAATAATTAAAAAAAAAATTCATGTTCCTATATTTTATTTAGATGGTTCGTATGGTACCGCAGCAAGGTGGTGGTATGGTACCCACATTAGTTCCAACGTCAATTAGCTATCATCCTGCTAATGCAGGCCAGTTAAGTCAAATGGAAAGTGGTGTACCACAAGGTCCTCCGTCATATCATCACCATCATCATCATCAAGCATCACAACACCATATAATGAATCAACTACAGACGGCACAGTCTCCAGCACCACAATCCGGACCTCCACAAACACCCGGACAATCACAAACTCCTGTTAATTTCCAACAACCCCCACCACAACAATCACAGCAACCTTTCCCAGCAGGCACTACAATAATGTGTCCTATTTTACCATCGCCTACTGCATCACAACAGCCACCAGCACCTAATACACCTGGTTCAGCACCTACAATGCAACAACCTCCACCTCAGCAACATCCCCAACAATATATTTCTCATCCCCATCCACACCATCAAACAACATCTGCGCCAGCGCCGCATGGGCAATACCAAATATATTCTACCATTCGGGAATCATGAGATATAGCTAACTCATTTAATCCTAGTCCACATTTAGTAAAAGCAATAAAAAAGTGAGTACATTTTTAAGGTATTCATATTGTTAAAACAAATATTGTTTTAAATTAAACAAATTATAATTTTATTTATTTATTATATTAATGTACAAAACGGTGTTGATATTTTCCTAGATTCTCGGCGTTTCTCAAGTCATATAAAACAATTGTCAGTTCAACAAAAATATCTTGATTGTCAGCGGCTTCAAGCTCAAAATACACCATCATACGTGGGCACAATGTTATAATAACTTTGAGCAAGCTTTATCTAAATGTTGTTCAGTAACTGTTATTTATTTATTATTATTATTATTTTCTCGTTCTTTACAAATGATTATTATTAATTTTATTATTTTTTTTTTCATTGATTCCTTCAAAGATATAAATTTGATTTTATTTGTTATGCCAGCATAAAAAGGGGAAAAAAGACTAGAACATTTATTCATTTCTATATAAATATTATAAATACATATATAATATTGTAATGTTGTACGTTGATATTTCGACCCAATTAATATCTTCTTGTTTTTGTTTTCATTTTAACATGTCATTTTGTTGGCGTTTTAAAAATTAAATTTATAAATTCAGCTTTTATCAATGCAGTTGTTTTCAATATGTACATATATATACTGTGTATATATAATATGTAGTATATATATGTATATATTGTTCCAGTTACATTGTATCTAAATTATATTTCTTGTTTAACGTTTTTTCCTAAGAAGAATCATTATTTGAGAATATGTGATAGCTGAAATTATGATGATTTTTATAAGAAAATTGCCAGCAATCAGAGGAAAAAAAAATTGTATGCTTCTCTGATTACTGGCAATTGATTTTGGAGATTATTATGTATTGTGATTTTTTTTTTTTTCTTAGTCTTGTTACAAATTTATATTAAAATCGTTCGCTGTATGATATATAAATAATTGTTCGACGACTTTTCTATTTAGTTTAAACAATTTGTTAGATTGGCCGCAGCATGATCACAATTTCAAAAAAAAAGAAAAAGTTATTTTGTTAGTTCTTTTGGGAGCCATTATGTAGTAGAAGAATTTTTTTTAAATGTAATATAAAACATACATACTGCGGTCGACCTTGGACTTACTAAACAAAATGTATTGAAATCTACAAGAAAAATTGTTAAACGCTGCGAGACCTTGTTAAAGTTTTATATAAAAGTCTTATTTTATACATTTTGTAATGCCACGTTCAGTAAATAAAATATTAAACTGTCTCCCGAAATAATTGTATTCTTTAATTTTTATAATTCCTCATTTATCATTTTTAAAATAGTGATCCAGTAAATAGTAGAAAATTAACTTGAGCATAAATTATATTAATTTTAATTTTCTCTTTACTAAAATCGTTGCATTATAATTATTGTCTGTCGGATGACATATTTCAATTTTAAACATTTTTACAAGTCATAATAAATGTATATTATTTGTTATATTAATTTCGATTGCTGGTTTAACAATACTTCTGTGTTAATTATATATATTTATACTACAAACTAGAAGAAAACTAGTTCTGCAAATATGTAAGTGTAAGCCAAAATTTCAAAAGTTTGAAAAATATATCGAAAGTGACTAAAAGAATTTAAGTTATTTATCAATGCATTAATATTAAAAACCAGCAACTCTTCTTATATAAATATAACCTTTAAGGTAGATGCCAAAATGGTTATTATTTGGGTTATTTAAACCTGACAGTTTTTTACCTTAAGTTACTTTTCAGAAAATTATTTGATTGAAATGGATATTTTTTAATTTTTTAATATTTATCGAAACGATTAATTTGTAAGAAAAATTAATACTATATTGCAAATTGGAAAATTCAAGTTTTTTGTGCACAAAACTACGAGATCAATTTCGAAAAAAACTAATTTTTTTTTTTTTGTCGAAGAATTACAAATTTCAATCCGCTGTATTGGATGATGAATTTAGAAGCGTATTCGCGCGAACTATTTACAGAGCTAATAATTTTTAGGAATTCACGAAATCGTGACCGTCGCGTCGTGACTAAACAAACATCACATGTTATTAAAGTATCGGATAGTTAATTACCTGATTGATCCTCGGTGTAGAACATGTCTTACGTAGTGCGCACTGTGTTCAAAATAGTCAAGTACCTACCCACGCGATAAAATTCTCGGTCGCATCGCAAAAATTACGTATCGGCTAAACCCACTAGCGTTAGAAAAAAAAAAAAAAAAAAATGATTAGGTAGGTACCTACCTACTTCTATAGTACATACCGATGTTGTATCCGAAAACCCGCACACACATATGGTCTCCACAATAAAAAGAGCGGCAGACATAAACCTCGCATTTCATCGGTTGACAGGTAGGCACATTGTATAGCCAAATACCGCACACGCATAGTAAGTGTAAATCTGTACGCTAATTGTAAAATATAATATATTGTTACATGAACACATTGTGCGTCCAAATGAAAAACAAAAACAAGTTAGTTGATGGGCGCATTTTAATATCGGCAATACATCATCTTTTTATTTTAGATTCCGAGCGTAACGAGGGAGCTGTTGGTTTTACAATGCTGTTTATTTATTTCTTTTTTTATTCTCCTGGCCTGTGAACACGTGTTTTCCTAGTAAACTTGCTCCGATGTTTTCGTGTAGCGACTTTTCTGAAAGCTCAAGTTGTCTAAATGGCACTTTAGAGAGGTAATTTTTTTAAATAGAAGCACTTAACTGGAAAAGAAAAACGTACAATTTCACGATTTCGTTAGTTAATAAAAACACGGACGACGTTTTCTATCTGACCTACATCAGTGGCCGCTTCCATTCCCAGTATCAGCTCTTTTTTATTATATTGTGTTTAATTTTCGGATCACATGTTTAAATGTTGGGTAGAATTTTCGAAGGATGGAGATCGTTTAAAATTTCTAAAAACCACATCCGGCTATCGATTTCTAATTATTATATATAATTAATTGTATAAAAATTATATAAACAATTTTTTTTATAAATATTTTAAAACTAATATTTTTAATTCTTTAAAAAACGACGGCTTTTTGCTTAAAATTTTGATCATTTTAGATTCTGAGTGTAGCAGCGAAGAATGAATTGGTTTTACTAAGATGTTTATTTTTTTTTTTATCTTTTTTTTTAATCCTGTGTACAAAAATTCGACCATAAATCTTGCTCAGATATAAACGCGCGGCACCGTTTCTGAAAAGGATTGTTGTCCAGATGGTACTTTTAGAAGGTCATTTTTTTGATTTTCGAAGCGGTTTTCATAATATCTGGGAAAAACCAGGATAAAACGGTAAATTTACGAAAATAATGCATTTATTATTTTTCAACTTTGTTATTTGTCGTAATTCAGTTAAAAAATATTCACAGAGACTTGAAATTCGGACAGAAAAATTATATTTGCTTTTTCTAAACGAGGTAAAATTTTCAAAACATTTGAGTCATTTTTAGGCTTTTTATTAAAATTTTAATAATTTTTAGTTAAAAATATTCGTGTCGACTCGATGGATAAATACATTTTTAATGAGCACTAAAGTTCCTATTAACATTTTTTTTTTTTCAGTTTTATCGACACCAGAGACGGATCTGTTTTCATAATTATTTCTCATCTGCCGCAATCGTTTATTGAGGTAACTTATGCACGGCATAATATACAGTTAAACAATACCAGATATTGGGGGTGTTTAAGAAAGTCTTTCGCTGTATCACCATACATAAGACTTAACTTAAACCCAACGCTTCTGAGCCATAGTCTTAGTCGCAGTAGTACAGGTGCCTACTGCTGAGCGGCGACGTCAGAAGGGCCCGCGTGGCTTGGGAGGGGCCTCGCAGATTGGGTATGAGCGATCGCGCGTGCCACTTGAGACGCCTTGCGGGGCACCGTAGACGGTTTAAAGTTTAGATCGAAGGAGCTGGGAAGAGCAATAATAAACTCCACGTCCGTTTTCCCACTCCTCCGATTTAATCTTCAAACTGTTTTATGAATGTATAATCCGTAAACTTTATTAATGTTTTATGCACATGTACCGGAATAATGTATATGGACGAATATTTTCTATTTTCTATATATGTTTAAATTTAGGAGGTTCCTACTAAAAAATCAAAAGTGTATAATAATAATTTCATGGAATGGGGGTAAACAAAGTGAAAATAGTGTTTTCGCATAAAGTTTTAACCGCGATTGCATAATGATTAAAAAAATAAATAAATAATAATTACAATGATAAAAACAGAAATCAAATTAGCTTTTAAAACACTCCGAGAAAATCGCTGGTCCGTAATAAATCGATCACCCGGTATGATTTATTCGTTTATGATCATTATGACGTGTCCGCATAACTTTGTCGAGTTTAATTCGCATTTTATTATGTTTGTTTAGATATCAACTCCGAGTGATCATATTATTTTAATAGTACTCGATTTGATATTTAGGTCACAATAATTAAAACGAAAAGCGTTATTAATAATAATACACGTGTCTTATTGATAATAATTATTAACGATAATTTTTATGTTTCGTTACTGACAGCAGCCAGCGAACGGGAACAGATGGCGCGGTTCACAGGTATGTATCTGAAATACCTTTGAATATCTTGTCTCGTTTTATTTCGATTCGCAATAATACAATATGAAATCATACATATTTACTACGGTATCGGGCATTTCAAATTCAAATCGTATTTTACAACCACTCCCGCGATAAAATATCAGTAAAGTACCTGCGCATATACCTACACGACCTCCATCCCGTTGTGTGATAAAAACGTACGAGAGAGGGGAGTGAGGGTTAAGTAATATATTCTATTTTATATGACCGCGACGTGTCGCTTGTTGACTTTATGGCTCGGGGTTAGATCTCGTAGAAAAAATGAATTTAACTGTAATAGGTAGGGTGCATGTCGGTGCAATAGGTAGGCATGTGTCCCGCAGTAAATGTATACGATGTGTATAAATTGTATAAATCGATTTCCTTTTATGATGTCTGCATTATGCGTAATCAAATCACTATTACTATTTACTTATTATAATATAGGTATTTTTGAGATGTTTAAATCGGTGGATTCCCGCAGCCAAGCATTTTCCAAAGGCCAAATACTTGTGATTTAATATTATCACAAAATCGTTAATTGCTTCCACACATATTGAATTCCAAATTGAATAAACCATTTTTATATATAGGTTTATATATTTAAAAGATACAACAGAGTCCGAGGGGGGGGGGCAGATCCGGATCCCCACCCCTGGTAGTGTCTGTGATAAGATGATTAGATGAGTATTTATAAGAATTGTTTTTAAGTAGAAGTATAAATTTGGTTCCTATTCCTCTTAACCATCGCATTCGCACTTGCAGAGTCGAATTTTCATAATTCAATAATATGACGATAATGGAAAATCATTTCGATGATTAATATTTATTACACTGACCTAAAATGCAGTTATCAACGAACCCTTCTTCGGACCTTGGCTACACCACTATAGAGTTGTAATTACGAAAATGTATTCCGACGTATGCAAACTCGAAGTAGTAAATCGATAACTATTGAACAAAAATCAAAGTTAAATACAAATTCAATATTTAAAATAAGAATGAGCGTTACGATTTCGTTTCGTATTCTACTCGAGTGTCGGAATGCAAATGTTATGAATTGTATCGTTTTCAACTTAAAAAAGACGTCCTAGGATAATGGAGACGGATGCAGCCACTGTCATAGGTAATTCAATGTACATCTATATGCAACGATAAACCATTGCTAACGAAAAAAAAGATTTTGAGCGTAGTTCAATTGTTTGTCAACAATATTTATGCCATCTTATGGTCAAATAATTAAATGGGCATTATATATTTTCTTTAATAATATTTGTTTAATATTGTACCGATTTTCCCATGTTTTCCCCGATTTTTTCTATTTATTGGGAAAATTTCTGAGAAAATCGAAAAATTACCTCCCTAAAATACTTTCCCAGCCAGATTTTCTTTCAGAAAAAGTGCTATAATTTTAAATCTGAGTAAAATTGCTGGTAGAAAAGTTGTACACAGAAAAAAAAAACCGTATTTTTTTACTAATACCTACATTTTCGTACATTTTCCGTTTTCCCGACATTTTCCCGGTTTTTCCCAGATATCATGAAAACCGCTTCGAAAATCAAAAAAATGGCCTTCTAAAAGTACCATCTGGACAACATTCCTTTTCGGAAATGGTGCCGTGCGTATATATCTGAGCAAGATTTATGGTCGAATTTTTGTACACAGGATAAAAAAAAAAAAAAAAATAAACATCTTAGTAAAACTAATTCATTCTTCGCTACACTCAGAATCTATAATAGTAATAAAATGAAACATGCAGAGCTCGATTTTTAGATTACAGTACAGAATTTAAGAATTTGAAAATGGGACCTCTTATACAAATTGTATGTATATTACTATAGATATTTTTTAACGAACATTTCGGGCTATTATAGGTGGGAAGTTAGAAAAGTAGAGTAATACTTATGTGTATAAGTTATCGATAAATAAATAACGGAGTTCGATTAAAAATGTTTTGATAAATTTAAATTACTATTGTGACTAAAAAATAAAATCAAAAAAAAGTCTAATACACCAATTAGACAAAATTGTCTACCAAAAACTACTGTCGGTGTTGAAGATTTCTAGTTGAAAAGTTGTTAGAATTAAACTGTTATTCTTTTTATTTATTTATTATTACTACCTCTGGAATAAGCTCTTCTCGATGGGGGGGTTGGCCCATACCGCCTCCCTCAAGCGTACCATTGCGGGCTAGCTACAATCGGTATATTATAATTTTCTGAGAACCAAAGTTAGTAATAATTTTCGTTTAAAAAAACTTAAAATATAACTAAAACTCTTTATTTTTCAGAGTCGACCAAATTGTTCAGTTAGAAACGCAGTAAATGCGAATTTAAGGCGTACGGAATTCGGCCGAACACCATAATAATTATTATTGTATGAACACCAGAACGGCTATTGGCGCAGATGTTATTATTTATTGTCTGTTTAACGCATAATCGTACCGAATGAATCACAGCGGTAAAATTAATTGACCGTTTCGTTTGGAACATAATCCCGTCAATTACACACGCACAACATCAAAATTCACAAAATATAATAACTTATCTGTTATCAATTTATTATACTACCATACGATGACCTCCACTAACTAAAGCGTTTAACTGTTATCATTACAAATTATCCATTCATTCCCCTCAAGTTGCGAGTTTAATTTCCATGTAGGTACGATTAAAACATTAGACTGTATGGGGGTGTACAATTGCAATAATTATCGGAATATTTCCGCTGCGGATTTAACATGTATAACTATATAAACATAACTCGGTGTGTCATAAAAAATCGTCTGTACCACGATCGGGGGAAAAGAAAAAAAAAAATACGGAAACTGTATCGCACAATAATAATATACCTACATATTAATTACTTATTGATCACTATCATATTATCAGGTATTATTTTGTCATGTGGTGGGCACGTCGGCCTCGTCTCTTGTCTGATGACAGTTGCACGCACCGTCAAAATAATTTCGTCGTCCATCCTGCGTTTATTTATAATGATTTGACGGTATCTGCCTGTATGATATAATATAATATATGTAAGCACCTATATATTATACGTTCTTGCCGTTCGGTACTTGATCCATCGATCGAATAAAATAACATTCAAACGATCATCACACATAACTTACTTTATAGGTTCATTATAGGTAGGTATAAAACCGATTGCGTTATTGTAATATAAAATTTCGTCGAACACAGGGTTATGTACCTATCTACTTGTACTCAATAGTTCAATATTGTAGTTCTGTGATACCCGACGAGTTCGCGAGTCGAGTGAAAATTTGAAAATTTCGTCCGAAATCCAAATAAAATGAACACCAAGGCGATTGAGATCGTATTAACCGCGACGGTTCTGTTAACCGTGTTCGCAAAGTCAGCTTGCGATTGCGTAAGTGTATACTATTTTGTACAGCGTATTCTTATTTCATCGTAAATATTGTCATTATCATTTTTTATAATATTTTACATGTTTGTATATACTTACGCTGTAACGGTTATATCGGTCCAATGAAAAGAGCATTTTTTTTTTTTTTTAATTTTCTTTTAGTGCCTTTAGGACGATTCGCGTAACAAATATACATACATTATTTATACACTATTCGAAAGTGAAATTTTTGTTTTCGAAGTTTTTCTTTTGTTTTTGTTTTTTTATATCGTTATTTTAACGATTTTTACTGCACGTTTATACGCAATAATAATATTATATACAAAGATTTTGGTATAATATAATACGTTTATAGGTATACTATTCACTTTGAGGTAAGTGCCTAGTCAACTCGAAATATTATGTCGACAATTTTAGTTTTTCATATAATACGAGTATTTTGCTTATTTGGTACATTCTTCATCGTCCGCATCAATATACGTATTGTCAGTCGGTATAATTTATTATTATTATTATTATTATTTACATTTATTTTTTTTCTGCGTAAGTGCTTGTCACGTTCCCTGTACATAATTCGATTTTTTCGGAATAGACACTATACAACGTGTAAAACAGTGAAAATATTTAAAAATACAAATTGCGCTGGATGGATCATACAGTCACTTGCGTATTTTTATACGTCTTACCAATGCAGATACAACTGATATTAAATAGGTAACGATTTTTCGGCTGAGGATAAGAGTTAATTTAGAATTCGGTAGTACATAAATCATAAACTATAAAGAGTATTTCACTCTTGAAAACGTCGATACTGATTAAATCGCCGTAAAGATGACGTTACCCCACTTTCATCATTCGGTCCTATGGCCTTTCGGTGTTTTATGTTATTATGCGCACCGTCATGTCTTATACGTAAACTTTATTTCGTGATTGCAGGGAGGCTACAGGTTAGAAATCGAATACATCAGGAATTGCAACTCGGACAACATCGTCGAACTGTCCAAAAACTTTTCCGTGGCCCTGAAACAGAATTGTCAAATGGAACTTCGCGGTTGCGTCACGCTGTATGCTAACATAACCGACGCCGAAGTATACATTATTATTATTATAATAATGTAATCCAATTAATATTATAAATGCGAAAGTTGGTTTGGATGTACGTGTGTCACCAGTTTTTGTCCAAACTACTGAACTGATTGAGCTCTGAAACTTTGCACGAATGTAGTTCTAGACCATGAATAATATAGTCGATATTTTCCCCCCGTATTCAAGCCCTGGAGGGGGGGGACATAGGGTTTTTGATATTTTCAATACGAAAATTTAATTGTTTTGTGTTGATTTATGACTAATCTCGGCGATACGAATTTGAAAAAAAAAGACGGACATGCTTCGCACGTGTGTACAGCCACAATTGTAGGTGGGAAGTTGGGAAGGTAGGATACAAAATGGAATTGTATATATTAGTGTATATCTGTGAACGAAGATAAACCATTGTTAACGAAAAAACGATTCTAAGCGAAATTCAATTGATAGTGATGCTTAAGTTTAGAACAAAGAAATATAGTATAAAGATTAATAATTAAAAGAATGTATTGAAATCGAAATTTATTTCGTTTTAATATCGCTAGGTCTATAGTATTGCTTTTGTTAACAATATGATGTGCGTTTCCAGGACAACAATGATTGTCTAAAAAAGATTAAAATAATAAAAACTGAATAATAACAAAAAATAAATAAAACGGTTGCCAATGACAACCTTAGTTTTAATCTTTTGATTTTCTTTAACCTAAATAACTAGGTTTTCGTCATTGTCTCGAATATTAATGAGAATTTCAAAAACTTACCTCCTTAAATTACCACCCAGAGAACATTTCTTTTCAGAAAAGGTGTCATACTTGATAATTGGAGTAAGCTTTCTGGTAGAAAAAGTTTTCACATAAAAAAAAAATAAACATCATTGTAAAACCGATACATTCCTCGCCTCGCTCAGAATCTAAAAAATTGTTATAACAATCTAAATAAAAAATAAATATTATTTTTATTATTGGTATTTATATAGGTTATCTTGGTGATAGGGACGATTATTTTTCTATTATTTATTTTGGCACAGTAACGTCGGACGGGGCGGCTGGTAAAATTATATAGTTACCATACAAAAAAATATTATTATTGAGTATGTGATGGGAATGCGATGATAGTTAATCTTTGAATTTCAAATCCACGGGAGGACATGGGATTCAACTCCTCCCATTATATCCTCGTTGGGAATTCATTATTGTAATCAGTACGGAAAACATGCAAATTTTGATGGTTTTATTTGAAAAAAAATTGTCCATAAACCGCTTTTATTATGAACATTTCTGAACATTTCTGTTCAAATCTTCTCCTATTTCGATCTCAGTTCATAGCGTATCAGGTTTTCTCTATAATTAAAATATATTTTATTTAGATACCAAAATATATCAATGTAACTGTAACAAAAACAATCTCGATCACTATTAGAAAACTAATATATAAAGTGAAAAAAACTCCAAGGAGGAGGATGGCCCCCCCCCTAGATATCTAACATTCAATGGTCACTACAGTGCGTCTAATAATCCGAACATTTTATAAAAAATGAAAAATGTAAATGTTTTTTTTTTTTTTTAAGCCAATAAAAGTTGTAGAGAATTCGACAGCGTTTTCCTACGGGTTACCTATGGATAGGTACGTTTTTGTGCGCAATTTAATCATCGTTACGCACCGATTGCCACGGGTACCTATATAATATTATTCCCCGTTACGACGGACCAGAGATGTATTTTGGGGTTTATGCCGTGTAAGCGAGGTAGTCTTATACGCATTTATCGTCTCCCGAGTATTTGATATGTTTATAAAAAAACACGCATTTCCATCATCAACGATGTAAAATCGTTTTATATCTACCGTATACGGGTGAGGGGAGGGAGGTATTAAATTGATTTTGATATAATATTGTGTTTAGATCGATTACACCGTTCAAAAAGACACGTTCAAACGGTCGGGGAAGAAAAACGTTTGCGTTCAGCTGGAAAACGCACCGGACGAGATCGTTAAAGTTTCGGAAAAGCTCGGAGTGCCAAACCGTTGTCCCTTCAAAAAGGTTCATTGTGCAAAATAATAATTATTTTAAAATCGATTATGATTTATATAGTAGAACTATTGCGGTCCGTTCTGCTAATTATTTTAGATGAATTGCGTCCCATTTTCATTAAACTAGGTGAATTGCATACTTGTTGTAATTCAACACCGGTTAATCACGATTTCGTACATTTACCTTTTTGGGAACATAATTCCGTTCGATTTTGATCAAAAAATGGATTGTAAAAATTACCCCGAAAACTTCACGATTACGTACGATTTTTTGATACATGAAGAATATCGTGTAGTTCGGAAATATTATACTTGGTGGTTTTGTGTGAACAGAAGTACGTGCATAGCGAATATTTCTTTTAATTTGAATGTCACATTGCTAGCAGTTGTTATTGTTTCTATGTCATAATTTTTTTACTTATACGTGTGAAAGTCTCGACGGTTTTGACGAAATGTTATCTATTAAGCTTTTCTTTTAAGAGTATTAGTATAAGTTTTTGTCGGTTTAATAATTATTTTTTTGGTTTTCGGGTGATTGTTTTCGTTGTTTACTGGGTATTCTATTGTAATCAAATTATTTTTACGTTTAAAATAACACTTACACGATGTTAAACAACATGACCACCGTTGTATATCATTTGTTAGAAGTTTACGGAATCGAAATTTAAATCCATCGGTGGGTACTCCCGGAAGGCGTTGTATTTCAGTGCTTTTGTATTGCTTCGACGACCTTTTTCGTGTACAGTATTTCATATACTATCATAAATATCGGGGATGCAATTATTTATCTATTTGGAAAAATTAATATCCGGGCCGCAATTTACCTAGCTGTGTATTAATACATTTTATTTTTGGGACGCAATCCACCGAACCCGAAATAATATATACAGCTGCAGTTATTGTTGTTTCGCAGGGCACAGTGTGCTTGGACAATAAATCGATAAACGTGAGCAAGTACAAATTACGAATGAACGTATTAGTCGGTCATCTCAAGGGGAAAGCACTAATGACCACCAACGCCGGTAAGTCCTGCGTGGAATTTTCGGCGAAATTGGACAACGTGTTTGTAAGAGCTTTCGCTTTGCCGACCATTCACGGACGATGAGTCCCGGGTGCTATACAACCGAGAGGTGAGAGTATAAAATCGGACGGTTTACAAGAGAAAGAGAGTTAAAGGAAAAAAAATAAATAAAAATATATCAGCTGCAAGAAATATAAAAAACTAACGTAACTTTTTGTTTTTTCTCCTGATTTTAGAACTCTGTTTTTATAGTTTGTGTTTCGTATGTATTTTTGTTTTTTTTTATAACATCCGAAGTATATTAATTCCATAATATTTTGAATTACTATTTAACTGACGTAAGACCATTACTGCATATTATTATCTTTTGTGCCCTTTTTCATTTTGACTCAAACAAGTTTGCATGTATCGTACTCTGACTTAAGACGATATTTAATAATATTTACTTATATACAAGTACTGGATATATATATATATATATAGAGAGAGTAAAGATAGCAAATAAAATGCAAGTATTATAATATAATATCGTTATATAACTCGACGAGTTCTTTTGAGAAAACGCAGCCCTTTTCACATCGGGTTTTATGACAGTAGATTTTTCGATATTAATTTACGTATAGATTTTTTAACGATACATTAACATTATATTGTACTTAAAAATACACATATTTTTATGCTTATTCATATTTCACAATTAAAAAAAAAAAAATCCACTTGTCAGATACATTAATAATGAATTAAGTACAATTGTGAGTGTATGTTTATTTTTTCAAACCGAGCATTCAATTTTCCTAAGTGCTAACTTGCATTTTTTATATATTTTTCCAGGCTATTTTTATATTCGAAAAAAAAAACCATTTATAACACAATAATACATATATGTGATGTCGCCACTACGGATTCGTTAAAAATTTAATTTTACCGGTTTTTAATATCCATATTAAATGTTGATACAAATAACTATGTTACATATATATTATTGTTTATCTTAACATATTTCCACGCGTATTTTTATAATAATTTGTACTGTGTAATTACAGTATAGCTGCACTTATTTACTGCGTGTTGTTAATTATATTGATGTAATGATGTCAATAATACATAACAGTATATGTTTTTATACGCAAAATAATTGAACGAGTTTTTTTGTTTTTGTTGCTTGATAACCAAATTATATTTTCATATACTAATAATAAACTTTTTGATCCTGAAATCCATAAGCAAATACTTATAGGCTGTTTCAATGTTCCTTCTGTACCATACATGTACACAGAAACAACCGCAGTATCGAAATATAAGAGGAATGACAAACTGGAATACTGAAAAGTACCGATAAAGGTACATGATTTATGCACCCTGTAGTACCTTTATTGGAAAAGATATTGGAAAAGAAAATAAAGTTTACAGAAAGAGAATTAACAGAGAAGTGAAACGAATTTACCAAAAACCTTGTATTAGTCGTAATTCTCTTATAAGTAAACGGCTTGAGTGTATATATATTATAGAGATCAAACGAAATTTTGAAGAAACCTGGAAAGAGAAGATAAATGGTGGAAGACTCAGGAATTGTCTTATAGGAAAACTACAGAATTAAAGACGATTTAAATAAGTGCACTCGGGGAATAACAATTGATGAAGAAGTGCGGAACAATGTATATAGAAGAGGCGGTGAAGGTTCTTTAAGGACTGTAAAAGCTCAAAAAGATGAGATGCGTATATTGCTAATAAACTAAAAAAAAACAATTATATATATTTATTTGATTTGAATTAAAATACATATATCATATGGATAATTTTTATTTTAAAGGGATTGTAGATACCGATATTCTCTTTCTTATGTCTAATACGTACGCATCAAAGTAATTTTGACAAAATTTTTTTCAATTGGTCCGATACGAATTCTGAAAACAGATTAAATTAAAATTTCTAAAAATTTGACCGGCCGAACTCGCGTACACTACGTTCTGAATTCAACTATTTGTTTTCGAAATTCTTATTCCTTCATTACGTCGATTGGAATGATTAAGGGAAAATCGCACGTCTAAATTACTATGCGAAATTACGTCACAACGATTGGTACGGTACAGAAAGAAAACATCGGTATCCAATTCCTTTAATATATTTAATTCCATAAACGATTGTTTATTTCTTAGCAGACATACAGAGTTGCACGCGGATAATTATATTTAAATTATACTTGTACAATCTATGTACATAGGTATATTCAATTGACACTGTTTTTTCTCCTTTTTTTTTTTTTACTTAAAAAATCGACATAAAACATTTTATTTAACGATAAATCAATATTATTACTCGTATACGTAATATTATATATGTGTACCTATAGTGGCATAGGTAGTACAACTATGGCTATACAGTTTAACGCGCTCAAAGAGTTAGTTTTCCGGGAGATTTATGAAGGTATTATGTGTTGTAAATACCATAATATATATCTATCTATCTGGCGGGAACGGGCGTGTTGTGTTGGCATCTTATTTTCAGGATATCGACAAAATAGAAAAGTAGGTTATAGTACATATATTATACGTTATACTATTAGTTTTATATTATTTATATACACTTTGCATTAGCCCCGAGCGTTATGTAGTTACTTTAGATACAACGTTATCAATTATTTTATTTCGATCGTAATGTTGGTTTTCGGAGAACGTACCGAAAAGATTACGAGTCACTGTAAATCGACTTTATGAAATTTACATATTTTTATTTTGTATAATGATTTGGAAAACACAAGGATCAGTACGTGAAGGACCTAAAAGAATTAAACTATACTAGAGACATTACGGAGAACTGCGATAAACTGATCTGAGAATGAATAGCTAAAAATGCACTACAAATAGATTTCTTGTCGATTTTAATTGGAACTGAATATATAGGCAGAGATTGGTGGGGGAAGCTAGGTGGAATCAGCCCTTTTTCTCCTTGAAAAGTTGGTGTTTTATGTAATAAGCCAGTCTTAGTATAATAATAATATTAGGATTATATTTTGGAGTCTAGCCCTCTCTCATATAAAAAAAGGTATTACATCTTGCCGTGCGACTATACCGATGAAAGCTGTAATTCTGGAGTCATGGACACTTCCTCGTCTGTCATAACCCCGTCAGACGTTTCCTCATAAGACATTTTCCCGTACGACATTCCCCGTAGACGTGTGCAGCCACTGTGTATAGGTAATTTAATGTACATCTGTAAGCAACGATAAACCATCACTAACGAAAAAACGATTCTGAGCGCAGTTCAGTGGTTAGTGATGCTCTGTCAACAATATATAATATATATGGCATATTCTGGTAAAATAATTAAATAGGTATTATATATTTTCTATAATAATAATAATATTTGTTTAGTTTTGTACCGATTTTTCCGTTTTTCTTGGTTTTCCCATGTTTTTTCCCGGTTTCTCACATTTTCTGGGAAAACTCTTGGGAAAATCGAAAAATGATTACCCTAAAGTACCTTCTCGGTCAGATTTCAGATTCTTAGTTAGAAAAGCTTGCACAACAAATCGAGGGGTATTTTGCGATTAAAATAGTTCGAGCGAGCGATAGCTAAGGTCTCTATGTACATCTAAAATGCATTTGTTTTTTCCTACTTAGGAAAAAGGGAAAAAAATAAGTGCAACCATTTTTCTTCGAATCACGGGATTGAACTCGCAATCCCAAGGATGATAATATTAATATGTTTAACCATTCGGCTGCGGTAAATGAGATGAAATTGCTTAGGTGGATGAATGGAATGACGAGAGAAGATAAGATAAGTAACGAGTAATTAAAAGGCAATATTCGATAATAGACAAAATGAAAGAAAACAGATTGATATGGTTTGAGCATATAATGAGGATAGAGAAATTAGAAGCAAAAAGAATTGTAATGCAAATAAGCATAGGAGGAAGGCGTAGAGAGGAAGACCGAAAAAGAGATGGATGAATGGATATGATTGAGAATGATATGAGGACAGTCGGTGTATGCGAGGTGGGAGATTGGTTCAAACGGAAGTTTAGAACGAGGGTGGATAATCCAAAATAGTTGGGATGAAGGCGAAGGAAAAAAGAAGAAGAATAATAATAGAACGAAAGTTATTTCAGGTGTCAGATCTTTGTCTTACGCTTTGTAGAAATGATTTGGAACGATTATATGTTATTTTTGCCTTGGTAAGTATAACTTTTGTTTGATGAGTCTCAATACAGGGTTTCTCTGTAATAATTTAAAAACATATCAGTGCCGTAGTCGAGAGGAGTAGGGTCTGGGGACAAGTGTTATTTGTTATTATTAATTTTTTTTTTTCATTGGTTATTTTGGTGTATTTTATCTGTCTAAAAAACAGTAGGTAACTAATAATTATTATTATTAGTGCCTTCTCCGAAATTTCTTTTCGCCAATGCAGTGTGTATAATACTGAAACAAATCATTTTCCATCGACTGTATGTAAGTTTACCACGCGATAGTTTAGGGTCAGTTCAAATACAGAGGAAGTCTCTACATCGCGGACTCGAGTTTTAGTATTCCGTAGGTAGGTATAATAATAATATCTCGTATTTATAGTAGTATGTATATTTACGACGACGAATGTCCCACGAAGATTTACTATATATTTTAAACCGGCGGCGGCCGGTGTGTACATCATGTAGATCTAGGAGCAATATGTATATTTTGTTTACACACCATTTACTCCGTCTAAAAAAATAGTAAATCCTCGTGGGATACCTCCGGAATATATTATTATTATTATTATTATTATATAGGTACAGTATATAGGTATACTTTACCTATAATATGCCGTGTTGTTATATTATATAAATGACCGTGTGCGTAAATGAAATGAAAAAAAATCCATTTTCAAAGTAGCCATCGTACTATAACACATAACTGATGAATTTTTTATTCGAGCGCGCCGTCACCGCCGGGAAAATAATAATATTGTATAATACGAGTATACTATTATGAGATATGATAAATAATATTTCGGAATATACATAAAAAAAAAATATATATAATAGTCGTCGGGTCGTGTGTTTGTTTTATCGGACCTTTTGTTACTCGTCGCACATTATATAATAATATTATGTGAATTAGGTTAATTTAACGTAAAAAAAAAAAATTAAAACAAAAGAAAGCTTTTGTCCAAATTTGTATTCGATTTTATTGCCACATTTTTAGGTTCTAAGTATATAGAGCATAGAAGCTGTTGGTTTTACTAAAAAATTTGATGTCGATTTAAGATGTGTGTGTATGTGGTTTTTTTTAACTATATTATCACATTTTATTTCTGATCAGTCTCAATAGTACCACCACCACCTTCAATCATTTGACCTTATTTACCCAATCATTTATATTTTCATTAATTTTTACCACTCTCCTAAAACCCATTTCAGTATTTCACAAACACATTTACTCCATCTGACTAATGGGGGTAAAGTAGGGTAGGGGCGTTGCAAGTTTCAGAGAACTGCGTTGGTACACACATATAAATATTTACCTCACAGAAGAACCGGGCATCTTCAGCCTATAACGGTGCAATTAATAAATCAGAGGACAGCAGCGCGCGCATGACGAATGACAAAAGAACTGCGCGCTCACGACGAATGACAAAAGAGCTGCGCGCGCAGAGCCCAACCGTCGGCAAAAACTTCGATGAGGCAGATTGTCATAGCGAAAGTAAATCATTCAGTATACAACAGTCGAACATGCAATAGCAAACAAATATTGAAACATCTAAAATACTAGCACCGCCGAAACTGATCGTAAAAAATATAAACAACACAAACTCTAAATAAAACAATGGGCTCCCGAAGAGTAGCCCGAAGTTTTTATTATCGAACGATAAAAATAAAAAAAATACGTCCTAGGATAATGGAGATGGGTGTAGCCACTGTTATAGGTAATTTGATGTATACCTGTAAGCAGAGATAAATCATCGATTTTTAGCGGAGTTCAGTTAATAGTGATGCTTTGTCAACAATGTATATGACATATTATGGTAAAATAATTAAATAGGCATTATATATTTTCTTTAGTAATATCTGTTTAATGTACCAAATTTCTCGTTTATCCTAAGTTTTTTCCAGTTGTTCACATCTGCTGGGGAAAATTCTGGGAAAATATAGAAAAATAACATATCTCCCCACACCGATTTCCTTTCAGAAAAGGTGCTACACTTAAAAATCGGAGCAAGGTGTCAGGTAGAAAAGTTGTCCATAGAAAAAAGAACATCTTTGGTAAAACCATAAGCTTCTTTGCTCCACACTCAGAATCTAAAAACATTGTAGTATGATAATATTATGTGGGTTAGGTTAATTTAGCTAAAAAAAAAATTTAAAACAAGAAAGCTTTTGTCGAATTCAATTCTAGGTCTACATTTTTAGATTCTAAGCATATAGCACATAAAAGCTGTGTTTTTTTAAAAAATTATTATCTCAGAAAACACTTTTTCAGTTAGTGAAGATAGTGTGAAATAAATGCTTGGGAACAAAGTACTGGTTTGTCATAGCCTCGCCGCGGCGAGTGAAAAATTTATAGCCCCGCCATCCGTATAACAATAAATACATCGTATAAATATAAAATAATTCGACGGAAAAAACGTATCAGTACCATTAAGTGCCTACCATAGGTGTTCGTCACAAATAATCAATAACATAATAAACCGAGACAGAAAATAATGAGTTTATTTATTGATATTTATTAATCTAATAATTATATATTGATAGAATATCACGGGAATCACGGGAAACATGACAATTTTTATACATTTTTTAACATTATATCATTTTACCATTTTTTTTATTTTAATTTTGTTTTAATATTATATCAGTATATCGTCGAATTAAATATATCATCAGATTAATAAATAAACTCATTGTTTTCTGTACTTGTTTTATTACACTATTATATTATTGATTATTTGTGATAAACACCTAATAGCAATGGTACGTATTTTCCGTCGAATTATTTTATATTTATACGATGTATTTATTGTTATATGGATGGCGGGGCTATAAAGTTTTCACTCGCCGAGGCGGGTCTACAACAAACCAGTACCGGGAACAATTATCGAAATATTTTGGCTCTTTTTGAGTTATTATTTAAAGAATTTATTGAAATGTTCTGTTTTTCATTTCCTTTGAGAATATGATTTTTCCAAATCGACAAAAAATATCGAAAAATTGACATTATCTAAAAAAGTGTCCTATTTTTTTTTTTCGATGAGCCTTTTAAGTTCAAATTTTGCCCTAATTATCTTAAGAATCTCGAACAATTGTAATTAATTATTTTCATTATATTAAATTCAGCCGAAAAATGTTTAACCAAATATCAAAAGTTAATAGTTTTTCTTTTTTGACTAAAAATATTATATTTACGACTTTACGAAAAATCAGTTGTTAGGATATAGGATCAGTAATGACGACATGGTGTTTATAAGTTTTAGATTAGCCATCGTCGCACTTTTGTGGGGCGACAGTGGAGTGCCAACTGTAATTTTTCGTGTACTGTACCCTCCCTTCCCCCATATTTGATAGAATCGTTTATACATTTCCGGTCCACTCACGAATATGTAATTAATCACTGCACATTTCTAATCGTATGATGTACAAATTTACCCTATACAAGTTTCTAGTTTGAGAATTTTCCAACTGTAATCTGCTGCTTTGTCTTCGCGAGCACACATTATTATGTATCACTTGTTAGGTTTCACCGTACCTTCTCGCCACATTACGTATGGACGAAATCGTCTGGGTTCGCCGGATAACATTCGTTATTTTCATTCGTGTATTTTTGTGTTCGAATACTTACGAATTTATATGAACGTATCTAAGTATAATATATAGTATGTACCTATTATATATTTATAGTGCTTATAAATATTTTAGGTTTTGACTGGAACGAGGAATGTTTTGCATGTTTTACTAATCTGTATTATTTGTATGTCCACGACTTCTTTTTTCGGTTAGCAACATTTTGAATGCAGTTGATTTCCGGTCGAAGTTCACGTTGTTCTCTTTGCACAGAATCTAAAATATCGTACAGGAAAAAAAAATGATTTATTGTAGGACATTCGCTGTACATTATATTTAGGCGTACGTCATCACGATATCCTTATTTTAACGTTTAAAAGTGAAAAAGGAAATGGTAGGTATTGTAGAACGTTAAATTTGTTTTTTGTTAGTAATTTTTTCCAACTGCTTTTGGTCGCCGTTCTGCATCGGTACCTGGATAATAATATGTACAATGTGTCTGTGTAGTTTGTATACCACCACCACCTTGACAACACCGCATACACCTACCCATTCGCCGGCCTTGAAATATTAATTCACCTGTCTCCGAGCCATCGTTGGAACCACCAGCACATCATTGGTTTGTTATGATGTTATTGTGTTTTGTTGCCTTGGTAGCGCACGTGTGGCATAGTTAGTGTAAAATATTATTTAGTCGATACCGATAAAAATACATAACTAAAAATGTGATATTGTTTTTTTTCCATGTAGTTCAAGGTAGATAGTTTTTAAAAATTTGTTTTCTATTTATCAATATGTATAATAACTAGTGATAATACAGTTTATCGTTTTTGTTATCAATAACCTGTAACCATGACTGTAAGTACGATTTCTCATAATATATTATATAGTTGCACATAACTACTGCTCTTAAATTATACCAAAGTGTGGCACTAAAATTATAGGTAGTTGCAAAGTTAATAAAAACGAGGCACTTTATAATAATTTTATAATTATGTACTTTTTTTTGTATCAGTAACTTGTATAGTGTTTTTTATGTTGATTTATCAGTAACTTAGCGAATTACATTTTCTTATCAATCTTAAGTTACTATCGGATCAACTCAAAATTTAAAATATTTATATTTTGTTTATAATTACTTTTAGATTCGGAGCGTAGCAAAGAATACGTGTTTGGTTTCATTATGATGTGTACTTTTTTTTTCTGTTTGTGGTGAACTTTTCATTTTTTTTTTTTTTTTTTTTTTGAGGTTTAGAATTTTAGTGTATTTTTGAGATTTTTAAATGCTAAAAATATGTCCATATAATAAACTATTAAGTGTACTTGTATATTATATTATCGGATAATAGGAATGTCAAAACCCTGCAACTTACGATAGTGGCTCGTTTTATTATAACTTCGTTTCATGTACATTTTTTAGAGAACTTTTGAGATTTTATGAGACATTATATTTTCAGCCTTACTTATTATTAGTATTGAATTGATTGGGAGGGGTCTTGGTTGAATTTTGCGAAGCGGCTGAGTTCTCTGAGCCTTCTCTGTTTGCGTTCATGAATTAATACCCTGCACCGCTATAGGTACTCGCCAAAACCAGCTTCCACGACAGTTTTGTATAATACTTAAGGCAATAATATATAAGTACAGTTTTTAAACGTAATCGGGTTTTAGTTGAAATATCTATACAAATGTATTTGTGAAGACACGTGCGGTCGCAAAGTTTTTAACTTTATTTACTCCATGTTGTCGTTTGGCAAGTCAACGGATACCTTATATGTATATTTATAGGTGTATATGTATACACGTGCCGTAACAGTACGATATACAGATAAAGTTTTTGTTTCGTATAGTTTTATCTTTATCTCTGCGGGCAAAGCGGAGGCGGACAGTGCGCATAACAAATCGCTCCTGTAAGTACCGACCGCACGCGGATTAATATTCTTTTTTTTAATCTCTTTTATCGTCTATACATGTCAATCGAAACGAAGTTTTTCGTACTAATAGCTATATAAGCTGGCAGACTGACTTTTCGTATAGTAGGTAAGAACGCTATATTTGCACCGTTGTAGGTAGACCACTGATTTATAGGTGTGAAGTCTTCAATTAAGGCGGGAAATGTATACCTACTGAGGAAGGTGCAATAGCGATAGATCACAATTCTGATTTTTATAACATAATGATCAGCTTTTATAAATTTGTATATTTTATATAGTTAGACAAATTTAGAAATTAATACAAAAATAAACAGTAATACATATTAATGCGTGAATTTTTTTTAAACAAATCATTGAGAATTTAAAGAAAAATATTTTAAATTAACTACCACCATGGCGCCGGGTAAAAATCCGCACATTTTTGTAATAAATAGGTAGTGTACGGAATGTTTTCCTCTAAAAAAAAAGTAAACAAAATATAAAGAAAGTAATTTGCTTCACCCACAATCTGAATCAAACATCTTTACCTGTTCATTATTAAAATTTGAGATTCTGAGCGCACAAAGAAATCTATTATGATGGTTATCTACTATGATGTGTGTTTTTTTTGTCTAAACAATCTACTTTTCTATCATAAATATTGTTCTCATCTTCAAGTGTAAAATCTTTTCTGAACTTTTCTGAAAGAATTTTTTTTTATTGGTCTATTTAGGTTTTTTGATATTCCTTTTTAGTTTTATTCAATAACTGAGAAAACCCGGGTAAAATATACTTCAATACGGTTTCCATTATTTTCAATTTTACTTTTTTGTTGTACTAAAAAAAAAAAAATGCTTGACAATTTTACTGATAGAAAGAATCTCGCGTGTATAAGTATTATTGAAAGGTTAAATAAATTATGACAGAAATCGTAAAAATCATGACATTTTAAAATCACGTTTAATCGAACTTCGCTTAGAATCGTTTTTCGTTTGAAATAATTTACTTTTACAGTTTATCGATATTAGTAAATAACTCTATATATTTCTGATTTTCCAATCACAATTACAAATACTGAAACAGTGAGGACATCCGTCATGGTAGTATCAACTTTTTATTTTTTTTGTTTATATAACTAGCTATCCCGTGACCGGCATTGTCCGTGCCTATTTGTGTTATTTTTTTTACCTATATTCATTTTTGGTTTTGACCGTGTCAAAATTAAATGAAAACATGTAGGTGGAAAGTGGGTAGTCTACTTTCGGCGGACTAAAAGTGTTCTATTGTGTAAAGTATATAAGTAACCCTGAGTAATAGTAATAATTACAATTATAATAATTTTCTTATTCGTGACAACCAAATTATCATCAGTATCACCAAGTCTAGAATAAACAAAACTAAATAAATAAATAAACAATTAGTTATTCGTACCAAATACGTATAAAATCCCTTAATTTACCTCCTGAGAGGTTGAATTTTCAAAAATCCTTTCTTAGCAGATGCCCGCGTCATAATAGCTATCTGTTTGCCAAATGTCAGCCCGATCTTTCCAGTAGATTGGGCTAGGCGATGATGAATCAGTTAGGACAAGTTATTATATATATATATATATATAGATATATGTATCGATTCAAGACTGTTAACGTTTGGAACTTGACTGGCACATATTATATTATACTTGTATTGCATTATTTTATTTTCGCACGAATATAATATATCATTTAAAAAAATTATAATATTAAAAATGTATAGGTAATATTATAATGTAATATAGCCGATTGATTGTATCGCAATGGTAAACAAAAATGGTTTATATCATTTTATTTTACAAAACTGCGGTGTACGCAATGACTTATTATACCACAAATAATATGACGATTGACTAAGGCGATTTTCCCAGTTACGGTACAATTTAACAGTCAATGAATAAGTTCAAAGGAACGTGATTATATTGATTAAGAAAAAAAAAAAAAATTAATGGTTTCTTCGCGGAATAATACGGCCACGATAATAATATTATTATCAACCCACGCAGGTTTGAGTTATTGAAGATATAAATTGAAATTGAAAATTATGAATTACGAATATAACATATTGTAGTAGCTATCTTGTAGACTACGCGATTTGTTACTCGACTTAATCGTTTGTCATGTGCCAACGACATAGGTAAAAATCGAATAGAATTTAATTTAAACACATTTAGAATATTTAATCGTATGCGCAAATTTACTGTTTTGAGTATGAACATATTCATCTAATTAGAACAATATCGCCTAAGCTTGTTAAAATTACAGAGATTAATATTATATTGTTTTCTATATAGTTAATTTTTAATTTTGTTTTTTTTTTTTTAAATTCAACGTGATTTATAATAAATCGTTTTTCACAACGTTTGTAGGAGGCAAATTGAAATTAATTATATTAAGTCTATACGAATATATAATATTATACCTACACACATACCTACTTAATAATTATGATTAATGTTTTTCAATTTTGTTTTGTTTTTCTTATAGACAGAACGGACAAAATCTAAAATCGGACGATGGGTCGACGAAACTATGAAGTCAGTAAATTTAAGTATAAACCACACTCTTATAGTGCCTACCTATATATCGCAGTTCATTAAAACAAGAAACTAGATATAGGTATTTAATTTGTTCCAATAAAATGTAATCATTCACTCTTTTTAATATAGTAGTATGTATACATTCGTTTTAAGTACCTCATTCTGTAATAAAAATATCCTCTCGAATTTACAATTAGTTTAACACTCGGGAAATTATACTTTTAACTTTTAACCTCAAAAAATAAGTTGAAATTTATTGAAATATAATATAATATTTTGAAATTAATTTCTCAAACGTGTCCTCTAAGCAATATTACATTAATACATAAAGACCGAAAAACAAAAACGTATATATATATATATATGAAAAGTACTATATAGGTATTGTCTATATATCTATACGAGTTATAAAATAAAATATATATGCATTTTATTATTCAAATAAATTTATGTGTACCTCCTAACTATAGTAATATATATTGAAATATATTAATTTGTTTTAGAGGAAAATTCGATAACTTTGTTGGCTCGCGAAAGAAGTCTAGCGCCAACACAGCAGCTGCAGCTACGGGTAGCACAAAATCGAACAATGGTATGATTATTATATTTTTTAAACGATGCGTGTAATGTTTTTTTTTTTATTAAAATGTGCGCACGATAGAATTGCGATCACGATAAAAATGTAAAATGTCGATAAAACATTATTTTTTTTTTAAACTACCTATAAAAAAAACCTACACAAAATGGGGATAATATCTGTGCGTTAAATGATTTGGAAATCGAAATGTGTGTTAATTGGATATAGGTACGCATTATATAGCTGCAATCTGATATGCTCAGGCATACCCGCGTATATGTTATAATTTTTTTTAAACGGCGTATTTTGTATAAATAATATAAATTAAAGTATAATTTATTACTGTTTTGTAATCGACAGTTAAATAATTTAAATACATTTATACTTGTACACCTATATAATATTATGCATTAAAAGTTTTACGGGTGTAGACGATAAGGAACATAAAAATACATAGTGTAGCGTTTTACTCGAACGGTAACACGCGAATTATTTTAGCCGGATGGACTTGGATTTGAAAACATGTTTTATTTTTGGTTTAAGGAAGATTGGATGTGCGCACACCGAAATGCACATTTCGTGAGATGGCAACATTTTTGGAGATAGAAGAAAAAGTTGTACTAAAATAGTTGCTCTGAAAAAAAAAAATGAAAAAAATAAGACGGTTGAATTTCGTGTAAAAAACTTAGGCGTTTTTATTGAAGAAAAATATGTTTTTTGCGTATACGCGCACCGTAGGAGTTGAAATTTGAAAACAGACTCGAAATGTACAGTATCATAGGTATTCGGCACCTTTTTCCAAAAAAAACCTCAAGTTACCGATCCGGGTCTAACCGTGGCAAAAATATTTCACGTTCAAACGAAACGCCCTGTATGTATGATAATAATATTGAATACTTGTTATGATCTCATAAAATATAATATTATACAATACACAACTGTGTTGGCCGATAATAATAATTTGTTGGTTTTTAAATGGTATTTCGATTAGATATTTTTCAGATTTATCATTAAAACCATTGTTGTTGATTATTGTATACCTATACAGGTAAACAGTTACAACATTAATATACAAAAGTAGGTAGGTATTATATTTCCGCGATAACGATTGGCGAAAATATACGTTTTATAAAATAAATAGGTCAAACTTTTTTATCGGTCGGTCGACAATCATCATAGGTATAGCGTATAGGTACTGTTACATAATATGTAGGTCACATTGTCCGAGATTGGACCGTTTCTTCATCCTATACTATATTATACATCTCGATTTAAAATATCGAATAAATATAGTATACATGTAAATGCGTTCAAATCGGGGATCCGTGGACAGTGGCGTACCCGGGGGCGGATGCTTAGTGGGCATTAGCCCCACGTTCAGCAACGACGAAAACTCATTTGCACTATTCACTTAACTATAAGTACAAATAATGATAATTCGATTAAAAAGTTGTGTATAATATAATTTGCAAAAAAAAAACCTCAAGAAAATGGCTAATAAATTACTTGTGTGTGAAAAATCGTTTCAGAAATACCTACGCTGCCGGACGCCGACGACAATATCGACGCGGACTTGTTGAATTCTGTAAAACCCGCAGAGCTGAATTCCAGAACGTATGTAAAAATCAAGCATAGCATTACTATTATAATATTTTTAAGTTCGCATTTTGATGTTGGCTCAAATATTGGCCATAATCTCCCCCGACATTTTGTTGAGATTCCTATCCTCCCGTCACGAAAAGACTACTGATAACTTACAAATAATCTAAGTTTAAAGAGAAACTGTTTTTTGCCCATAAATATTGTACTCTATTAATTTAAAAAAAAACTATTTGCACCTATACGAGCTATTATAATATAATGGAGACGACTATTAGTATTTACTAAACAATACTCGCAACTGATCAAGATTTTTATATTGTTTTTCAGGATAGAATCGGTTTGCGCGGATGAAACGACGAGACCGCCGATCACTTTGGCCGCAGACATCGATCTCAGTATGTTATTCAGCAATATGACGCGAAAACAACATTTGGAAGACGTGAGTAGAAATTAGAATATTATGAGGAACATTTAAGTATAACTGCGTAAGCTACCAAATAAATATTATTATTCTGTAGAAGTAACAGAAAACTAATATACCAAAATGTCCATGTTAATTTTACACCAAAATAACAATAGTAAAAAAAAAAAGTATTGGAAAAAATTTAACGATTTTTTTATACATTACACATGTAAAAACCGTTGAATTAATTTTTAATTGGGAAAATAAACAGTATTAAAAAAAAACCTTATTAAAAAGTTGTGTGATGTTTAGTGCAGTTATTCATCATAATTTTATTTTTAAACGATATAATCTTTTTTGTGCGAGATTCTGGAAATTGAAAATTTGTTATGAATGGTACATAATATTATGAAATCATGAAAGAAAATCAAAAAAAAAAAAAACTTTTGTTTCATAATTATACATTATATAGTTAGTTACATAATTATATAGTTATACAATATTTAATTTATAATTTAAAAACGTTATCTTCTGTTTATGATTAGAAATCTTAATAAAAATTATGCAGCTGATTATTGTTCAAAGTAGTAATAAAATGATGCGATTATTATTATTATATCAGACAATTCAAAAAGCATATCAGACAATTTCAGTATCCCTATTAAGCGAACGTAATTATTATTATACTCACTTTTACGACCTTTTTAATTTTAATATTTGTTGGTTTTTTTTCTTAACGATATCTATGTAAAGTTATAACAAAGAAACGTAAAATGTTATTAGGGATCAATAGTTTTTAAAATTGTTTTTATTTTTGAAATAGGTAATATTATTATAATTAGGGCTGAGATTTCAATGCACTTTACATTTTTTTTTCCAAAGCTTTTATTGCGGTGCGATGCTCGCTTTGTTATAAATTCACTTAATGTATTTTTAAATGAGAATCAGAAATTAGATCTTGCGGTTTTCGAAAATGTTTGATTTTTAATTAATTTTATTAAAGCTTTTTTTAGGTTTGTGGATTAATTTTTGGGTTTTTATGGAGCACTATACATTCCTAACTCTAATTATAACGTGCAATGTCATTAATAGTATTAGATTTTGATTGTAGCAAATAAGCTATTACAGTTTAATTATAAGATTCGGATTTCTTGTCCGGTGGTAAAGTAACACCGGTTTTGAAAAAAAATTTATAAATTCACGAAAGTTTTTTTAAAAAACTATTAAAACTAACTAATGACTTGACAAACGAAAATATTACGATTTTATTGTCATTAATTTCTGAGGATATTTTTCCATATCATAACAATGGAAAATAACAGGAATTTATTATTACCCTACCTATCACCGAGCTCTTTTCAGAATCGTTTTTTACTGCGATTTATTATGGGTTCCGGTATATAAACTGATTAATATATCCAATATATAAATTTTCTATTTCAAAAAGTGGTGCGAAATATTCTGGCTAAATTGTTATATTAATTTTATTTTTCGAGAGGTTTTTATGTCGATAAATAGTCGAAGTCAATATATTTTTGTATTGTAATATACCTGCAACGGTGTGTATAGTACGTTGATCCGGGAGCAATGCAATCGTATATTTGTGTCTCAGAAGTTCAAAGAAGCCCTAGCAGTCGTTTTGTCATTTTCATTCGAGTGAACTTAATAATTTGTTTCACAAGTACAGGTGAATTGTAGATATATACCTACAATTTGCTTATTTAAAAATTGAATAAATAATTCTAAAAATTTATTATTTTAGAAAAAAACACGGGTTTTCATTTATGTCAATTTTTTTCTCGAAAATATAGATTATTGCATTATATTATGTTGGTTACATAATATATATATATATATACAAATCCTATTGAAAAAAAATTTAAAACTGAACAGTAACGAAGATATAAAAATCTGTGGACCACAAGTGGGTCACTCTTTAATCTTTGCGTATACATTTTTCCCGCTGTTTTTGGAGATTTTTAGTGGCTCTATCTCGACCAAATGAGTTCAAACTTAGAAATCAGGGTTTTTATCTGTGAATTAAAATTAAAAAAATATTAGTTAGGTTTCAATATAAATTTCACTATATTTTTGCGAGAGGAAAGTGTTTTTATAGCTTTGTAAAGCTTTATATCCCTCCTCCTTCAATGAAGCCAATTTTCAACTCCACCCCCCAATTATTTTTAATGCTCAAATTGCATGTTTTCATAGGAAATATTCCAACAGACTTCTTAAAATAAGTAACGGAAATTAAATGAATGTATATAAATAGAATTGTAATTGAGGATGTGTCTTTGGTAGGATTCATCTTCCTACCTCACCCTTGTTATGTTTGTGTATTAGCAAAAATCTCGAGATTTATTTTACCTATTTTGAAGCAAATTTATTTCGATCCCTTATTATTAATATAACGGAAAGTTATAGGATACTTTTTACACCAGTAAGTGGGGGGGAGGGAAAAGGTCACTGTAATAGGGCAGGAGAATGGGATGGACGTAGTAAATGGGTGTTTATTGAATTTAAATCATAAATAAATACACATTTATTTTAATACCATATATATGGTATATTATGAACACCCGTGATTAATTCATAACTATTTTAGATCGACAATATAAAAAAAAAAAATGATAATGGGGACTGATGTAGGTAGGAAGTTGGAAAGGTAGGATATAGACGGGAATTTAATGTATATCACCTGTTAATGATAAACCATTGCTTACGAAAAAACGATTCTGAGCGGAGTTAAATTGATAATGATGCTTTGTCAACAAAATATATGTCATTTTGTAGTAAAATAATTAAATAGGCTTTATTTATTTTCTACAATAAAATTAGTTTAATGTTGCACCGATTTTTCTAGTTTTCCTACGTTTTTACCTCACCGGTTTTCAACATTTGCTGAGAAAACTCTTGGGAAAATCGAAAAATTACCACCTTTTCGTACCTCCCTACGTCGATTTACTTTCAGAAAAGTTGCTACCCGTAGAAATCTGAGCAAGTCTGGTAGAAAAATTGGACACAGATAAAAAAAAATTAACATCTTTGTAAAACTACAAAATTCTTCGCTCCACTCAGAATCTAAAATATGAAATATTGTAACGGAAACAAGTTTTCCGGAGAAAATTATACTCTAGTGACGGATCTCTGCTGCTTGCGAGTGTTTTGGTTCCATAATCGTCAAAACAGTACCTATAACCTGTTTAAAACCCTCGAAATCTATAATTCGAAGACTGCCAGTTTTCATTTTTTTTTTTTTGTATTTCCAAATATCTAATATTATAACCGACATATTATAAGAAACGTAAGTTAGTTTCATATATAGTATAATAATATTGTAAAAACGCATTTCACTTCGTTATTATTTTTTTGAAGGGTGTCCTCTAGAGTGTTTGTTTGTATCGAGACCGAAGTATACGAGAGTATAATATTGTATCCCATAATATTACACCATTGAATGTAAACCTGAGAAAATTCGATTATGTTTTTTGTCTTTGTATATCTATGTAATAATGTTGTGTATAAACGCGCATATATACCTACCACTGTCCTGCGGTTTTCCTTTCGGTATATTTTAAAAATAATATTTACAATAAAACGTCGATAATATTATCATATAGCAATATTATGAAAGTTATCCACTTTCATATATTATTATAATGTACGAATATAAATATTTTATGTACGGAATGTAAAACGAAAATAACTATAATTCGGTTTATATTATTAAATATTAATCAAAGAATCGAACTCCCGTTTCCACTTTGCAAAACTTTTTTCGGCAAATCTTTCGAATTAATATATCGTATTAGTAAAGTTTTGCCTCGCGCACTTTTCAAATGCTCCCCTTCAATATACTCCCCTTCCCTTTGCCACACGACGTTTCATTCGTTTCTTCCATTGCTCGAGGCAGTGCTGGAAGTCTGTTTTCGTAAGACCATTCTGGAGTTCCGCCGATTTTTGTTTCACCTCTTCCATCGACTCAAACCGGATTCCTTTTAAGGCAGACTTTATCTTCGGAAACAAGTAAAAGTCGCAGGGTGCCAAGTCGGGTGAGTAAGACGCGTGTTCGAGTACTGGAGTGCCTTAAGCGGCCAAATAACGCTTCACGCTTTATCCTGGTGCAAGATCCACGACTTGTTTTTCCACAATATCGACCGTTTCTTACGAACTCATTCGCGCAATGTTGCCAAAACTGTCAAATAGTAATGTTGGTTCACAGTTTGACCCTCTGGAACCCATTCAGTCATCACGATGCCGTTGATATCGAAGAAAACGGTTTTGAATTTGGATTACGACTGAATTGGATTCTGGTGCACTCTCGATCTTCAGAAAATAATTTATGCCACTCAAAAACACGCGCCCGAGATAGGAAATCCTCACTATAGGCCTCTTTTAACAACTTATAGCACTCAGTTGGAGTTTTTTTTAGTTTAACGAGAAAATTTTACGTTTATCCGTTGCTCATGTTTTTTGTCATACATGGTTTTCGGCACGAGAAAAAAACACGTTCGTTTCAAACCACTACTGCATAAATACTATAATAGTGACGAAAACGTGTTTTGGTACGTGCATAGATAAGATATCTAGATACCCAACGCATTCCTCGTTTTTTTCACTACCCATTTAGGACGTTCTCTAGGCGAGCAGTCTCGTTATTTAATAGCCACACCTCGTATGCATTACCGAACTGCGCTCGGAATCATGTTAGGTCAGCAATGGTTTATTGTTGTTTACTATATAAATGAAATAACCTTATGTACCCTACCTTCCCAATTTCTCACCTACAACAGTGGTCGCTCCCTTCCCCAGTATCAGCTCTTTTTTATTTTAGATTTAGGGAGCGACGAAGAAGCTCTATTAGTTTTATTGTTTTTCACAATTCTTGGTTATTTTACCGTGGGAAAAGTACCAAATTGTGAATTTTGAATATTATGATGCTATATAAGATGCAATAGATACGTACAATAGATTTTATTTTCGGCGAAAATTCGATAAAAACTAAAAATGCTAACCTAGCAAAATACATATCTATACCTTTATGTATATATTTTATAATATTTTACCCTATGTTTTTTAATTCATCTGCGTTGGTACTGGTGTCACGTTCACGAGTAAGTTGTTGAGATGTGGTGGTCTAGATGTGATTCTTATCTATGATATCACCGCTGATATTATCACAAACGAATTAAGAATCTTTTCATCGTTTACAATGATTTAACTAAACTGCCTTGTATAATACAGTTTATATCTTACATTCCCAACGACTCAACTATACAATTGCAATGGCATGCCCATCATCATTATTGATGGAAATAGCTTTTATTTTTTTAATAACCTTCAAATTCAAAGTGGATTAATGTTTATTGACTTTTCGCGATCAACAGGTGAACGCCGACGAACGAGATCCGATCCGGATGGTACAGCAGCATCTGAAGCTGTTGAATATTGGCTCCGAGAGCGCAGATGAAGACCGTCGACTGACCGATGGAATCTAGCCCGAATAAATAGACTCGCGATACATTATTATATTAGATATTTTATTTTGTACACAGTTTTTTCATTTCTATTATTTGTATTTTATATACTCTTCAATAAAAGCTTGCGTTACGAATAATTACGAATTTTAATATTCTATACGAATAAACTATTCGAAATTGGTTTTGTAAGTTAGGTTAGGTTTTAAATATTTCGGTTATAAAATGTAATAAATTAATATATTATAAGTTCGTTTATATTTTATGTGGCCATATAATAAGATGAAAATGAAATTAAAGGTTTTTTTGTAAAGAATTTGAAAAATATTTTTCGGATTCAGAAAAAATGTATACCTATTTGAATTAAGCACAATTCTAGTCTGGCAAACTTTCGATTTTTTATATTTCATAATATGTGTTCGTTTATAAGTACAATAAGTATATTTAAAAATATAACAAATTTCGCACGAATTTTACTTGGAAGTTATGGGGAAGAAGTCTAAAAAGTTTTGTGGTCATTATGTAACCACATGTTTTTTTAAAGTTAGATTTTAATATTTCTAAACTTTGTTTTCTTTTTTTTTTTAAAAAGGTTTTTATTGTTAAATCTACTGGTACCTAGGATAAAAATTCTGAAAAATAAAACAAAGACAAAAGGGTTTCTGAAGATAATGATGCAATCAGAATATTTTGGAAACTATTATTTTAGAAGTTACTGTGATTTTCCGTTTTTTACGCACACGCATAACGTAAGGCATATAGGTATAAGAAGGGGAAAAAATAAAAAATAAAACCGCGAGATCAGGCCTTTATAAGCTTTTGTTAGAAGTATAAAACTATAAAAACGACCTAAATTAATCGCTAACTTAACCTACTCTAACATTTTCAACCTGATACTGTTGTAATGAAAGTAGTGTTCTAAAAGTAAACCAAAACCGCTACGTAAGACCGGGGACGCTGTACTCAATATCTATTTAAAGTGCAGATAAATCGAAAACTAAATATATTCACCAAATTATCATTGCACTTGTAATTTTATTTAGTTATTTAAAAAAGGATTAAAAAAAGAGAAAACTTTGTGATATACTGGTATGTAATGTTTTCCATTATTGCATTATATCATAATATCCAACTAAAGTCCTATACCATAAAAGCAAGTCCGATCGTTAAATTGTGATTATACCATCGTATTTAATGTTGAAAAATGTATCTAATAAAAAAAATTAAAAATCATGAGAAAGTGTTTAACTAGATTTATATCCACATCGCATTTGAACACTTATCAGTGTCAATAGTACCGCTACCACCTTCAACCATTTCACCCTATTTACCCAATCATTTATGTTTCACCAATTTTCACCACTCTCCCATAACCCATTTCACAAACACAATCGCTCTATCTAAGGAGGTAGGAGCGTTGAAGGTGTCAGAGACAGGTGTTGGTGGTACATGCACATAAATATGTACTTGACCGATGCATCCGGGCCGGGCCGGGCAACTTCAGCTTACAACGGTACAAATAATCAGAGGATAGCAGCGCGCGCAGGACGAATGACAAAAGAGCTGCTCCCGCAGAGCCCGACATTCGCAAAAAGTTCGACGAGGCAGACGTCGTATCAAAATTAAGTCATTTAGTATACATCAGTCGAACCTGCTACAACAAACAAATATTGAGATATCGAAATCACATTCACCGCCGAAACTTGATAATATAAAACAGACAAACTCAAACTAAAAAAAACGGGCTGAGAACTCACGATGAGTGAGCCCGTTTAGCTTTAAGTTTAACTTTGAGCTTTAAGGAATTTGTATACATAAATACACGTAGAACCTTGAAAATTGGTTATAATACTTATATTGGACTTACCTAGATGTGGTAAAATTTCCAAAATCATCGGATGACTTTTTTTCCTTTTTTCAATTTTTTCACAATGGAATTTTATTTTTTTTTGTACTGTAGATCACTTTTACCTAGATAACTTATTCCAATGTATACCATAAGTGTAGCACGTTTTTTGAAAGTCGATTTTACCTACTTAAATACTTAAATATATAGGCAATTTTTTTATTTTCGAAATGGTATTTAAAATAAAAATAATTAACCGAGAAAAAAAATTCACGATTTCGTTATTTTAAATAAGTATCTATCACGTTTTCTAACACAAATATGGCTTCAATTGAAAAACGACAAGCAACCATTTTTGTTGGATTAATAATCTTGTTTTTAATGACGCAGGTTGTTTTTTCGAATTAATTTTTATAATAATCGGGAAAATACGTAGGAAGGTTAGGTTAAAAAAAAATACGGCATTTCAAATTATGTAGTACCGAACTGCGCTCTGAATTGTCTTTCGTCAGCAATGATTTATCGTTGCTTACATATGTAAATGAAATAATCTTATGTATCCTACCTTCTCAACTTCTCATATAACAGTGCCCGCACTCGTCCTCAGTATCGGCTCTTTTTTTAAATTTTTTTTTTATGTTATGAAGTATAGCATCTCTTCTGAAAGGTAATATTCTTTGGGCGGTACTTTAAAGATGTCATTTTTTGAAATCCTCGCATTAATATTCGAGATAATGAGAAAAACCTGATTAAAGAATCTAAAGACGTTAGATAAGATTGAAAGATTAAAAATAAGGTTTTCATTGGCAACAGTTTTTATCTATTTTTTGTTATATTAAGTTTTTATTGTTTTTATTTTTTTAAAACATTTTTTTTTTATGTATTTTCGACAAAACAACATTATCAACTGAATTCCGCTCATAATCGTTTTTCGGTATCAATGGTTTATCGTTGCTTATAGATATACATTCAATTTCCATTTAAATCCTAGCACCCCAACTTCCCACCTATAACAGTGGCTACGTCCGTCATTTTTTTAAAATTTTTTTGTGTACTTATATTTGATGTTTATTATCATTCAGAAGTGAGAATACACCTACTTCATTTTTCAAACTTGTGCAAAACAACTGATTAATTATCAATTTTCAAGCCCCCCCCCTATTGAAAAATCCTGCGTACGCCACAAGTTAAATGCTTATTCTAAATTATTTATTAGTGTACTGCCAACTATAAACTTTACAAATAACCTATCTCAGGAAGAGTTTAATTGTAGAATCCGATCGAAAAACAACAACGATAATTTGTTGAATAATCCGATAAACCGGGGCGTCGTCATGCACTTGAGCCAATTACCTTTTTTTCCACATAATCAAAAGTGTTTATTATATGAATCATTGTTCCTAGTGTTTCGACGATATGAAATATTCAGTTTAAAAATGTTTGTAACACATGTTGGACTAAGGGAAGATTCAATTTTGTAGTTATTAGTAAAGAATGCTAGCGAGAAGACTGACGATGTGGTCATAGGTTCGATACGTTTGTTACTATATCAAACGCCGATTTATATGAATATTTCCCATTTAATATGTAACTATGTCTGGAGATAGAGTATTGTGTGAGCATATCAAAGCATAAGAAAATATAGAACTTAAACATTCTGCACTAATGAAGCAGACTTTTAGTCGAAAGAAGAAAAACGTTAAAACCAGTTATTGATCCATTAATCAAAATACATCAACAGCAACAACAAACATTTTCATTTTCATCACTAAAATAATTTGAATTTAATGTACTTACTGAATACCACCGCTTTGAGTTTTTGATTCTATGATGAATAGTGTGTTCTTTCCTTTGCACACAATATTCGATAGTATTGCGGCATAGGTATACAAAAAATTATTTAAAATAATAACAATAATAGTTAAAAAATATTTTTTATGTTTGTGCATTTAGTAAAACTAATAGTATATTTCCCATTAAAAAGTAATATGCGTTGTAAAAAATTGACGGTGATAAGTTTGTGTCTAGCCGGCGTAATTATCAGAATGACTTTAGAATAGTGTTGAGTCTGATCAAGTGCTACAAGAAGAAACTTGCATGATGGAAAATCGATCGTGAATGAAGAACATTATTCGGCGAGATTTGGAGGCGGTGTCAGTTTTAAGTTTGAATACGTCACGTATTCAAACTTCTTCGATACCAATGAGTCGGACATATTTAAAAACACTCGGTAAAAAATCTACGAAATCTCTCTCGGTATGAAATCTCACGGGTTCTTTTTTGTCATCACGTAGATTCGATGATAAGTGTAAAACGCATACTACAATTCATCCCTCCATTTCGGTTGACATCTTGTTGACAAAACCATTGCAAACGTGGCTTCATCCCTCAAATTGTTAATAATTATAATTTATGCTCTATAATAATTACGACGACAATGCATTTTTCTGTTATAGGAAACCCTGCAGTTTTCTAAATTATAAATGCACATAGAGATTGTATTGATCGTTGTAGTAAATATTATTGCAAACGAAGGCGATTGACAATACAATAAATTATTATTTTCAGTGTATGTTTAGTAGTATAATATCATTTGTATTTTAGTTTGTCTATAAGTCAGTACGAACTGCGGAGTTTTTGTATGCAATACTCGTAGTGATTGTTACAATGTTAACAATGGAACACAACTTTTATTAAAATTCGGAAGTAAACAAATTTGTTGCATTTACACTTGCCATTTGAAAAGTTTCAACGACTGTTATAACACGTTAAAGTATATGGCGGGCATACTACTACGTATATTAAACCAAAAAATATTGGAACGTTCTCGAGAAAATTTATAGAACGATTTAGGTATTATTATAGATCGCAATAATATAATTATCATACCTATCTATAGTCTATAAGCAGGCCGTCGCACGTCGATAAGACTACGGGAATAATGTAAGTATACATAATCATTAATATTTTTTTATCATTATTTTTGTTGTTATTGTTGTTGCTATTGTGCAATAATTCGGACAATAATATTATTATAATATATTATCTATCGCGAAATTAGGTGATAAGCACATACGGGACGTGTCACGTGTACGCATGCGTGTAAATCGGTGTCGGTTTTTAAATGGAGGACCGTAGGGCCTACATTTACCCGAGACGAGTTGTCGATTGGCAAATGAGCGCAATCGAAAGTGGTTGATTACGAAGACTGAGTAAATTTCATTTTTTTTTTCAAATATTGTAAGAATCGTTTTATTTGCAAATTTTGTTCAAATTGTCACCCTTGTTCCTATTATTTACCATACATATACAATATTATATCAAACAAACTTCTTTTCATATTACAAACCCGATGCAAATATATTTTAAACGTTTGTTTGTTTTTCCATAAATTTCGTTTCGTGTTTACAAACACTATTATACAGGTGATATTTTCAGAAATATAATTTTTACGACTGAGGCTGAAGTACAGTGCGTTCACTAAGAGGTATCACTAAATATTTCAGTTGGATGACTTAGTATTGAAATGCAATTTTCGGGTAATGATAGGGAGTACATAAATACACTTAAATCAGACAAATTTCAAATTTTTAACCCTTTAGGTACGTGCATGTGCAATACAACTTACTTTTTTTTTAAATGGCAACACAATTTTTTTCTTACATATTGGAATAGAGTATTTTTTTTAAAACAATTTTTGTATAAAGTATTTTTTCTAATAGCAAAGTCGGCAAAGTTATAGTATGTTAAAATTTAATATTTACGAATAATCTGTAATTGACAACATTTTAACTATGTTTAACTTTTATATTAGAATATCGAAATAATGATATTATTTCTCCGATATTTTGAAATACCTGCAGATTTAAGATATAAATAAACACTTCAGTTCATTTTATGGGGGTGTTTAAAAAATATTGTATATGTGGATCTTCCTAATAATGTCCAAGATTTAAAAAAAAAAAATTACGAGTAGCATGTAATAATTTGATAAACGCTGCTACATTAAGAAAATTTTTAAACCGTTTAAAATCATGTTTGGAACACCAAGGTGGAAACTTTGAATAATTTATTTGATAAAACTATTCTTGCAAATGAATGAATCTTAATTTAAAACTCATATCATGTAAATTTTTATATACTATAGTATAATAGTAATTATCTAAAGATAATGCATAAATATTATAGAAAAAAAAAGGTACTGATGGACTATTATAATATTTCAGTCCATTATATTCCGATATTCATGTTATAAACAAAATATAGTTCATCCCCTAACCCCCCTCCCATAGGAAAAAGCTGAGCACGCCTCTGCGATACAGGTACAATCATACATTTTTTTAACGGGGCACAATCACGTTTATGTTTTATTCCGTAGAGTTCATTAAGTACCACGCGTCGTCGACTTTTACTACATTTAATTGTGCCATATACAATAATGTATTGTAATTAATAGGTTTACCCATGACTAAATATATAGATATGATCACAACTCCGACAAAATGCGTTTATTCCATAGCTTTTTATGGCAGTGATATTTATTACCAGCTAGATTGAATTAAGGCGGGAATTACTGTCAACGACGGTCATTGCACCTGCGTATTACAAAATTGTGATCATACCTACGTATTTAGCCATGCGTTTATCAATGCGGTATTTTATTTTTACAATCTTTGAATTGATTTTTTTTCAATTTTTTTGAAGCCTAGGATTCAACCGTAGAGCTTAAAGAAAACGCGAAACAGTGAATATAAGTTAACAGTAATGTTTTTGACAAACGTGTCAGGAACTGAATTACGATTATTTTTTTTTCCCCCGGAGTATCGTACATTTTCCTAATTCAGTTTCATTTGTGGTTAAATTTTTAAATCGTTTTCATTTCGCTCGTGTTATTTGGTCGATTAGGATTAGGATTATTTGTGCGAATCATCTTTGGTAATAATAATCGTTTTGTAATCCAGTTTTCGAGAAAGCCAATAATGCGGTTAAGTCGTAATTATAGATGTTTAAAAAATAAATTTAATACTCATTAATAAATACGCAAATCACATACATTTTTATTTAACTGCAATATTTATATGCAATTAATAATCTGTAAAAAAAGAAAAAAAGAAAAACGAAATATTAATTTCTCGGAAACTCAACGTTCAAATACATTCCATTCGAAGACATAATAAACAAATGCTTATTTTAATTGAGCGTATTGCTTACCTATTTATTCGATTTCATCGTTATGATTTAGCACATAACATTGAACGGCACGCACGATGAATTGAATATATTACACATGGATTAAATAAATTAGGTAGGATTGAAAAAACCAATGATGTGCGTATTTTATTTTACAATAAATTTATGGAAACAATAATTTGTAAGAAACTTATGAAACGTTTTCCATATCGTTACGTTGACGACGATCGTATATACTATGACGTAGCGATGTTTTAAATCGTCGATTATTATTTATTTGTGTTGTTTAATGAAGTGGCCAACAGAGGTAGTTTTTTTTTTTACGTATTATACATAATATTAAACAACCCATATAGGTACAATATCTTTTTAATTTCGTACTGCACACCTAGGGTCAGGTGGGGTAATTGTAAATGGTTTTATCAAAGTATTTTTTAACTTGTTTTAATTATACTAGTGGATGTAATAAATATATTTTTAATGCGATTTTGGCAAATTTTGAATCTCAAACCTAAAAATATTGCAATTTACCACAGACATTTACAATTACTCCTTGATTTTGAAGAAATGTAAATGAACAGAATTAAGCTCTAAGGTAATCATCAAATTGTGCATAGGGCAAATGAAAATGAATATTTTTCACTTTTTTCCTGCTAACTTTTTGCAAATGATAACAGAAGAGATATAACCTCTAAAATGCTTCAATAAATATGTTTTATGGAAGAAAATATACTGAATAATACTATTACCCAGTTCAATGGTTATGATTTATTTATTTTATCAGTATACCAGTCTCATTTACAATTACTCCTATTCAGAATCACTCCACCTGACCCTATAGCATTATACACGATTTAAGCCCCTGTGATCTACGAGTCTGAGAGGCCGATCGAATCCGAGTTTGTATTTAAATACGGGTGTTATTTGCAAATCGAAAGTCATCGCGCGCTTATTTATGAAATACAATGGAAGGAATACGCTTTTCGTAAGCACCCGACCCGAATCCTCCGCGTTATCACGGAACACTCGCGGTCGTAGAGATAACGGATGACGAAGGCGGTAAAAACAGATACCATCGACCTTAATATTGTGCAATAATCGGACATCGGACAATAAAAATTAATAAATACAGAGCGATTTTTTTTATCATTAAAAAATTCGATCAATTTTAGCGGACAAATAAAATTGTGATTTTAAAATTATTAAAGTTATGATAAATTATTATCACCGTTGTTCGCGCTACCTACTTTTTCTGAAATTTCGAGCATTTTATAATCTTAATTTAATTTTCGTATAATTAATTTACTATAATATAAAAACATTATAAATTGTGAGAAAATTATAAAATACCTGTCTTATGTTGTAAAAAAAAAAATAAATTTTTTTTCTATTCAAAACATGTTTTCAATTGTAAATAATGTAGATGTGTTTTAAACATTATCTTTTTGTAAATAACGTAATAATAGTAAATTATAAACAGAATTATACGAATCGTAATTATTTAAGAACGAAAAATGACAATATTGACAAAAAAAAAAACAAAAAAAACAAACATGTGACTTCTTAATCCGAAAGTAAGATTTACTTTAATAATAATTATTATTAGTATACACTATTGTTTTAATTTAATTTTCGAACGTTTAAAACGCGTATCAAAACATAGCGACTCGTTTAAAACACTTAGTGATCCCGTGTAAGGCTGCACAGAACGAATACTTGGTCTGAAAAAAAAAGAAAATCTGATGGCGTGACATCACCGCGAATATGCGAACCGTCTTACGACGCGCGGGGGATGGAAAGAACGATATCCCCTCCCCTCCCTTATCCCTCCCTCGGTAGACTAGTCGCCGGGTACACGCGATCGGAAGAAAAAAATAAAAAAAATATCGCCCTGTATACATGCGTCCGATCACCGCCGTTGCGGGTCGTCGTCGTCATTATCGTCGCGGTCGCCGTGGTCGTCGTCGTCGCGGTCGTGCAAAGACTCGGGTAAAACCGTGACCGGCGGTGGGGACGGTAAAGTCGGATTTACGTGGACGACGACCGCGGACGGGACGTACGCGCGTAAACGTACGTCGCGTTATTTTACGGCGGTCAGTAATGATCGCGTTGCCCGTTGGTATGGCCGTCCGCACATCGTTCACCGACCGGCGGTCGTCGTCACGTGTTGTCGCCGTCCCCCGGCGGTATCGGTCAGCCGCAGTCGTGCCCGTCGCCGTCGTCTTCGCCGTGCTGTGCGCGGCGCTGTCCGCCGCCGCCGCCAACAAATGCGCTCCAAAGGTAAACCAAAGTCGGGGAGGAGGAACCTCCCCCCCGCGCGAGGTTATTCACTCCCGGATTTTATCGTTTTATTACTTACTCGATATTTTATTGGCCGAAAATAATTCGTCCCGTCCGCCGTGAAAACAATCATGGTATCTGGGTGCCTATACCGCGGGGTAAGTACTTACCCGCGGGGCGGTAGATTGGGCGCCGGTCACCGTCCGGGTCGCGTCCTAGGTTCGGTATTTTCGGTTCGGTTGCGATTTTCGACGCTACAACGAATTCGACACGACGTGACCCGCGGCCCGGCCCGGCGCGTCGTTTCGCGGCTTTTTCCGGCGATCGGGTACCGGAATTCGCGGGATATTCCGAGTTTTTTTTTTTTGGCGTGTTTTTTCCCCTGTACTTATGTATTATTATGACCGTACGCGATAAACGCTCTGAACGCGTACTACGCGCCTACGCGGAGGACACGACAGTACCGCCGTACCGCGAGTTTTTGTCGTAAATGTTTATTGCAGCGCGAAGCGTGCCGTAGTGGCGTTGAAAAGGACGTCGCGCGGTCGGATCTCCTTTATGAGCCAATTGAAACGGGCCACAGGTTTTTATAATAATATAACGGCGACGTGTGAATACGGAGGCAATAAAAATGTAATTGGTAAAAACGTACCGTGTTGTAGAAAAAAAAAAAAAACCGCTTACAAACGTCTTTTTTTTCCTACCTACCTTGTTTTATTTGTTATCGGAATCGCTCGCACGCGCGCAGCGGTATATACAGGGTGGTTTGTTTAGGTTTTTTTTTCTTATACGGCTTTACCCGGCGATTGTTATTTATATACGGGTACCTAGGTACCCATATATATACCTATACGACGACGGTTTCGAGTGAATAATCCATTTCAGTTTGGTTTGTTTTTTTTCCCGCTCGTAATGTTGTAGAGATATTTACAATATTACTAATATTATCAATATTTATAAAAATAAATTACACGACTTTTAATTTTCGGGGGGGAGGGGGTGGGTGGGTTGAACTTTCCCCCTAAATACGTGCTTGACTCGGACTATCGGTTTAATCGGATATGACACGATATTTTCAAAAATGTTACCGTAATAATATAACAACCATAATAAATATGACGATTTACCGACTTTTGGTTTTCAAACGGCAACTTTTCCGCCCGTTTTCCGCACGCATTCGTAAAGCAAATATTTTTTTGAAAAAATCGATACGCGCGTAACACTATACTCCTCGGATTTAACTTTTACCTACACGAACTATAGCGGGTTAACATTTAGACCGGAAGAGTGTTTAGGGAAAGGCAATCCCTTTTTTTCGCATGTCGAAAATGGGCAGTTGCTGTTTGAAAATCGAAATCGGTAGGTATACGGGTTCGAGTGTAGTTATAGAGTTAGGAATTTGAAAACGGCCCGAAAATTATAGAGCTTTTATAATGCTATAAAATGATTGAAAACAATGAAAAAAAAAAATCTAATTTATTCAACAAAATAGCCCGTGAGAAAATTGCTAGCTGGACAACTATGCAAGAATCACCCTGTATACCTAACATAACCTTTGCCCTGGTTTGTGACGTTTTCATAATACTGTACGGCCAACGTTCTTGTTACCTATAATAATACGATATATTATTATTTATTATTACTATGTACCAGGTATATACGAGTACGGGAATTTTTTTTTTTATCAATAAAGTCTATTTACCGTACATGAGGTGTTAAAAGCTTGAATCACTGTTGCTACAATCATCGTATTTATCAAACCGTGGTGCGGTAATTACAATACGGTAACCACGGTTGTTGTGACGGTAACGGCTGGTGGCAGACGTGCATTTAGGGTTAATAAATATCAACGGAGAGGAGGGGGGGAACAACGAAAAATCACAATAGTTAACATATCTAATTATAATGAAAACAATAAAACAGAAATACGCATTGTTCAATATATTTTGCAAAGGTTAACCGCGGTCAAGTAACGAGGCGCGAATCAATGAAAATAATAAATTACAGTTCGATTACAAGCCAAGTTAACTAACGAAACCATTCGGTTAAAATGTTAAAATGCAAAAATATATAAACATACTTTTATAAAACTACAGTAGCTTTAATAAAGGAACGTTTTTTCTCCTCGAAAAACAATTATACGGTATTTATAAAAATGCTCTCAGTTTTTTTTCACGTAGTACATAATGAAGGACGCGGTATTTTCGTCCGGTGGTACTTTGCCTGAAACGTTTTTTTTGAAATTCTCAACAGTTCATCCCTTAGATCGTTTATTCGGTTTTTTGCTCTTCATAACACGTTTTCAGATAGTAAAAATGCTCCGAAACGTCCACGTCCGACGTCATACCTGAAAAGACGCAGTATTTCTACTAGAAGGGTATAATACTATTTTTTTTTTAAAATTTATCTCCTATATTTATCGATTTCAATGGTTACTTCCGCTATTTTATACCTCCCCTTTAAATTTCATTAATATTAACTACCTACCGTGCAAGCGCAGGGGTAATTTTGGTGATTTAAACCCCTTCCGAAACAACAACCCCTTCAGTTTGTATTTAAAATTTCAACAATAAATAGTTCTATATTTAACAGTGACCTAGCTTGATGGGAAAGGGCCCCGGGGCGACTAAAAAACTAGGCACTCTAACTAATATAATATTTATGAAAATTCGAAATATAGCTACACATAACATTGTCTATTTGAGTGTAAATATATTTACTAACCGCAAATGAAAATAATTAACAGATAATTAATAAACACAAAGTAAAAGAAAAACCAGTTTAATATACAACAGATTGTTATACTATACAAATTATAACTATCTGCAGTATGGCGAACACCGTTTATTGCGTATTACTGTGTGTATTATTTTTCTATTTAAATACTGATTGTGACTGGAATAACTGCGTAAGATTGAAAACATTCATTGTTATAAGGAAGTAATTTCAGAATCGTTTGAGGCCTCCCTCCCAAGCTCCGAGCCCCGGAGCACTGCCTCACTTTGCCCCATGTTAGCTACGCCACTGCTCTTTAACGCATTGAACCGAAAATGGCCACGGGAATGAGTATGCTCGAAACGATTTGAATTCCGCAGAGACGAATGCAGCAGTAAACGACCGTCGCCCCGCAGCCTCGTTTCCCCGTGTGGACCCTCCCCTGATACGGCGACCGGCGGTTCCGATATCGTAAACCAATACCGATCCGGTTTTTCATAATAATATGTAGGCATATATACGTGAACGCCGCAATAATATTAAGAATACACGGTCTCCCGGTCTCCCGGTGTCATCGTAATACCACTATAATGTACTATTATTATTATTGTATCTCGTACACTCGCGTACAACAACAACAACAACAGCGGCGGTAACAGCGACAACAGGCAGGTATGTCTAATGGGCTGCAGGTACGGTTATAAATAGAACCAGTGTTACGGTCGCAGGCATGCGGACGATAGGCGTTGGGCGGGGGTAAGCTGGCGCCTGCTACCCCGTTTCCAGACGTGACTCGGTCGGGATGTGACGGCGCGGCAGTACGGTCGCCGTTTAAGGTCGAGTTTTGATTTTTTTTTTAACCGCTACGATGTCATTTAAACGCGGCCACCGACCCAAAAACTTCGTGCGTACGATTTTTTCCGTTGTTCGTTATTACAATAAAATAAATAACATTATTGTACGGTTTTAGGTCGGCATATACGTAAAAAGGTATAATACATCAGTATGATAATAGGCTATAACGTCGTTGCAGCTATCGACAAAGTTAACATTTCATCTTTGCGCATAAACCGTAGTAATTATTATTTTACAGTGGTTTTTAGTTTCCTAATTGTATTCTTACACTGTAGTCAATTCTACACAATATTATATTAAATAATAACGTTTCGAAAATTATTTGATCGTACATTTTGACGAAATCGTAAAAGGAGGACGCTTTTTTTTTCGGTTTCTTTGTGTACTTTTTCTGATTTTCAAAATACTCGCAGTAAACGCGGTTTTTCGCTGGATAAACTCAAACTGTTGGGATGTTACAATGTTTATTATACCTATTCAATTCGACCGTTTTAAAAATTGCATATTATATTTTTAACGAGGAAATTACGCGTATACATCGTGTGTATATATAGTTGCGTTAAATTAAATAAAATACAGTATTTATTATTATCGGAGCGTGCACTCGCAATAAAAATGCTCGTCGATAAAATAGTACTCGAAAAATCTATATAGCGAGCGGCGAATATCCGAATGCTCGTTTTTTTTCTTTTTTTTTTTATTCTCCGTACGCGTATTAAACTTATTAAAGACAATAAAATTTTACGAGGTGCTCGGGGGAAAAAAAAAAAAAAAACCGGTCGTCGGCCATTCCAAAAGACGGGAAACTGTTATAGCCGCGGTAACGGAATAATGGCACGCCGATATAATAATATCGTTAGAATATTATTATTATTAGTATTATATTTGTTCGGGACTTAATAATATTCGGAGTGGTATAGACCGATGACCCTCCTCGCGGTAACCTGTTGCACCGAAGCTTCCCCGTCCACAATAATATTGTTCACGACTATAATGTAACCTACCCGTCTGCACAACCTATTATAATGTGCCCGTACGCAATCTTCCGTTTTTAATCAGTAGCGCCAAACCGAGAAATCCGCGTAATATTTTATTTGTACTGTTATATTAAATATTATCATCTCACGTACATTGGCATTAATAATTTCACTATCGCATCGCGGATGTTTATCGCCGTACAGGTGTATTAGGTTATCGGCTTGACATTGACCTTGGAATTTTTTTTATTTTCATTTTTTTTTTTTCAATATTGCTTCAAGTTATTATTATAAATGTTGATATGACTCATTATAAATATTATTCTAATAATTCTATAATACACGGTTATTGCAAAAAAATGAAAATGAAATGAGATTTTGCTTATAAATCGCATCTTATTTCTTAAAAATATCAATATCAAGCGCCGTCGTCACCTTCGCCTCTTTATCCTCAACCTCATTTCCCTTTAATCCCTTCGGCCCTTTCGCAAAGCACGCAAGACGAATGAACAAAAAACTGCGTGCAAAAAAAGTCAAACTCAGCAGCAGCATACTCTTGATTATGCACCGACGCACGAAAATCGCATTTAATCATAAAAAAGCCAATTAATTAACAGCATAGGCTATCGACGGAGATTAGATTGAATTTTTTTGGGGGGAGGGGCTATTTTAATGATGAGCAAAAAATATATCACAACTTGTATCAGTATTCCCATTCTCATTTTCACATATAAAAACGTAATAAGCTATAAAATAGGCCATTCCGACTTCAGGGTCAATATCATTTTTTATGGAGGGGGAGCTAGAATTATACCTTTAGGGGGAGTTTCTCTAGCCTCCCAATCTCCACTTATGTTTAACAGAGATCCTCAAAAATTATACATGATTCAATGTTTGCAATCCGTGCAGTAGAGAAAATATTAAGTAATGCGCTACGTGTCCTTTACAAATTTTTCCAGGCTCAATGCTTATTACCTACTATTTAAACCATACTCGTCATTAATTCGAAACTCGAAACAGTTTTCAATTTTAACGGTTTCACTGTCTTGATTTTTGAAATTGTTCGATTTCGAGTTTTGGTTTACCACATTGACGAGTCAATACGAATATAAGTTTTCTTTTCATCGAGTGCTTATATTATTTTCACCGTCATAGTTTCAGAGTATGTTCGTTTTAAATGTCGTATGTTCGTCAAGTTTTAATCGAGAGCGGAAATATTGAATTGTGTCCCGAAAAATTTGAATCCTCTTAATGTGGTTAAAATAAATAATGCCAAGATAAAATTACCAAATAAACGTTAAATACTCATGCTGTTATTTTTTTAAACCAGTGGGGGACGGGTAATCAGAGTCTGAGAAACGAATGCAGTTAAGCTCCCAAGAGATTTTGCGATTTTTTGTTCATAATTTGTATTTTTGCATGCTTAATATGATGATACTTTAAAAAAAAAATGCCGTCAAACTTCCTTTCAAAGTATGGTAAATTTCATAATGTTCGAGTTTTCCAAATTAACATTTTTAAATATCCTATACATTTTTTAAATGCGATTATTCCACGCTTAATATATTGCGTATAACATACTACGTATTATTATTGTTGACGTGTAGTAAACGGGTTGCTCAAAACTGTATCGCCGAAATATGACTAACGTTTGATTTATAATTAAACAAAATACAATTTTAGTTGTTTGTACAAAATATATTTATACAGATAAAAATGGTTATAATTTAACATGTTTACCTGTTTAAAATACGCGTTGACTCATATAAGTAACAGAAGGTTGATAAAATAAATTAACTCGTCGGCTTACAGATAAATCGACTAAAAAAGTATGACGTGTAGTTAAGTTACAAGTAGAAAACACAAATTTACTTTTTTTTACGACTATGTTTACTATCTTGTTTTCTGCTTAAATTTGGAGGGGGACGCAGAATCTCTTATCTTATAAAATAGTTTAGGTTATTTTTCAATTTTAAATAACGGACACAGAGCTATTAACAAAAATAGATAGAGGGGCGTGATTAAAAATTTGTTGATTCAGAGTACCAAATTTACAGAATTCAAAAAAAGCTTTATCCATGTTTTTTCCTATTTCAAGTGTACATTATTAATATATATATAAATATATTAAAATCTTAAAGAACGCACATTTTTACATTTTTGGGTCCTTTTTTAAGCGCTGATGTTACACCTAGTTACTTGTCCTGCAGTTTCATACAAAATTATTGAATTAAATACGTATATTTTTTTTCTAATAATTATTTTATTCAATTATCGATTGCAATCAATATAAGATATTCGACGAAAATTAATAATCAGTGTTTACGTTTGTTTTGTTCTTAGTCATGCAACGCAATCGATCCGAACAAATTAAACGTTCATCTTATCGCTCATACACACGATGACGTTGGATGGCTGAAAACTGTGGATCAGTATTACTATGGCAGTAGGTATTCTTTTTTTTTTTAATTAAAGCCTTAGATAATTTGAAGTTTATATCTCTCCGTTTTGTGATATTAGCTGTTATATAGGTTACGTTTTTACTAGTTTAAATATTAACTAAATATTTAATCAAAACCGGGCAAGTAAACCATTTTTCTAAACTAGTTCAGGTTAAGATATTCTTAAAATAAAGCTAAGCTAAGTTAAAATTAATTTAAAGTTAAAAATAACTTTTAACGATAGTCATTAACGTATTTTGTATTTTAAACGTTTAAAATGTATACCTGCTTTTATACTATATTAAACAAGACTCGTACACAGAGTCACGTTGAAAATTGATAGTATGATATGCACGATTTCATTGAGTAATTTTATTTAGATTGGTGTAGAAACAGTTATTGAAATCTATAACAATAATTTAGTATATTTAGTTTATTTGCCTATCTATTATTCTTTCGCCTGTTTTACCCAAAGTTTTCCCAAAGTCGAAATAAAATGAATCGAGTTTTTGAGATAAAACGGCTAAAGAAATTGTATTTATTTTTATAATTATTGTTGCTATTATTAAATATGTTACTATCACTAAAACGTTAATTGTTTATTCCGGGTATTGATAACATACAAATATGCATTGAAAATGCATTCCGAAAAATGCAGCTCTATGTGAGTACTTAGACGAGAATCTTAAACATTTTAAATTTCAAAAAAAAAAAGTTGATAAACACTACACTAAAGGCACTAAAAATTGAAAAAAATAAAACTGCTAAACAAAATGTTTATAACCGCTAGCTGTTACATCACATTTCGGACTTTGTACTTCAATATTATAAGAAAAAGGTCACGGACAATTAAAAAAAAACTCACTTATTAGCTACAAATTCATTGTTTTATACGAATTCAAGTTCAAGTTTCCTACATCAAGAGAGTTAATAAACGTCTCAATTTTTTAATATTATTTACGATGATATTGTATTATTTGAAATGAGACTGTGTCTGGTTCTGAGCGCAACGAGGAATTCATTGATTTATCTATAATAAGCGATGTGCAGCGGCGGATTTTCAATATTTTTCTAGGAGAAGTCCTGAAAAATTATATATATATTAAAGGTATCTATTATTAGACGCCTCTTTTTAGACGATAATTTATTGAAATATCATTTTATCAGTGTCTGAGGGGAGGGTCCAGAAACCCTGTACTCTCTCTTGTGTTTTTTAACAAATTTTCTACCAGAAATATTGCTATATGATTTTCAAGTGTAGTATCTTTTCTGAAAATAAAAATAAATTGTATCACGGTGATGTATCGGTAAGGTCAGGTCATATTTTTGCTATTTGATTTTCCTTTGTTTTCTAAATAATTGGGAAAAAGTAGTAGTCGTTTTTTTTAATAATCTTTTTAAGTTAAAATTTTGATTGGAATCTATATAAATCACGGCATTTCAATTTAATATGTTTAACCGAATTTCACTCAGAATCGTATTTCGTGATATAAATGTAAATTGAAATATATCTTAGTGTATCCTTAATTTCTAATGTTATTTTTTTTTTATTTTGCTATTATATTTGCATGTAATAAATTATGTACTATGAATTAAAACGTACTGTTGCAGTATGTATACCAACTCGTACTATTGTAGCTAGGCCGTTTTGAAAATTATTTCTATTGGTGAAAAACATAAATCTACACAACAGCGTATGAGTTAGAAATGGCCAGTTGGTCATATTAACAGAAGTCGTATTCGCTATAAATTCGGTGTTTTCGCTCGTCAAAACACGAAGTTACGGGAACGTTCGGTATTAAAATTAAATAATATACGCTATATAATTCATTGATCAGCATAAAATAAAAATTCGATTTTGTCCGAAACTTCTATATACACATAGGCAAGGTCATTATTGCGTTTGATTAGCCAAAATCGAATTTCATCATCCGATTGTTTTTTTCCGTGGGAGGGGGGTGGATGGCGTTACCCTCAAGGAAGAGCCGAAGTACACTGTTATAATATAATTATATTATAATTTTACAGTAATTTTTTTTTTTATTAAATTATCTACGTAAAATACGCAATGAATTCGTTATCGAGTAATTAATGTTAAAATTAAATTTTTCCGAGTTGCCGGTATGCCAATTTATATAAAAAAAAAAAAATAAATAAATAAAAAATGTCAGTATACTATATTAAGTTCTTCTTAACGGATACTGCTCGTGTGGTTAGGTCGATGTTGTAGATGAGTAATAAGAAAGTTTGTAGGGTAATTTTATTTACATTTGAACGCAACGATATAACTACTCGTCGTCAACGAAAAACGATTCTGAGTGTAGTTCGTTTAACCATTGTGTTCAACAACTTTAATTGAAAATTGTATTTGTTTGTAGCTGTACATAATAAATGACGACAATTGACCGTGTTTTATTCATTGCGCAAATCGGATAAGTATTACACGAAATACAGTGAATATTAAGATTTTTGTCAAAAGTTAAATTTAAAACACGCTTATGAAAAAAAAACTATATTACGTTTAACTTATTTTTACCTCTAAACTATGATGAGTGTAGTTTTAAATTTTGCTAGGTCAAAAAAAAAATTCATTTTCACATAAATCGGAAAATAATATACCGGAAATGCTGTGATTTTTACAATATTGTAATTTCATGCTCAATAAAATAAAATACATAATAATGTTATAATTTGTTAATACATTTTTGAAGTTCAATAGCTCTTCCCCTCTACCCTTCTCAAACCTGCTCGAATTAATGCCCAGGGACGTCCTTGGTCACACCCATTACATATGTGCGTTTTATCTATTTCGTGTTTGATGTGGCTTTGAAACGTTTCAAAATTAAATTCTGACGATTTTGCGTATATATTATACGTGTTAACCGATTAACAATTTGCATAATATGTACGTATATAAACAGTTTAACGATATTGTACGTTTTTTGGGTGTGTGTATGCGTCGTTGCGATTAATTTCAACTTAAATATTCGAAAAAAAAAAAAAAAAATAAATAAAACAACTGATTAAATCTGTATTCCGAACGGAACCCCGCAATAATAAACCCCGAAACGTCACCTACCGCAACGAAAAAGGTCGTATCTCATTTTTCCTATTTCTAATCTTCGAATTTTTTATCGTATCGCTTGCCGCAACGAAAAAAGATTATATCTCACCATAAATCATATCATATAATATTATACGTCTATGTATCTTACTGTTTTCGACTTTTAATCTAATCTCTTAAGATGAGTTGGAGAGGTACCACCTTTTTCGTGGACGACGTTGGAAAAATATACGACTTTTCGTTGCGGCGGACAATGTATTGCAGTACGAGATTATAAAGCCGGCGTGTACATGGGTGTCGCAGGAAATTTATCAGGGAGGGGCATAATAAAATCAAACACCGAGAAGTACTTAAAATAAAATTTATAAGGAATAATTATTTCATCTGATTTTTTTGATTTAAACGTATTATTAATTTATTTTTTACTTTAATTTTGCACTTTTTCTTTTTTTTGCCCGATGCAGGTAACAAAGCACACGCGCCGTTCGGCGTTCAATACATACTGGACTCCGTTGTGTCCGAATTGTTGAAAAACAAAATCCGAAAGTACGTACCCATGCATTTTTTTTATATAAAAAGTATTTTTTTTTGGGGGGGGGATCTAAATATAAAATTTATCACCAACTACCAATAATCTGATTTTTTGACGAGAAGCTTAAATTTCAAAGGGGTCTGGACGGGGGTCCAGACCCTATGGACCCCCTGACTACGAGCCTGTATATAACAGTACCCATCACGGAGAATATATGCACACGAAAAAAAAGATGAGATAAAAGGTGTAATTTTTTCTCGTCAAGACACTTATTCGGATCTAGATAGTTATACAAAATGTTCCAAAAATGAGGTGCTTTTTTCATAGAAATTGAAATATCACTGCATATTAGGCCGTTTAGACTGTTCTTTTTTAACCTATAGGTTGGACTGATGGATGTGGGGTTTTGAGAATATTTAAAAAAGGCTGGTGTTCATATCTTATTGCTGTTATTTTAGATTCGTATTTGTGGAAACGGCTTTTTTGTGGCGTTGGTGGGAGGAACAGGACGACTGGAACCGGGATAATCTGAAGAAGCTTATCGACGAGGGTCGGTTACAGTTACTTCACGGCGGATGGGTAATGAGCGATGAGGCTGTGCCCCATTATTCCACCCTCATCGACCAGATGACTCTGGGTCTCAAGTGAGTGCGGTTTGGTTAGTAATATTATTGGTAAAACCTGCAGGGTTCGAGTGCTTTTGCAGTGGAAAACTAGAGAAAAAAAAACCAGACTATACAGTAGTGCTGCATAAAAAAAATAGCTGAATATTGCATTTCAAAAGTTCAAATCACATCTAAAATTATTTTTTCGTTTGACTATTTATTGGCTTACCCCATCTATTTTATAGATTTTTGAACGATACGTTCGGCGAGTGTGCCAGACCCCGCGTGGCGTGGCAAATAGACCCGTTCGGACATTCCAGCGAGGTGGCCGCCGAATTCGCACAAATGGGTTTCGACGGTCTGGTTTTGGGCCGGATCGATTACGAGGACATAGCGCTGCGGAAATCTCAGAAGACGATGGAAATGGTGTGGAGACCAGACGTCAACAAGGGTGAGCCGTGGTCGTATTACTAATTTAAACTTTTTTTTTTTTTAATTGCGTTTTTTCTTTTTTGGCAGACGACATATTTTATTGCCAATTTATTAATATTTATTGATGTAGAATTTTTAAATTGAAGGCGTGCGCTGCGTTTTATCGGTCGCACATAATTTTAAGACAAGTTGTTGTAGTAAAAAATTATAATTGCTAGACCGATCGCGCTCAACACGTATAATACAAAATATCACACTTAAAAAAAATGTTAACTAAAAATAAAATTAAAATACCGTAATTTTAAAAACCATACAGTCGATTGTGAATCGACTATTGTATTTAGGACAATTATTGCGATAATCCATCTGTGTAATATATACCTAAATGTAAATATAAATAACGATATTTATGTAGGATATTGCAAAACAAAAATAAATGTACTATTGAAAAAATAACGGTACAAAGTGTTATAAAAGACGAGCGTGGAACAACAATGAAACAACAAAGGCGAAACTATGATACGCGAATGAGAAATACGTTGAACAAATCACTGTTTTCTTTACACTTGGGGTAAACGAATTCTATATTAGAAGAGATTGTAAAACGCGACGAATCGGATTTACGAAGTTTAATTATCGTCCGAAAAAATATTGTATAGAACACTGTTATTAAATCGTCTAATCGTCTTGAACGTACATGCGGATTTAAAATTGTTTTTTTTTCCTTTTTACGTATCGCGTCGCTAAATTACCAATATCGTTCGTTTCGCAGGACAAGACGGCGAGTTGTTTACAAGTGTATTGTACAACCTATACGTGGCGCCCGAAGGATTTTGTTTCGACGCGTTCTGCAACGACGATCCCATTTTAGATAACCCGAAACTCCACGGGTACAACGTGGACGCAAAAGTAAATAATAATTTATTATCTATATGTATTAATCGTACCCTAGCGTTTATATGATATCGTTCACAGCACACGCATACGGAGTGAGGTCAATTTATTATCGTGGACCCGCATCGATTATCAATAATAAAAATTTTGAGTAGGTAAATTTTTGATTCTTGTTTTTCTTTCCATCCGGCATCACAATATACCTACCGTTCGACGATATTGTTAAGAACGTTTGTCGACATTTTACCCTTATTCCGTACACTCTGTACATATAATGTAGCCTGTAGTGTCGTGGCAAAATTTGATGTCTAGTAAAATCTATATTTTCTGATTAAATCTGATATCCATAGTTAACGTTCGAAAGTTTACTGTAATGAAACGAGGTAACTGTGGCTCTCTATTAGTTAATTTGATATAAGGTATAGACGTGTCATCAATTATTGGTTTTCTAATAGTAACGACTGTCTACGGTTTTAACAAACTCCGATTCGAATACGAGAATACGTTTCCTAAACAAATGTTTTAACGTATAGAAGACAAAAATCGAAAGAGAAATTATTGATTATACCTGGTAAATAATTATTAAGAGCACGGGCATGAAAAATTACTAAAAATTGAAGGCATAGCCCGAACTAGGGCAGAGCGGGGGTTATAACTCCCTGCGTCAAATTGCAGACATATACTCGCGGAATTTTGTTATGTACATATTTTGCTGATAGGTACTTCTTTAATTTCAACTTCTTTGGGGCTAGAAGACCGTGTACGGTTAGCATTTTTTAAAAACTATGGTTCAAATGGGGGCGATGTGGGGAACACCTCAGAGTGTGTATCGCATAAAATCCCCGGTGTGAAAATCTCTAGTTCCGGTACAGGTTGAAAGATTTGAATTTTTGGCAGAGAAGCGCGTATACTATGGAGAGCGCGCAGCCAACGATCGATAATCGAAAGACCGAAGACCCAAAAGGAGAAAAAAAATAAAAAAAATTGGAACGAAATATGGGCGAAATGTCGAAAATACGGCTTTGAACGATTTCGCGAGACCGGGGAATGGTTTAAATCGAATTTACACGAAATTTTTTTGCATAGATAAAATCGTCGATGATAATAATAATATTGTGCGGTCCGCGATAAAACCGTCGATATTCACCCTGTATAAAAACGGCGAAATAATATTAATCGCGGGTTTAATTTGATGTTTTGTTTTTCGGGAAGGTAGAAAACTTTGCGAATCATGCCCTGAGGTACGCGTCGACGTTCAAAACGAACAACATCATGATGACCATGGGAGGCGATTTCTCTTATTCGGTCGCGTCATCGTGGTTCAGGAACATGGACAAATTGATCAAGTAAAGCGATTTTTATTTTGTTGTTGTTTTTTTTTTTTTTTTGTTTTTCGGTACACATTTTACGATAAATAATAATAATTATCGCGCGCATCCATGCATTGTTGTAAGTACATAGTTTTCGTTGAACGCACACTGTTATTTATATTTTTTATCGACCGCGCGATTCCTGTCGAATCCGAAACGACTCGTTCGGGCCATTCTGTCAATTATATAAACCGCGGCGGTTTTTATTGTTTGATACGATCGGGGGAGGGAGGGGGAGAGAGAGGGGAAATACGCGGCCGCCTGTAAATGAGTGGTAATCGAAAACAATAATTATCATTATTATCGTAGGCGACGGCGGAGAAACAATATTATTATAAACACGGTCCGCGCGAAAATAATAAATTACGCCACGCGTGATCATAATTATTGCTACGCCGGTCGTCCGCGAGCATAGCCGATAATCGTTTGGTTTTTTTTTTTTTTTTTACAGACACGTGAACAAACTGAAACCCGAATTGAACGTGCTGTATTCGACGCCCGAATGCTATCTGTCCGCCCTGCAGCAGAACTCCGAAAACGTCACTTGGCCGCTCAAGGACACGGACGATTTTTTCCCGTACGCCCACGACGAACACTCGTACTGGACGGGTTACTTTACGTCCCGGTCCAACTTGAAGTACATGATCTGCAAAGCCAATAACTTGTTGCAGGCGAGTGAAACGGCGTCACATAACGACATGACCGCAGGCGCAACCAGTCCACTAACTTTGCGGGGGGGGGNGGGGGGGGGTGAGAGGGTGGCGGGAGGGTGTCCTAAAAATTATACACCGCGCCGCGGACCCGTGGGGTTGTAAACGTCACGGAAATCTCGTTTACACGGCAATAAGCATCGCGTCGTTTATAATTTTTTACGTAAAAATATTTCGTAATTTGTTCCACTTTATTTTTTATACACGCACACAATATTATCCGTGGATAACCTCGGTCGGTTACGAAATCCGCCGATAAATGAATATTTAGCCGATTAAAAAAAAAAAATCTTATGTTGATAATATTTTCGGGGGTGCTGATTTTAAACTTGGGCGTGCTAAAGACCCCATAATTACGCCCGACTGATATTTGTTTTAGATTCCGGGCGTAACGAGGGAGCTATTGATTTTACAATGTTGTTTATTTTTTTTTTCTTCTTTGTTCTAGTCTGTGGACACGTTTTTTCCTACCATAACTTTTCTGAAAGCTCAAGTTATCTAGATTTTACTTTAAATCGGTCGTGTTTTAAACATCGTGTTGAAAACATGGATGACGTTTCCTACCAAAAAAAAAAAAAGTGATTTAATCGAAAAATCGAAAAATCGATATTGTGTATTTCGCAAGCCATTTCTCGTGTAGTCGTGTATATTACTTTGAACATAAATGAGAGGTTGGTAATAGTTTGTTTTGGTCACGGCGATTGAACGGTTAAGCGGGTTGGGTAGGGGGGGTAGTATTGAGAAACATGTGTTCGATTTTTTCCACGCAACATGTTTTTAAAAGACGTTAATGGAAATGTTTATACTCCCTGATATAAACTGAATCACCCGGTATATCTTGCTTTCCCAACTACTCATTTGAGCAGTATCGATTTTATTTTTTAAAAATTCTAGTTATACAAAAATTACCCAAAAGGAGTATTCGTATGACGTAACGTATAACATTTCGTGAACAAAAAAAAAGATAAAAATGGAAAATAATAAAATATTATTACATTCCTGAATTGCAAAAAATGTCATCCACGAGGTTTTTTTTTTTTAAATTTCAATTCGTAATATTCACAAAACGAATTTAATACTTCGGTATTAATAATTCCGCTGAAAAAAAAAGATACGAACCACATTCGAGCCTTACAGTAATAATTATTTATGTCTCGTATCTGAATTATACAACAGTTAATTAATAATCAATTCGAATTTTAAAAGTCGAAATCTAAACAAAGTTTGTTCAGGATTTTTGTCGATTTTCAACAATTAGCATTTGCTTTTTTTTTTTTTTGCCGCGAATAACAAAGCTGCAATCTCCTTTTTTCGATTTTGCGTTCGATCCACAATTTATTTTAACGCAACGATTTGCTTTTAAAACTTGTCTATAGTGGTTTAGTAACATTATAACACAGGACTTATCTAATGCTTGATTTTATCGCTTTTCAATTTCTTCTTCTTTATCGATAATAAAACTCGGTCGGCCAGACATTAAAAAAAACCGATTTCGTCCTTTTGTCATTGTGGGAACAAATATAATAAAGTTCATTGCAAAGTTTCTAGTTTATGACGATCGTAATTTTAAATTCTGAGCAGAGCGTTGGTTTTTACAATGGTGTTTATTATTATATTATTTTTACGAACAACTTTTCTACCAGAAATTTTGATCTGATTTCAGCACTTTTTCTGAAAGAAAATTTAACTAGAGTGGAATTCTACAACATAAATGGGAAAATCCTGGAAAAACGGAACAATTTACAAATTGCATTATTTTCGAATCATACATATTACGGCCTTTCAATATACATGTAAAACCGAACTCCGCTCAGAATTGCTTTAGTTAGCGATGATTAATCGTCGAGTACAGATACACTAAATTTCTCCTTTACCTTATCAATTCTTCAACAGTGGTCCACCCATCGTGCAAAATATGTCCGTTTGTTTTTGAAGTTAAAGTTGTCGACATTTTATTATATTTGAATTCTATTTTTTATTTTTTTTTAACAAAACGTATTGAGAAAATTAAAATCTTCTGTTGACATTTTCAAGTAATTGAAGTTAGACAAGTGTATGTCGCGACTGTGTTGTAATAATGATAACCTGTTTTGTACTGATTTTAAATGGAATTCGATTTTGTTTTAATCGATTGTAGCTTTCATAAGCTGTACATTTGTTTTTTAGGTTACTTAGAACAATTTATTTATTTAAAGAATTATTTAATTTTTTTGTTTTTTGTTGTTAATATTGTACTTTATTTTACGTTATAGATTCTGAGTATTACTACGAGAAAGCTATTGGTTTAAAAAATAGATTTTTTTATTTTTATTATTCTCTGAATATAATTTATCAGTTATTAAAAAGGCTCCGATTTTTTTCTCATCGTACATTAAAGATGCGCATTTTCCAGTCGATTATATTTTATAAAAACCATTTTTCAAAAAAAAAAATGCTTTGATATTTTTTTAATATCTTATTTCGTTCATTTATCGCGGCGGCGCAAGCAACTTCTGCGTCAGATATTTTGTCTACGGAATATACGAAAATGTACCGTGGTTCACACAAGCCGTTTGAACGTCGTTTATGCACTAAAATCGGCATAATCGTCGTGTTTCGCGCAAACATATAGCGGCGCAAATTTGTTGATCGTGTATGGGGGAGGGGGGCTAGTACGGTAGTGCGGAGCATAAGCTCCGACTTTTAAATTTTAGCACGGGGGCAAATAAACAATTTAAACCACTGTACGTGGATGTTATTTACATACATATGTAACGTCATAATCGTGGTATTTTATCTCTAGTCATGTCTAGACAATGTAAGTTGAACATTTCAATGTCAAAACTCATTAACTAAAAAAAAAAAAAATGTTATAATAATAATCAAATAACTTTCGTACACAAAATCGAAATGCTGTTTTTACGTTTCACCCCCGTTGTTATAATAATCGAAGTGCGGAGGGGGGGCGATTGTCCCCGTCGCCCCCGTAAAGTCGGCGTCTATGATACGGAGACGACAAGTGCACGCGCGTTCCGTTAAAATATTATTGAAATAATAATGTAAAAACAAAATTATTAAAATGGTTAATACCCGTAAATAAAAAAAAATGTTTGTGTAAAAATGAAATAAATAAATGAATGAATGCGTCGCATGGAGCGTTACGGAATATCGAGTATTATACGATCGATTTCGAATTGAAAATTCATCATCGGGTGTATCACAGTCGAAATGTAAAACGCGACTGAATATAAGAAATTTAACGAAGGAATACAGAGAGAAAAAAAGAAAAATCATCCGAATTGGTCGTTTCGCGTAGAATTAATTTACTTTAATACGGGAGAGGCTATTTAAAATTAGTTATTATTAGACATAGATACGTTGAGAAATAACGATTTATTTGGTTATGTGACACGTTCCGTTCATTAATCTATTTTATTTCTATACGTATGCGTTTTTTGTTTGTATATTTATTCGCTATGTTATTGAAATGTTATTGTCGTATTGTTTCGCTGTCAGGCGGTGAAGCAAATCGGCTCGACGCTGGGAGAACGGCTCGCCGAGAACGTGCGGGCGCTGGCCATAGCCGTCGCCCAGTCGCAACACCACGACTCCATAACCGGCACGGAAAAACAGCACGTGTCCGACGATTACGCGCAGTACTTGGACGAAGGGATCACCGGGACGCAACAGGTGTTGACGGCCGCTTACAGGTACGGCCGGGACGGGTTTTGTTTTTCGGGCCATTATATACATGTGTAATGACTAGAGATGTACCGCGAACGCTGATTTGTGACGTCGAACCGAACCGTAGTACTTAGACGTTTCCATTCGAACTTTCTAAACGATTTATCGAACTCGAACATTAGATTTCTCTTTTTCGTAACGAGTAACCCCGAGCTCGGTTCGAAAATCGAGCAATTTGTCACGTCTCTATATTAATAATAATATAATACGCGAAACGTTATACGAACCGTTCGGGTTAACACCAATGTTGACACGCAGATTTGGCGCACGACTAAAGTGAACCGTCAAAATAAATCTCATACTCCGGTAATATACCGGAGGGTTAAATGCGGAATCGTATAACCGCGTGAAGTGTTTTTCGTTGGCCTATACAGGGCGATTCACTAAGCGTGATCACTTCAATTTTTTCGGTTAAATTTTGTATACATTCAAATTCTGATTTTTGGGAATTTTCAAGTGTAATTAAAGCCGATATTTTCGAATATTTAGATTTTTCGTGATCGAACGAGAACCTATGTTGAAAATTCCACAAATTAGACGGACTATTGTCCTTAAATACATTTTGGTGTCAACATTTTTGATTTCCGTCAACCCGTTGACGATATATTTCACTTTTAAGTTTAGGTAGCGGGAGAGTAGTGGAGTATCATTTGTGCGGCGGTACGGCACGAGACGATTTATTAGTGTTCCACTACTCTCCCCTTACCCAAACTTGAAAGGGAAATATCTCTTAAATATCTTTAAAAATTCCAAAAATTAGAATTTTATATATGTAAAATTTAACCGATTAAATTGGGTGAGCACGCTTTGTAGATCACCCTGAATATGTTGTGTACACTTGTTGGTGTCGTGAAATCATTCGCAAAGTTTCGCGCATTTCAAAAAAAATATTTGTACTTTTTTTCGATTTCATCGATAGTTTCACTTAGCTCGCGAAAAAACCGTACCAAACGACTATTACAAAAGTTTGTCGCCACAATCGTTTTCAGTCGTTTCGCCGTAACTCCGGAAAAAAAAAAGGCCTCGAAACTTTTATTTGCATCTAAACAAACTATTCATAATTATTATGAAAACTACTTTAATCATCAAACAATGATTTCTCTGACAGTGACAATATTACTGGTAGAAAACCAAAAATTAAACAAAATGAAATCGGTAACGCAATGGCGTGCTGTAAATATTTACATTTTTACCCATAATTTTTTTTCGGGTTTTTCTCGGTTATTTTGGAAACCTCTTGAAAAATCAAGAAATAACCTTTCTAATGCATCAATGAGTTTAGTTAGAGATAATTTTCTTTCAGAAAAAATACTACACTCTATGCATCGGAGCGAAATTTTATTTCGAAAGACCTTTACAAACAGAAAAAAAAACAACATCATAGTAAAAAGTTAATAAATCCCTCGCTACACTCTAAACCTAAAATAAATACGGTCAACGGGGGAGGGGTTTAAACCCTACGATTTCTCCTCCCACCCATGTCTAAGATAATAAGATAATCTTACTTCCACCCTCCCAGTTAGTTTATCCAGCGGGTAAGATTATATACTGACAATAATACTGTTCAAATCGATAGACTTACGAACACAATTAACATTTTGAATTTCAAATTTATGACCGGTGGGTCGTGATAATCCTTGACGAAGATTTTATGGGAAATCTCCTTTTTCTAGAATAATCTTATCTGTCCTTCCACCCCGGATAAACTATCCGGGGGTATGATTATCCTATTACACCGGTAGAGAAGTTTTGCGCATTTTATTTTATTTTTAGAATTCGATATTGCACCCGCATGAATAACTCCCTGTACAGTTTTGATCGGAATCATTTTTCAAAACGAATACCTAAGATTTACCTTCGTTTTCGATATTTCGAATAATATTGTAATAATAATGATTTCTCCCCGGATCGGCGGATCTCTCGATGTATGAAATATGTTTGGTTTTTTTTTTTACCACTATCGTACTATCTATCTACTATCTATCGTACATGATATGTAGGTCTATCATATGTGATTTTATTATATTTGTTGTTTTTTGTCCAGTAGCAAAAAAAAAAAAAACTTGATACATCTGGACTCACGACGGCTTCGCTTACATACTCGTATTCTAATCGACAACACGCACACATAATTCCGTTATACGCGTTTAGCCCCTGCCATATTCAAGGGGTCGCGTAAAGGCAATTTAATAGCATTTGTATGAAAAAAAAAATAAACCAAGTGACCGTCTATATTAACAAAAAAAAAATATTACTAAGCCTGCAGTTATAAATTAAACTACTCTATAATAATATATTCTATCCTCCAAATTTTCCGCGTACAATAGTGACACATCCGCCAGCAGTATCGGTTCATAAAAAAAAAAAATAACTCTAACGTTCAAAATATTTTTAAAGTTTTTCTTCGTTCTTTTCGTTTCGATTTACGTCCTCAAGTATTTAATATGAAAGTTACTTATCGATACTTAATATTCCTGTAAAGTATAAATAAAATAGTACAAAAACTGATTTAAAACCGAGCACGAAAATTATTGGAAACTACCTACACTTTCGTATTTTATTAAGTATTCCGGTTATTTGAGCTTGCGCATTTTGGCTCAAATGATACTCTATAATAGTTCGATTATATAGGTTTTCTTAATTTCCTATCAGTTTTCGAAACGTGATTATAAATTATTTAATCGGATTAAAATCAAAGAATTCCGCTACACTGAAAGGTATCATCAATATAATCTTTACCTATACGTATATAATAATATAATTTTGATTTTAGCGTTATCGAAACGTGGTTTTATTTTTTTTTTTAAAGATTTCGGGGGTTTAAAAACATACATTTTGATCACAACCCCGCAGGGTGCTGATGGGTTAGTGTTTATTGACTCCCGAGATATTCAACAGGGGGGGGGGTGATAAAATATTAGAGGTAGGGTCAATAATTACCGGTGAAAATTTATTCCCCGATAGTTTACGATTGGGGTTGTTAAATATCGAAATTTTTGCGATTATACAGGGATATAATTTGAATTTTTCGAAACGAAAATACCGTCAATTTTTAATACCGGATTCGATTATTTATTATTTATTTCGAAAAAATTTGATCGAAACAATAATTTTGTCCCATCTCAAAAATTACTACCCGACACACGTCTAAAGTCGATTTAAACAAATATGATTTTTTTTCTCGATTCCAAAAAAAAAAAATGTAGAACGTTTTTCAGGTTATGTATAACACGATTATCTTTGACATATGGATTTGTTCACAGTTATTAGAATAGTTGCCACGTTTTGTCACTTCACATAGCCGTGCGTGTTTGTTTAATAATCGAAAAGCGTTTTTGTTTGTTTTGTTTTGTATATAATTCGTTGGACGGTTTTGTAGCTCGGGTGATTTTTGAGATAAAAAAAAAACTGTTATAGTACTTGTCTGGCTAAAATTTCTTCGTGTTGCCATAACTGTTCGAGTGAAACACATTGCATACGTACATTATTATATCGGTCGGTGGCTGTACAAAATTAATGTAAAATATTATAATTAATGAATACCGCGTCGTAAATTTGAATCTAATCGCGACGGTTATATTATTAAAAACCTGTACCTATTAAAGGCACGGCAAAAAAAATATCACTCCGATAACTCGTACCTGTTTTAATTAATTAATTTCGTGTAAATATAGACTGCCGAGAAATTCTTACTTTCGCGCACTTATACCCAATGTAAAGGGTATCATTTCATTGAGATGTGACTTTTGTTACGTTCGACATTTCCAATTTTTGTTTTCCTTATTTTACTAGAGCTTTTTGAATATTGTGATTCCTCCGTTTGATGTATTCTTTTTTAAACTAAATCTAAACTAGGTGTTTAAATTCGTTTACGAAATTCAAGGTAGCTATTTTATAAATATGTTAAAATTCTGGTGTTACAACTATATTTTACTAACAACGAACCGCGTAGTTTCTACAAATTTCTAAATCAACGCAAATTATGAATAAAATCATTTTTCATAGGAAAATTAATATAAGTAGTGGTGGTGACGAAAATCGATTTAAACCATGATAATTATAATAATAGTAATAATTCAGGCTCCAAAATTCATACCGTTGTAGAAGCGTAGCTAAACTTCCCTATAAACTATTCTGTGCCCGTCTTAAAAATCAAATCTACTAATCCTTGCTCTTAGCTCTAAATCCATCTCAGAAAACTCACTTTGAAGGTTATAGTGAAACTGGAACCGTGACCTAAAATAACACTAACCCTCTCTAGTCAGTAAGTGTTGCCACTGGGTGATTGCTTCATCAATCAAGCCAATATAAATTATTATCCTCAAACATACTTATTTTAAAGATGTATTCATAGACTATATGTATTAAAAATAAAAGTTAAAAAGTAATTATGATCAATTTCAATTTTTTTTAGAAAATTAACGCTATTAGTAAATATGTTTAACACCAACATTTTGTTTCAAAATATATTTATAAAATGACTATCTCAGATTTTGTGAAAACAATTAATTATTTTTAGTTTAGAAAAAAAAAATTAGAGGAATCGTAGCAAAAATCTCTAGTAATTATCATTACAAAAAAAAAAAAAAAACCAATATTGAACAGAGCAAAAATTATTGCATATTTTATCAGATCTCTCAGTGAAACACCTTGTTTAATATACGGCATAGGGACGGCTGTCCATTTATAAAATACGATAATCACACAACTTGATCGATTTGAATTGTTTACAATTTCACACTGTATACAACATAAAAAATAACAAATGCAAATCGACAAAGTGACACTTATTATATCGTTATTGTGTTTTACAAATATAATAAGCCGAATGCGCGTCAGCGCGTAGCCTTAGGTAACTCGATAATTTCCAATATATTACTATAATTCCGCGTAGAAAATTGTCAAAACCTGCAGATGGGTACATCCTGTACATATATATATTATATAGGTACTTTGATTTTACCGAGAAATATTATACGCCGCCATCGTATAATAATGCGACTTACTAAAGTTCGCGTACAGCGTTGTAAATCGATATTTTGATATAACGTTGCTCCGCAGTCTCGGTTGCTCTCTCGCGCTTTTCGATTTTAAGTAAATAATATTATTACATACATCTACAGAGTTTTAGTTACAATATTATAACAATATATTCGTCGAATCTTCTACCGTTTGTAATTATAACGTAATAATAATAATACCGTAATAAATATCGGTACATATACCGTAATACTATTATTGCGTTATATTGATTTCGAATATATCATGCGACGGGAATAATAACATATTCTTTTGAGTTTTTGGGCTCAAACAATCTGCTACGAGTGTAGGACGTTCGCGTGTAGCTTTATTTTACGGCTAAATAGTATATATATATATATATATATAACTAGGCACGGGTCCAGAACAAATATCTGGGAGGGGGAGTCATCTTTTTTTTTTACCACACAAATACAATTAAAATATAATGCGATATATTATGTAGGTGTATTGTATATTTTACGGTACGTATATCAGCGATTGGAATATAGTAATATCAGGATCCAAAGAATTATAAAAAAAAAAAAAAAAAAAANAGGAATTGTGTTCAAGGATATTAACATTTTAACATCCGGGGAAAACGAAAAAGTTTTGCCCATTTCAGGGAAATGACCAGTTGGTATTTTTTTACGAACAATTAAGCACACTTACACAATAATTTTACCGACATTTATAAAACCACTCGCAATACACAGGATTTACAGGATAAATAAAATTAATAAATATATTTTTATGACAAATTGTTTAATAATTTTATCTGATAAATCAAAAATTTTAAATTGTATAATAAACAGTGTTTTAGAAGCACTTTTTAATGGTGTATTTGAAACTAAAATCTGTGGTCAATATTTCTAAGTTTCAAATTTAAAAAACATAATTATTGGTAGTATTAACCTGAGTGAATTATTTACTAACAAATCTGAAATATTTGATTCTTATTTTAACACGTAAAAATGAAATTATAATATTGGAATCGCAGTCCACAGATATGTATAATATATTATCATACACATATCTGTGATTGAAACATAGTAATATTATCAGGATCTATAGAATAATAAAAAAAAAAAAAAATCGGAGAAATAATATGTCTGGGGAATCCCTAGGTGCCCCCCTGGATCCGTCCCTGAATATAATGCCAAATGAATATTATGGTTAACTGTTGGATAACGGATGATTGTTGTCTGAAATTTAACGTGAGATTTAACCGCCATATACTATTCACGCGGTCGGATTGTTGTAATTATTGCTTATAACCGAAGGACAATAAAATAACGCGTAAAACTGACGTAGCGTCGATACACATCGTACACGTTTCGAGGGGAAGAGTTTTTGGGCCGTCGAACCTGTATAATCTGACGAAAATTAATTGCACCCCGCAGGAAATGGTTGGGTAACGATTTTCCCGAGCAAACGTACTGCAAGCTGCTCAACATCAGCGAGTGCGACGTGTCCGAGAATAGCGCCAAGTTTGTCATCACCCTGTACAACCCGTTGTCGCACGCCGTCACCACGCCGGTCCGCATTCCGGTCAAGTACGCTGATTACAAGGTGACCGGTCCCAACGGTAATGTGTTTACTTAATCGTCCTGATAAACGTTACCGCGTGTACCGCTCCTAACCGCGTCAGCCGATGTTACGGTTTTCAGGGTCCAACGTGCAGTACGAACTGGTGTTTTTGCCCGAGCAAATCTTCCGGTTAGGCGGTCGAAGTTCGAACGCCACCCACGAGCTGTTGTTCATCGCCAGCGAAGTGTCTCCGATGGGATTGGTCAACTATCACGTGGAGAGACTCAATGAACTGGAACCGCCGGCCAGACCGACGCCGCACAACAGCACCGACGAAGTGATCATCGACAATGGGGTAAGGCGTACCTATATAATATTTCAATAATAATAATAATAATAATAATAATAATGATAAATAACACCAGTTGTTGTATGTAAAGATAAATTACAAAGTATCTAGTTAAAGATAAGAGATAATTTCTAAAACGAATATAATATAGATAAAGACAAAAGATACATAACCACTTTTCATCTAGATAAAAATAAGATAATTTTGTTTATTTCTATATTATACAACTAAATGCTAAAAGTAGTAAAAATATGATACGCATCTAGATCTCATAAAGGTTTTGTGAATTATGTAAATTAATTATTAATTTATTAAGTAATATTAATATATTATAAATTAGAATTAAAAAAAAAAAAACCATCCATATGGTTTAATTATTTATCTCAGATAACTTATTTCGCATTTATCTAGATAAGGTAGAAAGTCCTACTGAGTCACGCAACACAATTTGACCAACAGAACGTTTCCAAAACTTTTTCGGTTAGACATTTTTTTATACTGTTATAATGTTATGCAGAAACCGTTGGTTATGCGAAAATTTGATTTAAAACTATATTAAAGGTATTTCGGTATATTTAGCTAAAAAATTACAATTTATCAAAATGTTCGATTTAGATTAAAAAGAACATAGTGAAACGTATAACGGTTTGAAGAGTAATATATTATTTCCCGGGGTGTGTGTGTGTGAGTGTATTTTTTTTAAATTAATATTTCTCCGCGTTTAGAAATTGAAAGTCGGTTTCAACGGTACCAGCGGTCTTGTACAGTGGATAGAGAAGAACGGCACGCGGCTCCCGCTGCAACAAAACTTTTTCTACTACGAAGCGATGAAAGGTTATAATTTCAACGCCGACAACCGGGCCAGCGGAGCGTACATTTTCAGACCCACTGAAAATCGGCCTACCGCCATTTCGGAAAAAATCAATTTGACGATTTATCGAGGTAGATATTTTATCCGCGGCGAAATATTATCATAATATAATTGTATGATTTTTTTTTTTATCCAAGGGAAAAATGTTCACGAAGTGCACCAGTCTTTTAGCTCTTGGTTGAGTCAAGTAGTTCGGATTTACGATCAACAGGAATCGGTCGAATTCGAATGGCTCGTCGGACCCATACCGATCGTGTGAGTAAACTAATAAATAATAATGTTTCTTATGCGTTCTATAACGACTATGGCAAAAAAAAAAAATAAAAACTTTAGTCTTAAAGTTTCCACGCGACTCAAGAATAATGCGTGACTCTATTGTTTTAGTTGATGTTTTATTATTATTATTATTGACGTTTCTTTCGAGAAGTTTTATATTATTATTATTACTATAGTAGAGTTTTCCAAACACGATTGCCGAGAAATAAAGTGTTTCTTGTTGGTTTTTTTTCTTCTCCTTCAATTATTATCTTTCTCGCGAATATCGTTTTTTCGGCGTTTATAACGTTTCGATGAATATTGTTTATCCGTAGGGAATGGGTCGGAAAAGAAGTCATCACCAAGTATACGACCAAAATATCGTCAAACGGTACGTTTTACACGGATTCGAACGGAAGGAGGTGGATGAAAAGGAAGCTGAACCAACGTTCCTCCTGGAACCTGACGTTAACCGAGCCCATCGCGTCCAATTATTATCCGATTACGTCGAGCATTGCGATCAGGGATTCCGTAAATCAGGCAACGGTCGTAACCGATCGGCCGCAGGGCGGTACCAGTATCGAAGACGGCACGTTGGAACTCATGGTAAATTCGTGTTCGTATGGTAGTCGATAATAATGGCCAAATACAAAAATGACCAGACGAAAATATGGCCAAATGCAAAAATAACCAGATGAAAAGATGCAATTTAAATAAGTATTTTTTTTCGTGGCCATTTTTTATTTGACCAACATCATCTAAATTCCAAAAATGTATAGTGTTGCGTGCTTTCACGTGCTTACAGTCGAGGTTCTGAACGGAACGGAAAAGCCGATAGTTTTTTAAACTATGATGGTTTTTCACCCCCAAGCACTCCAAAAAGTTCACACCGTAGTTATAAAAGGGCGACTTGTCAAAATATCCGGGAAAACGGTATTTTGTCTAGGAAATATTTTGATTAGCGACCCATTGAAAGACGCTGTGATACATTAAGGAATCATTTTCTATGTTCCCGGAAGTAGTTCTATAAAATTAAAAATAACGGGAATCGAATAACGGTACGCGCGTTCTGAATACAATTCACACAGCGTGCGCAGAGATCAGAAATGTTGAGCTTGGGCTATTCTATATAACATTCCGAAACCTATACATTTTTCGAATATCGATTTTTAAAAAAAAATTAAAGATTAAAAAGTAAAATTTTAACGAATTCAGTTCGAATAAATAGACTTGTATATACTTCTATTACACCGATATTGGTTTATTTCGCGAATCGAAAATAAAAACAGATGCTCGTTCACTAAATTTTAAACTTTGAATTTACCCGGTACGAAAAATTGTTCATTAAGTGTTAATCCGTTTATCTTTTCGGGATTTTTTTTTTGGTTTTAGCTCCACCGACGACTTTTGTACGACGACAGCCAAGGTGTCAGCGAACCGCTGGACGAGAATCAGTACGGCGAGGGCATGGTGACCAGAGGGAAACACATTTTACACTTTACCGTACTGGACGTTGCGGCACAGGCGCACAGGCTATCCGCACTGCACACCGTCATGCAACCCGTCGTTACGTTGGCTTCGACCCACGTGGGAGGTGCCGAATGGGCCTCAAAGTTCAGAGCAACGGTATGTATTATTATACGACGATGCGATGGTCGGACAAAAAACCGCGTGCAACATCATTATTAATAAATTGTTCCCCTCGCCTTCCCCCGTTTTTCAGTACAACTTGTTAAACGTTTCATTGCCATTGAACGTGCACATTTTGACGCTGGAACACTGGAGAAAAAATGAAATCTTATTGAGGGTGGAACATATATTCGAGAAGGACGAGGATCGATTCCTATCGTTACCCGAAACCGTTCATGTCAAAGTAAGTGTTTCTACGTGTTTTTGTATAGTTTTAACCACGCGTTGTATACAAGTAGGTGTAAACAGTTTTTTTTTTTTTTTTTTTGAACACATTATAATACACATTACGTGTACAGAAATTCTGTATTATATATCTATAAATTGAATTTTATGGAAGTTCGATGTATGAAAAAAAAAGAGACCTGATACTGCTGATGGGTGTGCACTGTTGTAAGTGTGAGGTTAGGAAGGTAGGATATACATAATGATATTTAATTCATATCTGTATGCTACGATAAATGATTGTTGACCAAATACATATTTTATTATTGGTCGGTACAAAATACTACGGGTTGTGCGTAATGTCCGATCGCCGAAATAATTTAGAAAGTAATTTCGTCGAAATTGTGCTGGGTAAAATATGAAATTTAGGAACACAAAACCTATGCGAAATACAAAATCGTATACAAATACTGCCTTAGAAAAATAAAAAACCGGTAATCCGATGTTATTTTTTTTATTTCCCGCGGCGTGACTACAAATATAGGAACTTAAAATCAAAGTGTGAACCTCCCTCACAGAGATGTAAAAATCCGGCTTTGATCTATCCGTCTATGTGAGTTCAAAATGTCTCTTAAAAACCATTATATAATGACGGTATATGTACCGCAAAAACATAATGTCCATAACTTAATGGTTTTTAAATATTTAAAAAAAATCTGCAGTAAAACAAAACAACATTTTCAATAAGTTACCATCATTATCCGTCCGGAAAATCCGCTTTTTTTTTAATTCTTCAAATATACAAATTTTCGTGTATATTTGTTTATTGTTTTCGGTGCACATCATTTATTAAGTTTTTTTTTTAAACCGTACACGTATTGTATGTGTTGTTCGGAAGTTTTTTTGCTCGCCACTGAAATGTGTTGCGGCGGCCAAACGTTAATACAAATTACGTTATCAGTTATCACGATAATTCAGAGAGAGAGAGAGAGAGGTCAAGTCCTTTGGGGTCTAAGCGCTGATGTTGAAAATATTGGAATATTTTTTTATCGCACATAAAACTCGAGTTTACATCTTATGTTTTGGCAACGTTATCGCCGTTTAACCGAAATTATAGTTTTTACAACGAGCAAAACGATATAATATATATTATCGTCGGCCGAACAAAAAAAAAAAATAATAAAAGTGAATTCGTGTACTCTCTCGAACGGGTATGGCTGGTTTCGTTAAAACCGTATTATTTACGCATACAAAAAATATATACATATATAACCACCTCGATGGCCTTTTTTTTGGTTTTGCATATTTTTCGTTCTGCAAATGACCTCCTTATAAAATAACGAATACACCGCCACGGTAAATAATACGTGATCATCGGTAGCCGCAATAATAGTATATTATCCCACCACTTTAACCTTTTTTTTTTTGTTTTGGTGCACAATTTTAGGCGACCGCCAGCCTGAAAACCACTGGTCTATGCGAACTGATTTTGGCATACGACGGTGGTTATAATAATATATGGGTAGTCGAAAATGTCCAGAATTTTTGGTTAAAAGACGAAATACTCGTGTTTTTATTGGTTCGTATCTGAGTGCAATAGGAAAAATTATTTTATAGTTTTACGAATGTATGGTTTTTCTTCCAACGAGAACGTCTTTTTAGTTCCTTAAAAATTTTCCGCATTATTCAAGTCGTACGTTAAAAGATGTCAATTATCCATCCGACACGGCGGAGGCAGTAATCATTTTTTTGACATACTTTTTTTGTAGACTCCTTTCAGTTTTTCTAAAAAATTAAAAAAAAAACTGCCAACAAATGACGATACATACGAATTTATTCTTGTTGAAAAATCGTGGCAAATACAATAATAACCTTTACCAGTTTACCAAGTTCCGCTCAGTATGCATTTTTTGATGTAATGATTCGGAAGTTTACCCTCCAATCCTATATAGTTCACAACTTTTTACCTCCGTCAGTGGCCTACCTGTGGCACGAAGTATGTCCGGCGTTTCTTTTTTAACAAAAATGAATTTCGATTATGAATGCTGAGAAACAAATATATTTTTTCACCGCGGTTTTTAGAAATAATTCAAAATTTGTCTCGAGATACGAGTAAATTATAACCAAATATTATACAGGTGGTTTTTTTAGCGTGGATTATCTATGTGTATATAATGATAGTTTTAAATTATAATAAAATATAGAATTGACATGTTCATGTTTACATTTTAAAATGCCACCCTGTATACCGACCATTCATATACATTATGCGTATTAACTACATATAAATTTTTAAATAGTTATCACCGACAAGTTCTTGCGTTCCATGTACCTACATATTGTAATAATAACTTTAAAGTGATTAAAAAAAAAAAAAATCGTACGTTTCAGGAATTGTTTTTGCATATGAACGTAACGGGGTACAAGGAGCTGACGTTGAGCGCCAATTTGGCCAAGAAGGATTTGGACCGGTACCAATGGAATCACGACGGCAGTAAACCGCAGTCCGTAGCAGCGGAAGAAACACCGGTCGATGATCTTTTGAGACCGATGGCCATCAAAACTTATTTGCTTACAGTGAATAGCCCGAACGTGGTTTGATTATATTATATTAAAACGATAAAAATGAAATCCTATAGCAAGAAAAAAAAAAGAAAAAACAACATGTACTAATATTGTTTCGAATCTAAACAATTTTAATTCTCTTCGCATTGAGCTTGGTTATTATATTACCGTGTTCAAAATCTAGGAACAAAAATACGTCGGAAATTATTATCGACTGTAGTTCTTATTAATTTAAATTTACTTAAGACAAAAAAAAAAACATCCCCCAAGTAAACATAATAACAAGAAACAATCTAACATGTATTTTTTTTATAACTATTTTGTTTTTCATAACATATTAGAGTAATATTATCATGCTTTTTTTTATATATATCCTTTTATTATTATTATTATGATTATTTTTTTTTTTTTTAGTTATTTTATTTATTTTATCGAATCATACAGTATGATATAATACAATCGTATAGACCATAACTGCGTAGTAACTAATGTTATATAATAGTAAGACTAATTTTTGTAATAATATATTAAAATAACTAATAGATGTATACGAATAAATTAATAATAATATACGATTATTGTGTTTATATATTTTATATATTTTATTTATTGTGATTATATTATATTGTTTTAATAAAAATGTTTTTAGACAAACTAAACAAAACTGGAATATTGTGGCGCGCACTATTAAACAAATAAATAATATAATATGTTTTATCTATATCCGTAGCCCAGCCGCAAACGTGAACAAGTTAATGATTCAGTTCAGTTTAAAAAAAAAGGCTCATACAGCCGGTTGGTGGGCTGCTGTTTTAAGAGGAGAAAGTTGTAAGGGAGGATATAATGTACATTTATATTATCCGATTTAATTTATATCCGTACGCAACATATGTATTCGGTTATTAAACAATATAGCCTAAACATAAACTAAACAACATAGTTTGTTCGCCAACGAGTAGGTTGCCAAAATTGCATCGTCAAAATATGCCTACAGTTGAAAGTTAAAACGCGGAAAAATATATTTATATTATCGCATAGTTCATTTAATTAATTCCAACAGATATGATTATTTCCTATGGGTAAATCAATGAAATTTACCCTCTTGATGATAGTGCACGCGGCTGCAGGCTTCTCATTTACTCGCAATATTTATAGTCGGTTATCTATAATTGATTGATATATTACTTACTTCACCTATGAGTTTGCCACGGAACATGCTACCACGTGCCAAGTGGACATTTAAAACACAAAACCGTTGGGTACAGCGAAGAAGGTGATGATGAGGTAAGTGAAAATACCTATTCTGAAACGTACGAGTAGATCTTAAAAAAAAATCCGGAAAAATACCCGCGGTAACGAAACGAAACGATAAATATTATACACGCGACTTTAATTTATTGTAACCATAATATCATCCCCGGCAACCCCTGGCAAACCGTCGTAAACAATTTCTGCGACGCGTAAACGGTTTTCGTATTATTACTTCATGTCAAAACCATTCTGTCTCGTCCTCGACAGAATTTCGTGTGCAAAAGCACACTCTTTTTTCATTATAAATACGATTCGTATTTATATATACACTCAAGCGCGATTCGGCGTTTGAGAAAGACGATAAGTTCTGTAAGTATTGCAAGTTGAATTAATTTATAACTATAGCTGGGAATGTTATGCCCTATAAAATTCTCAAAAGATGTCATTAAAAAAAAAAACCAGAATGCTTATAAGTCCTAAAATTCTAAATAATACACTAAACGGGTTTTTTTTATTTTCAATAATTTTGTTATAGATGATATTTGAATATAATTAATTTAAAAAAAAAGTTTTACAAACAGAACTGGACATTTTCAACTATGAGTTTTTTTAAGACGGAAAAACTCTTACTGAACTGTATCGTTGAACCTTGGTATCTATTAATTTTATTGTTGTAACAGATCATTAAGCTAGAAATCTAATGCTTCTTAATATTATATAGGTAACGTTAATTTTACCGTTGGCGCTACCACTCAATATCTGGAGTTTACCATTACTATATTGTAATATAGATAATGCGTAATACAAATATCTATTTAATAGTTTATATTAGGTTATAAAAACCACGGTATCCAAATCTTCATGTTACGTGAAAAATTCGAATTTCGGATCCAAAACACATAAACAAGCTCCCGAAACCGTAAATGCTCTAAAAAACGAAAAACATGGTTTTAAAATCGAAAAATTCCAAAAAATACAGAATATAATTTCTTATTATCATTCAAAAGTACTTAAAGCGAATTTGTTATATACCAGCTTTGAAAAACAATGCACATTGTATTGAAATTGCTTTTGTATACACACGTGGGTCGGTCTTCGATATTTCCCGGGGAAAAATTCGCGGGTATTTATTATTTCTTCTAGATCCGGTGTGGAGAATACGGAGAAATATTGCAGAAAATGCGCAGGATTTGATGTAAATTATTTATAGTCCATTGGACTTCCGGTCGAGTATGATTTTGCTTACTGCGTGTGCACTAGAAAAAAAAAATGAATGAAAAAGTAGACTTTTTAAAAAAATACTATATTTTCCGTAGGAAATACTTTCGTTGAGCGAAGGAGTAACTCTAAAAGGAAAGTCGAAAAGTCAAGGGGTGGGTTTCGTCTGTTTTTGAAACTTCTTTAAGGGAAAAGGAATGCACGTGTAGTGGATATTCACAATAAATACTTCTCGATATGTGACCAGATGTAGAAAATGATTGAGTAAAAGTATATATTAAAAAGGCGTAGTTAAAGGATAAAATGGAATTTTTCAAGAAAATGTTACGTGGCCTGCAGCGATGATGCCTTGCACGGATTGCGAGTGATAGATATGAAAATTGAAAATTTCAAATGACTATAAACAGTTTAAAAGGCGCCAAAAAGTTTTGAAAAAATTATTACGTCTAGGAAATACAAGTATTCAACTTTGACACTTAAATCGTTGGTTGTTGACAGTTTATATGAACTATAATACTACTATAATACTCGTATTATTATAGTTTTTTTTTTCTAATGCAATTTCATTATATAGTTTTTTTATCGAAAAATGTATTTTTTACAGCTTAACAAAAATAATTATCCGTAATTAATACGATAAACTACCCACGGACGAGCTTCGAACGAAATGCATTTTTTTTTTCTTTTGAAAAAACCCGGATTTACGGCGGGCCGCCTCGAATACTACTCGATTAGAATTGCATACATTAATGGTATCGCCGTGGCGAGAAGAGTTTTTACACTATCGAAACGAAAATAACAAAATATTAATAATAATTATTATTATTCGATGGACAATTGAATGACAAAAAAAAAAAAAAACATACAAACATAAAAATCTGTCGATCAAACGGAACGTTTCCAAATCGTTGGGTTTTTAACGAGTCGGTTATTAATATAATGTTATGTTCGTTACTATGTCGATAACAGAAAAAAAAAACGACTTTAATCGTGTCCATGGCCCAGCGATAATTAATTATTCTTTTGTTTTGACGTTTTAACGTTTTTCAAACAATAACCGAAAATACGATTGGCAGTTTTTTACAGTACTGATTCAAAAATTATATTATTGTCTCCAATTTATAGGTACATATTGTTTTTATTAAAAAGTATGTATCTTATTCTCTCTCGTTTGTTAATCATTTAAAAAAAATAGTGACTGCTGCAGGTCTCCGATCGAGTTATATAGAATTACGTTTTGACGATTATATTTTGTATCAACTTTATTTCACGCATTGAAGAAGCAAAATGGTTTTTTTGAGTTTGTTTTTTCGAAATCGCGCGCGTCAATTCAATAATTTCGAATACCGTCATTTTTCGTTTGTCGGTTTTTTATTTTTTTACTTTGATCCGATTACAAACTCTATAAGAGCATTATGAATTTTTTCGATGCTCTGTAAACGGTCACCCTCCGTAATAACGGAAGAACATACATTGAAAGGTTCGTACCAGGAGATAACAATCCGACGGTTGTAGTGTAATTCCGATCGGACCGCCGCTGGGGCGTGGCGAGTGATATTATCAAATCATTGCTATACAACCCTCGACAAATAAATTCACTAATCCGTGGAAAGTTACCTCTCAATATTCTATTGAATTTCAATTAACCCCAATAATAACAATATCGGTATCGGACTATATAAATACAATTAAACACTTTTGTTAAATTGCACGCAATTGGTTCCATAAACTGTGTTTGACATTATCGGACATGATAATTATCGGCTACACCACTGCAACACGTGATGCTATCATTGAATCACATTTTTTTTACTGTAATTTGCTTTTAGATTCTGAAAATATCGACGCATTTGTGTATCACGTATTCACGTTATTCGTTGGTTAAACGTTAAACAATGATTTTTCTTTTTACACTCTGGTAACATCATCTCGATCAGAAGACACTGAAAAAAAACCAAAAAAAATTATGAAAAATAATTAAATAACAGGTTGAAAAAATAAATAATTTCGAATAATTCGTAAATTTCCTGTACTTGTATTATAAATCAGGTGAAGATAGTCGTCAGATGTTCCGAAAAAAAAAATAACAGATTGCAACAATTTTTATTTAAAAAAAAATAACTAACAAACTCGTTTTAAATGCTGCATATAAAGGCAGAGATTTTAATTTTAAATATTTATCTTACGTCCACAAACTTGCCGGCAAAAAACTGATGTAAATCTGAATATAAAATGTATTATTCGGCGTAGAAACGAGTGCGCGCTGTAGATTGCATTGTTTTTTTTCCTCCCGGAGTATTTGGCTGTATAATTCCACCATAATAGACAAATGATTATAAATATAAATCTGAGGCTATGGTCTAAAAGAGCCAATGTCATTTTTTGGTGAAAGTGAGTTATAATATGGTCAATCATATACCACACCTTGGCGCACCAATTAATCAAAATTTGATATCGGAAACTACTTCTAATATTGACGATCCGATCAAGATTTATGGTAGAAAAGTTGTTCGCAGACAGAAAAAAAAAACTCGGTATTACATTCCTCATACAAGACACCACTATAAAGATGTATTATTTTTAACGCGATAAATTGTTTTCGAAAAGTGGACGATTCAATTAAAACGCTCTGCAATTTACTTCGGCATCACGCGCTCACGATAACTGTATTTTAATATACAAACTTCTTGAAACCAGCAAGTACGAAAAAACGACTTGAATAAGTATTCAAGTCGTTTTTTCCCCTATCCACGACGCGTTTTAAAAATTATGTAAGTTATTAAAATACTTTTGTTTTTAACAGTTTTATTTGTATTTATTTATTTATTAATGAACATTAAGTCCAAGTTCATTGACAAATCATATAATAATGAATACTTTGGTAGTATCTTAAGACTAAGTAATAACTAATAGAATATAAACAAATCAAATTCAAGTTACTAAAATTCACATTTATAATCTTATATATAAAATTATCGTGTCACAATGTTCGTTCCCATACTCCTCCGAGACGGCTTGATCGATTTTCATGAAATTTTATATGCATATTCAGTAGGTCTGAGAATCGGCTACTATCTAAGTTTGTATGCTCTGCGATAAGTGGTTCCGGAGTTATGGCCTCTTAAGTCAAAGTATACTAGCACGCACGATATTCAACAATTATTATTTTGCCATGGAGAGATAATATACACTCTATGTGGTTATTTTTTATTATTGGTTTCCGTGGCACCCGCGTGCCAATAACAATTGAGAACGGCTGGGCCGATTTGGCTAATTTTGCTAACCTAACCTAACCTATGTACGTGTGTTTATTTGTGGCTTAGATTTGAGAACACCATGTTTTTCACACGGACAATTATACGTGGCATGCTCTCGAGTGGGTAAACCATCCAGTTTGTTTGTGTTAGCTAAAGATGGACTAACAAAAAATATTGTTCACGCTATAGCATTAAGAGATTGATATTTTTAAGGAATAAATTATAATAACTTAAAAATAATGTTTGCCTTTTGTTATTTTTATATTCCCTCATCGTTCACAGCGCTCCATGCCTCTTTCACTAATTTACCACATCCTTAAACACTTACAATAAGTTAGTTATTTTTTTTCTAGACTATAGATTCCCTAGAAATAATTTATATGGCAAAACAACGCTTGCCGGGACAGCAAGATAATAAGAATCAGCATAATCTGAATAAGAATAATCATCACTTAAATAATAATAATAATAATAATCAGCACAATAATAATAATAATCAACAAAAAAAACATAATAAGNGCAAGGCTCACCAGTTGATGCATGTCCCAATTTATTCAAATCAAACGCCTTGGGGCGATTATTTACAGTCAATCCAAGACACACTGAGTGCTTTTATCTTCGACTGTTGTTGGTTAATGTTACTGGCCCATTATCATTTCAAGATATACGTAAAGTGAATGGGCAACATTATCCAACGTATAAAGATGCATGCCTTGCACTCGGCTTGCTGGAAGACGACAACCAGTGGGAATGTATGCTTGCTGAAGCTGCATTGAACTGTACAGCAGTACAAATTCGTCTATACTATTCGCTATAGTGTTGACTACATGTTTCTCAGCCCGAGCACAGATATTGTGGGATAATCACAAAGATTCAATGACTGATGATATATTGCATCAACATCGTACACGGTGTCACGATCTAACCATAACATTCAGCGACGCAATGTACAATGAAGCATTAATTGCTATTGAGGATCTTTGCATTGTCATTGCCAACTTACCACTCAGTCATTTCGGTATGAATTCGCCAAATCGAACTGAATCTGATTTAATGAATACTGAAATGAATCGTGAACTGCAGTACAGCACTGTAGAAATGGCAGCGATTGTTGCCCGCAATGTCCCACTAATGAATGAGGAACAAAGAACCGTTTATGATCGCATAATGCTCGCAGTTTCAGCTGGACAAGGTGGGTTCTTCTTTTTGGATGCACCGGGTGGAACTGGCAAAACATTCGTTATTTCGCTAATTCTTGCTGAAATACGATCAAATAATGGCATCGCATTGGCCGTTGCATCATCGGGCATTGCAGCAACTTTATTGGATGGAGGCAGAACAGCTCATTCAGTATTTAAGCTGCCACTAAATATTCAGAATAACCCTGACGCAGTATGCAACATTAAGAAACAATCGTCCATGGCCACCGTGCTGAAACAGTGTAAAATTATCATCTGGGATGAATGTACTATGGCACACAAACATTCGCTTGAGGCGTTGAACAGGACATTGAAAGATATTAAAAACAACGACAATCTATTTGGCGGAACTCTGTTGGTCCTTTCAGGTGATTTCAGGCAAACACTTCCAGTCATTCCACGTTCAACATACGCTGATGAGATCAACGCTTGCTTAAAATCATCTCCATTGTGGCGTAATGTTGAAAAAGTACAGCTGAAAGTAAATATGCGCGTTCAAATGCTTCAAGATCCATCCGCTGAAACATTTTCAAAACAACTCTTAGATATCGGTGATGGAAAAGTTGCTATAGATGAAACTGGATACGTAAAATTACCGACCGATTTCTGCACAATCGCTGATTCGCAAGATACTCTCATTGAACAAATATTTCCCGATGTACACACACAGTACATAAATCATGAGTGGCTTGCAGAAAGAGCAATTTTAGCGGCAAAAAATGTAGACGTTGACAATTTAAATCTGAAGATACAAATGTTGTTGCCAGGGAACTTGGTATCATATAAATCTATTGATACAGTTTGCGACGACAGCGAAGCAGTAAATTTTCCCACAGAGTTTTTGAACTCACTGGATTTACCAGGCATGCCACCGCATAATTTACAATTAAAGGTTGGATCTGCGATTATCTTGCTTCGTAATTTGAACCCACCCCGGCTGTGCAACGGTACGCGATTAGTTATTCAAAAATTAATAAAAAACGTGATCGAAGCCAGCATTTTAAATGGCAAGTTCCGAGGTGAAAATATATTAATACCACGGATTCCTATTATACCTACAGATGTGCCAATTCAATTCAAACGTATTCAGTTTCCGATTAGATTGGCATTAGCAATGACAATCAACGAATCCCAAGGTCAAACAATGTCTATTTGTGGGTTAGATTTGAGAACACCATGTCTTTCACACGGACAATTATACGTGGCATGCTCTTCTCACCCATTTGGTAGGTCAAACAAACACAATCGATTTCTACCTGATTGTTTTTTATAACAAGTGCGATAACATATTTCTAATTGATATTTTTAAGGAATAAATTATAAAAACTTAAAAATAATGTTTGCCTTTTGTTATTTTTATATTCCCTCATCGTTCACAGCGCTCCATGCTTCTTTCAAAAATTTACCACATCCTTAAAAACTTACAATAAGTTAGTTATTTTTTTTCTAGACTATAGATTCCCTAGAAATAATTTATATGGCAAAACAACGCTTGCCGGGACAGCAAGATAATAAGAATCAGCATAATCTGAATAAGAATAATCATCACTTAAAAAATAATAATAATAATAATAATAATAATCAGCACAATAATAATAACAATCAACAAAAAAAACAAAATAAGAATCAGCATAATCAGAATAAGGATAATCATGACTTAAATAATAATAATGATCGGCAGCAGCATAATAAGCATCATTAAAACAAAAAAAAAACATAATAATAAGCATCAGCGTAAACAAAATAAAAATAATCATCACCTAAATAATAATAATGCTCAGCAGCAGCATAATAAGCATTATCAAAAAAAAAAAAAACATTATTTTATTAATACGTGCAATATAAAATAAGAATAATCATCACTTAAATAATAATAATGATCAGCAGCATCTTAATAAGCATCATTAAAACAAAAAAAAAACATGATAATAAGCATCAGCGTTATCAAATTAAGAATAATCATCACTTAAATAGTCATAATAAAAATCAGCACAATAATAATAATAATCATTAAAAAGGATAATTATTACTTAAATAATAATAATGATCAGCAGCAGCATAATAAGCATCATCAAAAAA